ACCGATATTCCCAAACACCATCGACCCCTTGGGTATGAACATCCCCTTGTACACATCATCCTCCATCAACCTATGCGGCAGATCTATTTCCATATTTATCAGCACCTACATTCTCCCGCTTCTCCCTTTTAACAGAACCACTCACTCAAAGGCACCGGCACACCCCACCTCAACACCTCCCTATACACCGCCTCCACATACGGCAACCTCTCCCTATCCTCGAAGCCCGGGAGCCTCTCCCCACCTACGACGGCGTCAATCTCGGCTTGCGCGCGCGATTGGGCGCCGGGGTGGGCGAGCATGGCGAGCAGGAAGTGCGAGATGGTCGTTATCGTCTGTTTGAGTGCTCGGTCAGTAAGCTGATAGTGACGAAGGAGGGAAGACAGAAGAAAAAGACGTACAGTATCGATACTCCCCGAATACATCGAGTTCGCCGCCCACTTGAGGTCAAACTCGAACTCCTCCTTCTCCCTCTCCCTCTCCTCTTTCTCCTCTTTCTCCCTCCCATCCTGCCACACTCGTCCTTGCATTGCACCTTGCATCACCCCACCCTTCTCCCCCTCCCCGGCCCTAATAGCCGCCGCATCCTCCAACGCCCGATCCTCCAAAAGGTTCGAGCAGAACGACGGTTTGTAGCTGCCCGCTTTCTGCTTCCCCATTAGTTATCACCGGCCAACCCAAAAAATAATCCAAAGCACTCACCATCCCCCTCCTAACCCACCCAAACGGCCCCTCCACAAACTCCTCCATGCGTCTCTTCCACCTCTTCGCATCCTTCAAAAAGCCCGCGCCGGGGGCCCACTCCGGTAGGTACCTCAGCGCCGGGAAGACGTCCACCGGCCAGACGCCCCCGCCCGAGGCGATCTTCTCGGACAGGAGGGAGACACACTCTTCCGCAAGGTCAAGGAAGGGATCGCCTGTCCTCGTGCTCGCCAGACCTGACCCGGCACCTACCCCGCCTGGCGCTGGTCCGAGTCCATTCCCATTCCCATTGCCATTCCCTTCCGCGCTGGCGATAGTCGCAGGGGCGTCCACGCCGTCCCCACCAGCCTCATACCCATAAACGACACTCAACGTCAGCCCACCCGCGTACCGCCTCAAATGCCTCCCGTACGCTCCCGGGCTGCCGACCACCCTCCGTAGAAAGGCGGTGGTCTCCCGGATGATGAGCGGGTGGTAGGAGGGTATGACGGGCAGGCCGAAGGCTTTGTGTAGCAGGCGACGCTGTCGGCGGGATTGGGCGGAGTATGGGGTGAAGGCTACCTGTAAAAGGGAGGGAAGGGGGTGAGTGGGTGTTATTTTGTTTTTGTTTCGGAGGGGTGAGAGGAGAGGAGGGGATGGGGAAATGGGAAGAGAGGGGAGGCGCGTGCACGCGACGCTCCGAGGCGGATCCAAGAAAGAACGCGTCGGGCCTCTCCTCGTGGGGAGGAAGGACACGCTTTTCATTTTATAAAACGGATGAGACGGAGCGGATGTGCAGCGTCGTCGGGGCGATAGGCGCAGTCCGCGTCGCGCGTGTCCAACGCGACCCATTATCCACGCGACGGGACGAACGTAAAGAAATAAAACGAAAATTAAATGCGCGTGGCCACCCGCGATGGCGCGACACGTCAACGCGCCTCGCAAGGAACGACCAACTAGAACCGAAGCGCGCAAAACGGGAGCGAAAAAAGGGTAGAAGACGCGCATATACGCGCCCTAAACGCACGTCTCCGGGCCCGACATGTCTCCGGGGTAGGGACGCGTCCCCGTCGTCTGTGCGCTACGAAACGGCGCATATATGCACTCTAACGCGCATACGCTCCGAGCTCAGACGCCCAAAAAATCGAAGCTAGTTTAGCCCACAATAACAGCCATAACACCAAACGTTGAGAACTCGAGAGAAGGCTCACCATGTTCTTGCAGCCGCATCTAGCGGAGGCGAGAGCCAAAGGTGCGAACGTATGGGAGGTCGAAAGGTAAATAGAGAGAGAAGACGTCAGTATCTTAGACTTCAGTGACAGCGATGAATAGGGAAGGAAAGGTAGGTTGACGGGGGCAAAAGACAGGAAGTCGGAGGCAAAGGGAGGGAAGGGACACCAGGAGAACAAGACTTACAGTTCACCCGCCATGACGAAACTCGGCTTGTCCGAGTAGATCGCTCCTCTTTTATCGAGGAGGTCGAACGCCGCCTCGGGAGAGTTGAGGAAGACGAGGCCCTGGCCGAAGAGATGGAGGTACACCACGTCGCCTGTTGTACACACACGCCCATATACACAATGTCAGCCACCGAAACTTATTTCCGCCCCGCACCCACAACCGCCACTCACCGTACTGCTTGCACCACTGCATCGCGGGCAGCCAGAGCTCCTTGATCGTTAGGTCCCTTATGTTGCCGATGAGGGGGACGGGCTTGGGCCCGGGGGGCAGCGCGCCGACAGAGGGACCGCCGCGCTTGGCCTTGCGGGTGTAGAGGAAGGCGACGGAGAGGAGGGCGGCGGCGGCGAGTGCGACGGAGGTGGACGTCGGGGACGCCATTGGGGTGGAGGACATTGGGTTGTAGGTATTGGTATGGGTATTGGCTGAGGAGGTGTCGATTCGGTGTGTGTGTTATATTTGTGATTGTGGTTTGTGGTTTGTGTGTTGTGCGCTGTGTGTGGGCGGAGAAAGACCAAGAGCGAAGGAGGGTGCGTGTTCGAGTAGGTGAAGATACGATAAAGGCGGCGGCAGCAAGGAAGAGAGGAGGAGAGAGGCGCAATTCAGCAGCGGGCGGGGGCGGGGGTCGGATTCGAAATTGGATTGCAGCAAGAAGGCTTCTTTATCTTTAATGGGCCGCACCCACCCACGGACGCTCCCAGTATCTACACACCCGATCTGGGTCTCTCCCTCCCTAATGCGGGCGTCACTGACTGCTTATGTCACCGTCCTTATCCCTCTAGCAACACCGTGACGCGTCCGCTCAATCTCAGACCCAATCTCTGCGAGCCCACTAGAGAGACTAGGCTATCCGGGCGAAGAAGCGCGATTGAGAAGAGGGAGATCAGCCAAGGTTGACAGCCCACCAGCCAGCCTATCGGTAGCTTATCCCATCCCATCCCTCCGCCGCCTCGTCTGTCCGATGGTCCGTGCGCGTCCCCCTCCGTTCGTCAGCCCCTCCGAGTCCAAGTTCGATCCGGACCGTCCCCGTCGCTGCCCGTCTGCGCAGACTGCAGTGTCAGCACTCGGAGGCTGCTAATCAGCGCACCTCCGGGGTCGGCCAGGGACTAACTCTCCCCCTTCCTTTCCACTTAGTCTCACCGGCTCTTTACATCCCCCACCCCGCGCTCCCCTCATCATCACCTTCTGATCTCCAGCCTCACCTCGCACTCAATACCCAACCCGCTGCCCTCTCTTCCCTTTCCCAGAAATCCTGGTTATCTTATCCCCTACTCCTCCGGTTGACCCTCCGACCCTCCATCCTCTGACGCCCTTACTAAATTTTGAATACCCCGCTCCACACCACATCCCGCGTGGTTTCGTACACGCCACGGCTTCTCTTCACGTTCCCTGGCCTGGCGCTTCCCTTTTCCTTTCTTTTCCCTTCCTTCCCTCACGGCGCTTCTCCTACCCCGATTTGATTTTTCTTGCAGATCGCAAACGGATGATTTACTCGTCTCCGGTAGGTCCACCAACTGGGCTCTCCCACTCCCACTCCCCTTCCATACCACGCGTCGGTACCTGCGCTTCCGGCACGTTCATTTTACTTATCGTTCGTTGTCTTTCCACTCCGAATGTATTCACCAAGTACCCGTTCCAGGCACTCCCAACTTTATCCCTCTCCCCTCTCCCCCGCCTCTCCCACCGGTCACCTATCATCCACAATTCATCATCCACAGTTCATCATCCACAGTTCATCATCCAGGTGCTTACATGATCCCTCCAAGCGCGTACTAACCCATTTCATTCCATCCAGACCTTTCATAAAACGCAGAATAACAGATAACACCCAAGTCCAAGTTCTACCGTAAACTTTTCAGATCACCCGACGCCCAAATTCATGAACTCATTCATCTCGCCTCGACCCAGAAAAAAAATTCCCAGAACTCTTCGACCCTCCGCGTCCTTCCAAACCCGAGCCCGGTTTTCCTTCCACTCACCTACTGAACATCACGCTCCACACCACATCCCGCGTGGTTTCATGCTAAGCCCGGGGCTTCTCTCTCTTCAAGGTTCCCTGGCGCATCCGGTGCGTTCTCTTTGTCTTCGTATCATCTTTCGTCTTGTTAGTTCCACTCCCAATGTATTGACCAAGTGTCCGTTCCAGGAACTCCCAAACTTTATCCCTCTCCCTTCCCCCTCCCCTCTTCCCTCCCACCGGTCACCTATCATCCACTTCCCATCATCCAGGTACCCACACGATCCCTTCAAACGCGTACTAACCCATATCCATCCGCCCATCCATCCAGACCTCATAAAACGCATTCCTCCCAAATTCATGAATTAATTCATCTCGCTTCATAGGAAAAAAATCCCTCCCTCCCTTCCTTCTTTGAACATTTCCGACCAAAAAGAATACCCGAAAAACAGTTTATTCGGACAATCTCCGGCGGGTCCTCCGTATACCCCTCCTCTAGACCCAGACCTCTCTTTCCGTTTACCCACCTCGCATTATTAGCTGACTTCCATTTATCCATCCCGACACCGGCATTACATCCCACTATGTCCTCCTAAGGCCTCATTTCATTTCATCTCGCCTCGCATCTCTCTGTCAAACCCTCCGCCGCCCAGTCCTTCCATAACGTGAACCTTCCCATAACGTTAACCTTCCCATAACGTGAACTTTTCCGTAACCCGTAACCCATATCCACACCCCCCCCCGCCCTGCCGTTGCCGTCTTCCTGCCTTCCAGATTATCGTTTGTCGACCGCCCAACTGCCCTTTGTCTAGTTCGACCAACGAACTGTTGTCGGCCGCGCACCACCCGCCCGCGTCACGACTGCCTGCCAGACGGCTCAACACACGTACATCTTCTCGCCGCCCAACCTCCTCCTCCGCACTCTTTCCCGCCTTCCCCCCGGGCCCTCAATCCGCGAATTCAACCACGCCCTTAGTGATGACGCGGACGGCCCAGCTCGAGCGTATCTTCTACATGCGTGTACATGTGCCCCCGCACACACCCCGCCCTCCGACCTTCTCGCTGCCCCAAGAACCCATCGCTGCCTGAAGAACCAATCGCTTACTCTTTCTGTCACTCATACTTCTGCCACACCAATACTTCTGCCACCTATGATGTCCCATCGCTTCTCCCAGCCACCTATGACCATCGCTTCTCTCCCACTTACACAGGACCTACGGCTTCTCAGGCGGCTCCTTCCTTCTCCTTTCACTCGTGCTTCGAATCCGAATTCCACGTCGCTTGTCGGTCCAAGGTTCACGGGATCCCCATTCCCACTGAGACTCAGTACTGGCGGCGCTGAGACGATGACGCCATCTCTATCTCTATCTCTCTCTTTTCCTTTTGTCTCATCCATTCTGATTGAATTCTCTGCTTTTGATTTCTTGGACGCCGTGGATGACATGGATCGGCGCCGGAGCCTTCGCCTACCGCCCAACAAGCCTTGGGACACGCACGAGCTGCCGGGCGCACACAACTTTGGTGTGTCGTAGTAGTACCTTCCGCTGGGCCTTCCGCTGGGCACCCACTGCACCAAACTTGCGGGTGCGTGTCACTGTAGAGTAACGGATTGGCGGTTCCCACAACCTTCAGCGTCTCCGTCAGGCTCGCGAGGCCAGGGGGACATGCCCACGATGGCGCCCACGACGGTGCCCACGACTTTGGTCTATTGAACATATGTATGTATGTACGTACATCCCTCACACCGGCGTGCAAATGCTATCATGACAGGCAGGACGCCAGGAGGACGTCCGCTCGCGACAAGCCCTGGTTATCCCCGACGTCTGCCTTTCTCTATCGACTCTAGAGTACGCCGGTATTTCTGTGTCGGTACCTCAAGCCGACCCCTTTCGTCTCCTCCAAGCCGCCGCCCTATTAATATTCCTGCGTAGTGTCCACCTGCCAATGTCCGTCTATGTACCTGCCAATCTCCACTGTCCACAGAACCGTCATGCTCGAGCGGACGGACAGATGATAGATCGTGCACTCGAATCAGACATATGTCTTTTCTCACCGACTTTCCCCTTGGGCGTCGGGCTCTTGAAGATGTGAAAAGCCGCATTCAGACGTTGACACTTGAAGCCTGAAACCCCATTTGCGCTTGCAGCCCCATTAGCGCTTGAACTCCCAGCGAGACTTGATCATGAAGCTCGACGCCCGACATTCCGTTATACTCGTGGGCTAACGAGAACCCGGGTGGTAAAAATAACTTCTCGAAAGCTTGTACAGTATACGTATTATCATCCTTTCTCTCAGGGACCGCGCTTGGACTCTTGTTATCTCTCCCTCTCAAGTCTTCTCTCGTGCTTTCTTGGCTGAGTTTCTGGATGATGGTTCGCAGGGCCGGTTCGCGGGAGCCTCTCTCATATAATCTGTCTTTCGTATCGGCCGCCAGTATCGTCAACTTCCCGAAGCAGGCCGCTCCCGCTCCCGCTCTAGATGTTCAGTACTCAGTACTGGCACTGGCACTTGCACGTTCGACGAATATACAACTTCCTTCAACCCGGCACCGTGCCCGGCGCCTCTATTGTGTCCTATCACCGACGTCAATCGCTTTCTGCCTTGTCTACTACGCAATGCATAGTACACTAACACCTCGTCAGAAAGAACCATTCGGCAACTTCAAAGGCTCAGCGCTCGGAATTCCGTGTCTAGTCGGTGACTTTAAACATCGAAGGTGCGGTCGCGTCTAATGCGCCATATTGAATAAATTTAATATGCCCCACGTTCACTGCGAAGGTTCTACACCCAACGCCACAATCAAAGAACCAACCAACCGCACAGTACATACATACCACCTCTCGAAATAGTCCGTCTATTTTCTTGTCTTCAAGTTCTAGATCTCAATGTCCTTCTCCCGACTTTCAACCAACTTTCGAGCATACTCCTTGGACTACCCAGGACGGTTAACTACCCTTATTCTTCTCCAACTCGACGGCCGTCGATTCCACGCGAACGTTGTCATTGCGTCAACTGCAAACTTGAGAGTCAACTACATACCCTCCTTTCCCCGAAGTCCTATTGGCACCTGGGCCTGAGGCTCAGACGCCGACCACAAAGTAACGTTACTCTTACATAGGCTCTTGTTATCGTTATCGTTAAGTTCTTAGTTTCTCCGGAATCTCGTCATGTTTTCAAGCCATCTCTAATCCAGATTTCGACTGCGGAACTAGGAAGGACTCAGAGGGCGCTACTATTTCGTGACTTTTATTTATCCGCCCTCCGCGTCAAGGTTTGTTCAGAATCACACCTGCACATGTAGGGTACTTATACATTGCTTCCTATCACCGATGTCCTCTCCATGTCTTTGTCTGACTGCACCTGCTCTGACCCGTCTACTAGGACTAGTAAATCGACACATCAGGAACTTGAACCTCGTTGACTGTTCAGAATACCCTCGGGGACTGCTTGGAACCCACGTTTACACTTCTATATTGTCCAACTCAATTCCACAATCAACGAACTAACTGCACAGTATACATTCCTCAAAATAGCCCATCTATTTCAAGTTTCTTTCCTCTCCGTCCATGACACCTGCTAGTTCTAGATCTGTCCTTATCTCGAGCTTACTCCTTGGACGACGGAGGATTGGGCATACTTATTCTTGTGCGTCTGCCACGAGACCATGGACATCGAGCGTCGATGAGCGCTTGGTAGTCGATCGACTACGCTTCCCTCCTCGTGTGGGCGAGCGCTTGCCAGTGGACGACCTGCAAGATAGCGCGGAATGTGGCTGTCACCGACGTTGAATATTAATATTGACCACTTATCTACCTATAGCATATGTCGCTCGCTCCACGCCTATCTCTCAAGTTTACGAATTTTTCAGTCGCGCCTAATGCGCCCACCCCCATTTTCCACCGTTTTCCTTCCGAGTCTATCCCACGTTGTAGACATCTCACGCCCCATACACCTCTTCCGTCCCACGTTTTTCTCAGTCTTAAAAGTCCCAAAAATACCTCACTTCTATTTTCCCTGCCTTCTAGATCTCCCCACATCTTGAACCGCACTTGTCCTTTCTCCGGCTCCTCAACGCCAGTTCCTTGATACGCTTGTCTGCTCGTGATTATCCTCTTGGAGTTTCCAAGCCGATCTGTCTCCTTGGTCTACGGAAAATTGGAGATATCGTCGTGGTCTGGCGTGTCATTGTCGCTCTCCATGGAGGTGCGAAGGCGCTTCTTTCGTGGGCTCGTGGCTGATGTTCAGGTCTTCTCGTTATGCATGGCTATCTAGGTTTATCTCACTTCTCACGGCGCCGTTAGCGTTTCGTCATGCCGGACCAGGTCCTATACGAGCGAGGTACGAGTTTTGAACCCCTCAAGTCAGTACGCTATGCCATTCCCCCTTCCCAGCGAATGCCCCTCTAATCGGTCAGGACCAAGGCCTACGGCTCCGACCACGCCACGCACTACACTAGCTTGAAGTCGTAAGTACGTACGTCGAGGAAGTATTCTTAAAATAACTATAAACATCTTAACTCCCTGCCCAGTGTTCTCCTACCTTTCTTTTCGTATTTTCTAGGTCTTGCGCTTTTATTGTTTTCCCTCAGTGACTTTGACGTACATCGGGCCCTCCTTTCTTTCGTTTCCGGCAGGATGCAGGCTTCCACTGTGACTTCTTAGCCCCAGGCCGATGTCGAACTTGCGCTAGCTAGCACCGACGTCGATAACTCCTTTCTGCCGTTGCGCCAAACGTCACCCTAATGCATGGTGCGCGAACGGCGGCGCACGTACGCTACACGATTTGCCTGCGAGGGTGCTACGCCAATTGACAGATTTATTTGACTGCTTGGAAGACGCCTTCGTCGCGACAGTTGGCCAAACCGGGCGAACACGCACCGAATCGATATCTGTCCAGGCTGGCAGCTCCCTAGTCGCGAACACGACATCGTCCAACCTCGGAATTTTGGATAAGCCTGTAATCCTTCGCCAATTATTCACGAAAAAAAGAGTATGTAATTCTTCCGTTTTACCACTCCTCAGACTTCTCCCGCGTGTGTCTCCAACAGCAGCATCTCCTCCACTTCTCCTCATCTCGGAGCCGGTTCATGATCATAATCCTATCCGCGGAATCCCACCCCCTACGCCACTCGTCACTCTTCCTGACCTCTGCGCTAACCCCAACTCGTCTGAAGCTATCCGTGGCTGTCAATACTTATCTCTGTCGCCTGACCCCGATCCCTGCTCGTCCTATAGTTCCCGGACATTTTGCTCCACTCCACGATAGTTCTCAGGATATTTTCTGGAATCTGGAAATGGAATCACGATTCCAAGCCGCTTGTTTCCTGCCACGTCCCACTTTCCCCGTGAGCGTCGACATATCGAGCCCTTTCAGGCCGGGGGCATTAAATTGTCTCCCATCGCCTGCAAGCGCTTACTCAATATCTCTTTACCAAAGTCGCGTTCCACCTGATGAAAAACCCGACTTTTCACAGGCTATTGTCTTTCTGGTTCATTTCGCTAGGGGGATAACTTTTCCTTCGTTTGGCCTACGCTGAATACCACATAACACGAGGAGCACGAAAATAATATAGGCAGGTTCTTCCGGCCTTAATTGAATATCCGTTTCTAACCTTCGATCCTCTCGCCTATTCTTTGTGGCTTCTCTTGTATCCTTCGTAGAGCTGTATAACGTCTGTCTCCTATCATAACTCTCCTCATGACGACGCTTCTCGTCAGCGGCTTCGAAGACTTTCGAGGGTGGAGGAGAGCTAATTCCAAAATGTCGCTCAGAGCCCTTGGAGGTGGCCCTGCCTTGGCCCACGCGCCACTTCATCTTCGACATCCATTGCGCCGTCCTGTTCGGCCTAGGGCAAGCCTCCAGAATCCGACTAACTCGAAGGATGCATAAGCGCATTTTTTTGGGACTACTCCCGAGTTGAATTTACTTCTCAGTGCTTGAGGCATTCTCCAATCCAGCAGATCTCCGGATCCTCTGAATACAGGAGCCTGAATAGGATACGGGACGTCGCGTTTGGTCTCTGGGGCTACATATCGATCTCACCTTCTGGCACCATTCATTATGTCCTCTTGAATCCATAGAACCGGGACTCCTACTCCTCAGGGGTCTCGTCTCCGCATCCAATATACAACTGCCAATACATCCCTCTCCACAATTTGTCTATCTGCACTTGTGCCTGTCTTCCTGAACGAGGCTCAGCCTGTACATCCAGAGTGTCTCTCCTGGCATCTCCTGTTCTGTTGACATCGATCCTTCAATATTCGCCCTTCTTGTCACAGCCTGGATGGACGGCGCCCGAAAGCCTTCCTTCTTGCCGTTTATCCTACCATGGACGAACAAATTCTCCTTCCATCGTCCTTCTCTCGGGTCCTAAAGTATATTGACGTCTCGGACCCAACTCTGACCAGCACCATCATGCTTAGGCTTGGAGACACTTGATCAGACCAAGTGTCTCGGAGCGAACGGCGATGCAACTGAGTCTTAAACGCTTTACAGTAATATCCATTTTGTTTGTCCTAAGCCAGGCTCGCTATGAGCCTGGACAGATCTGTCCATGCTCGCGAGGCATAGTAGGGTTGGTTCGAGAGCGTGCTACCAACTCCAAAGGGGGTCCAATAGTCTATCAAATATTCATACTTCTACGTTCCCCGACGTCGGCCCGACTTTTTCACAATAGGCTTTTGAGCGGGCTAGTGATTTGCCCTTCACGAATCAAATCAAATCAAATCCAAATTCAAAGGTACGGCGAGGTTAAAAGTCCAGAACCTGAATGATTTGCTCTTCGTGGACCCTTGGAACCACTCTATCAGTTGATGTTCATAACAGTATCGCTCTTCGCCCACATCACGGCCGCGCGGCGTCTGCCACCTGCCAGAAGTCTGAGTTTGCCCGAACGCGTCGATCAACTTGAGGTCCGAAGCAACGCTGGCGGTCCCCAGATTGGCTAGGTCTGAGCTTATGATGCAGACACAGGCGACAAGGTGCGGGACGACATTAGAGAGGAATGCAGCGTTCCGGTCGTCGTATTGTTAAGCAAGCAACGCTCATGTGTGCCATTCTTCCGTTTTCGGCTGTTTTCGGTCACTGTGTGGCGCAGTGCCTTGGCGTGCGATGTCGAGGCCGTCAATCATGCTGATGACACTGTCCGGCCGTGAAGATTTGGGTCATGATTTCTTTTCACAACCACTGCGATGCCCGGCGAGATTAGACAGTATGTTTGTGTTAACTGGAAAGTTGCCAATCTTGTGGAGCCGAAATTACTTTCCCTGGGTCTTTCCCCATCGCCGCCTTTTCACTCCGGAAGCCAGCAACCCAATGTATGAAAATACATTCGCAACGCTTCAAACATCAAATCCTCTATATCCTCCGTACGAATCAACCAGAGTGGCTAGCACCACAAACTTCATCGAGCTTCATCAATCCATCCGTCAAGAGCTTCAAGGCAGACTCTTATTACCCAAGTTCACACCAGTTTGTTTATTCAATTGCCTACATTCCTTGAAGCACTCCAATATCTTTGAAACTAAACTCAAAGATGAATCAAGAAATGACGGAAATATCAACGCTTTAGGCAGCACTCGTTGAACTAGAACCCTGGAAACGCAGGGGAGAGAGGCGTCGTGGATTTTCGGAGTCGGCTCTTGCCATATCCACTTTCTCGATCGCCAGATGTATGTCTTCGGTCTTAATTGGAGTAACAGCATCCTTGCCTTGCGCAATGCGGCAAATGAGGAGCAGCGGCGAGAGAACCTGCGCGAATGTGCTTTAGTGACTTCCACCAGACTTTGGACTAATGCCCCCCGAATATAAACTTACGGATGCATGCGTGAGCAGAAGCGCCATAACCAGCGTTGAAAAATATACTGAGGAAGTGAGGTAGAGGACGAGGAAGACGCTATTGAACAGGACGATGAGCAAGCATGACTCGATGCATATGCCGATTACTCTCGTGTAAAGAGAACCATGGGCTTTTCCGAGCGCACGCTGCACGCGGCGTTGATACCAGAAGAGACGAGAGGCAATGAGGCCGGCAAGGAGAATGTTTGTAAGGACCGTGAAGGCTGGGAGGAAGCTCTGAGTGAAGGACACTCTGACCACGAGGCAGAAGCCTCCCCAACCTATGCGAGCAGCTGGTCAGATGGGGGATGAAGGAGAAATCGTAGTAGAGTATACCCAGAGAAAACAGCGCAAGCCCAGCGAGCGCCCAAAAAACCGGCCTGAAGATGTATCTAGGTGCGTCTTCGTAGAGACTAATACATCTCCAAATCTGTATCGGGGTCACGTCATCGACAAAGTTGTAGGGAATAAGCGAATGAAATAACGCACCATCATGCCGTCTGCTCCCCAGAACGCCATTATATATGGCGACGAAACCTCTCGACCGAGAATCACTCGAAAATCAAGGAAGAAATTCGAACCGATGGAGTTGATCAGGGAGACAAAGGGGAGGATGAGAGCGATGGTGCTCGTGATGAACATGAACGTGATGTAGGCAACAAAAGTTAACTGCTTTCGCCGGGAAAGAGTGGTCTTGTTCAGGAGGACCTGCAGGCAGTCGAGGAAGAGGATGACGACTGCCCCGTAGGCAAACCCAGACAGGATTCCGGCAATGACCAGTGCCTTCAAGTCAGACAAATTGTCGAGGTCTTTGCGCTCCATGAAGGGTATCTTGTAAGTCAAGCTTCCAGAGCCGGTTCTTGGGGAGAAATTGAAGATTCGGGATCTCGTCGACGCTTCTTAAACATAGGTGCCACAGAATCTCTTATCGCGCTGGTGGCAGGTCGTCAAGCAGAGAATGACGATCAGACAATGCCAAAACAGTAGTCAGTGAACGAGATGGCCTACCAAGGCTTAACTGCAAACCCATCTGCATACAACTCGAATTTTGCATCTGGTCCGTCACCACGATACCTGTTCCCAACTGTCACCGTACCTGTGCAGCAATGCGATATCTCTTCCTCAACGACCTTGCTACCCGTACTTTTACCCTTGATCAGCCGAAAGCTTGAAGTAGTCGTACTAGGCCGTTACACTCCCGCCATGGCTGATATCCCTCTAAGGACAAGTCGACGACAAGACAAGCAGAAGCCTATGGGAGAAAGTGTTTGAAGGAAGAGCGAAATGTGCACGAGTCTCTCCAGGCCGGTTGGAGGCGAGAGAAATTGCATGAATGCCTGCAACTGCGAATATTTGGTTCCGGACGCTGTGGACGATCGGTACACTGGAGAGAGAACCAGGAGAGGATGGCACTAGAGGTGTGGGAAAATGGGAAATTCCGGCCCGGCAATCCTTCCAACGCTACCCCGTTCCCAGCCTGTTCCTTTCAAACCACCAAGGTTTCAGCCAGCTTCAAGCTTCACCGGCACCATGGACGCATGCAGCATCCCGTATAAACCTGTGCTCTGAACCCTCATCTACTCTTATGCTCGTGCAGACCAGAAAGGCCGTCCTAAAGCTCACATTATAACCTTTCGTTTGAAGGGAAGAAGCCAGAACGTGAACTGCAAAGATCTCCAGTGGCTTTCCTCTGTCATACCCTCTTTCCTGCATCCCTGCAGAGACACTGTGACCCGAAGTACAACCGGTAATTCAAGCTTCAAGCTCAAGCCTGGCCCTTGATTAGACCTCACTCCTCTTGAGCGAGGTGAAACGTACGAGTCTTTCGTCGAATTGGTCCCGGGTGGGTGCTTCTCGAGTCAGTCTTGAATCGCATCTTTTCCTCGCCCTCTGATATCACTTTTTCGTGTGTCGAAAGTGTCTTGTATTCTGTGACATAACCGCGTCTTCCCCACTCAAATCCCCTCGTTTTATCGTGACCTCGACTCACACCCAAAGCCTAAATTTCATCCACTACAGCCCACAGGTGCTATATGGCGGTTCTCTCCACGCGTAACACCTTTTGGTAGCCGTTCCCCAGCCACACGTATATTCTCCCCCGAAGAACTCAACCTCAGTGGGTAATTCACAATACAATATACTCGGCATCGACACTGCACATCAACGGCCAGAACGACCGCGTTGATTCCTTTTGCAGGTTAGAAGGACTCGCACAGGCCCGAGTCAATAAAGCCTCCAGCCCCAGATGTTCTTCGTCGCCTTCCGTGAATCCCGAAGATCTGATTAGCTCGTTGTTCAAGAATTCTCTTCGACGACGTTACTATGTATAAAATATCCCACATTATCTATGAGTCCCTCTTAACCTTCTTCTCACTTATGGCAACTACAGAGCCCTCCTCAGGCTCTGGCCTTCTTGTTCCGGGTCCAAACTATACGATCGAGGTCAGGCTTCTAGGAATGCTCCTGGCTGGGATTGCATATGGCGTCGTCATCCTGCTCTTCCTCGACGGTGTTCGGCTGATGCTGCAGGAATATACGAACTCGAAATTCAAGCAGCGGCTCTTTCTTGCCTACATGGGGATGATTTTTTGCTCAGCACATCGGCGCTGATAGCGGGAGTCGTGATGCTCAGAAAAACACTTTTCGAAGTCGACTACACTGAGAAATTTGGAGTTTATGGACTCCAGATGGCATTCGTTCCATTTTCACTGTGAGGAGCTGATGGCTTTCGGGTGCATAGTACCTTGAATTCCTCTTTCCTTGGCTTCGCTGACGCGCAAAACAGTTATGGCGATTTTCAACATTCATTGCTTCTTGCTTCTGCCTCCTTCACTCAACGCCGAATCACTCTGCGGGCAGACTAGGCCCACATTGTCGCCACAAGCCCATCCGCAATCGTGATTTGGAGCCAAGTTAGAAACAGCATCCACAATTCACTCATCGACATCTTGCAAACAGTTCAGTCTCTTGGCCCCTGTTCGAGTCTAAATTTAGACCCTCAATGTCATGACGGGAACGGCTCTCCTTGTCAAGGAAAGAGAATATCCTGCCCATACGCCATGTACAGAGCCAAAAATAACTCTAACTCGCCATTTTTGCATCCCCACCAAAGCTCTTATCTGCACCATATGGTCCCCGTAGTGATTTCCCTCCTCGTGGGTCCTCTTCTCTGGATTTTTATTTCAATTGCTTATATATACATGAAAGGCGGAAGGGAGAACGCTAAGTGTCGTGCTGTAACGTTCAACTTGCTCCTTACCTTCGACAATGCTCTGGTGGACTTTCATTTCGCTTGTTCTCACCGCACGTCTCGTGTACGCGACACCTGTTTCTGATGTATCAGAGTCAGGGCCACTTTTGACGCGCACTTTGTCTCTCGGTCACCAACAGGGACCCTGAAGATGATCTCCACAGAGATCAAAGTGTACAATACTACGATGTCATAGTAATAATGAAATAAAATGAAAAGCCTGTGGTCGACGCGGAGCATCCGAGCAAAGAGTGAACGAAGCGTTGACGGGCAACTGAGCGCAGCGAAGGGCCACACTCAGATCTGCCCAAGCCACGGATCCGGAATCATGCAAGAAATCCGAAGCGGGCTGCGATACCCAACGAGTAGGAGTCCCACGACGCGTCGAGCTCGCGAGGATACCCTAAAGAGTAGGAGGGGGACCGTGGGGAATCGGGATTGAAGGAAGAGAAAGTAAAGGAAAAAATACCCAGTGTGGGCAAAAGCTTGTTAGGAAGTTAGAACTCACAAGATGTTTTGTTTAGTTCATACCCAGGGTGCTGTGGTGGTCCTGGTGTTGGAATTGATGCTGTAATTCTAGGTTAATATTGTCAGATAGCTACCTTTTAAATGAAGACAGAGGTGGTAATTTGAAAGTGTAATCTTGAGGAACGGAAATCGGAAGTGTTGACCTAGGTTGTAACTGTAAGATACCTCGGATAGAAAATTTTATTCCCTCTGTGTTGGAGGGTGTGCTTGTGTGAAATTGAAAGGGTCTTCAAGTGATGTTCCATTGAGAGAATTGGACAAGAGGGCCGTTGACATCCCAATGTCGAGAAACGAGCACAAATGATGTTTTGAGATTGTGGGAGAGTAGAAAATGAGTGTGTTTGTTGTCCTGCCAGTAATTGGCCGTGGAATGGTGTCGGTTGTGCCGTTGGCCTTGGTCTCGATGCAGAGACACAAAAGGGAGTGCTAATAACCACACCGAGGCCCAGAAGAGTGTCGGATAGTGGAATGGTAGCTGGCTGTGAGTCTGTGGATGTTGTCACTTTGATTGTCAAAAGTTTTGCCTGCTGGCGTTGCGGCACAGCGCGTGTTGTTCATGTGGTACGAACGCTGGTGTGATGGGCGCCTAAAACTCAGTGCGGCGCTTAGGCTGTCACTTGTGTGACTGCTCCTGCTATCATAACAATGCGGGGAGAACGCGACGCCCATTGAGTAAAAGCAAAGGGAGGGAGAATGCTAGCAAAATTCTTAGAGGGCCTCGGACTTGGCTCGACAAGATCAGCGAGTCTTTGTCTGGTAGAATCGTAGCCTTGGCCGCAGGGTTCGGTATCTGTAACAGCACAATGATAAAGCGTGTGTCCGAGATAGCCCCAGGGGTTTGGCTGTATGGATTAAAGATCAATTTGCACCCCTAGATGTCCCGACTCCCGTAGTAGAAACTTCATGTATGGGGTGTAGGTTGGTGGAGGGTTGTAGCCCGGATGTTATACCTAGGCTTATATCGATGTGGTTGGCAGATCCCCCTTGTGTACGATGTAGGTGGTGTGGTCATGCCGAACAGTGGTGAGGCGTGTTGCTGTGCGAACACTGTCGCCACTGGGCTTCTAAGTGTGTTCCTCCGTCTCCGTATGCGCTGAGAGGGGATATGAGTGGTCGCACTCGACGTAGTGGGGCCGATCAGCGATTGGACATCGTCTGTGGTGGACTACGGAGTAGGAAGATTAAATGTAGGGCTTTATCCTGTAGGCCCATCACTGATGTGCTCCGGGTTGAAAATCAATCCAGCAAATGGATTGTGACTCAGTCTGTGTTGCGTTTCGAGGTAAAGTCTCCTCGCATCTTGTAAGCGACGGGGGAAAAACGTAAGAGCGAGCTGCGAGGCTGGCTGGCCGCCGGGCTATGCACTGGATGTAAATTTAAAGGTAATTTGCCGCCCTGCTGGATGCGGCGGGTGAAAGCGAGTATGGCGCGGAATCAGACAGATGTAATGTGAAGTGTCCATGAGCATAATTAACGCTCCGGGCGTCGTGTGCAGCAGGTCTTAAAGATAGCTTGCAAGGCTGATGTATGATGGGGATGGTAGATCGCGAATGATAAACGAAACACAGCGCACCTCATTGGAAGTTGCGATCCTTGCAATTCTACCTATACGGAAATGGAGACTGAACAGCGCATAATTCTCCGATGCATTGTGTATGGTTAATGACATGTTCTGGGGGACAGGTGCTGATAAGTCTTTTGACGGCTGGTCATGGGCATTGGATCACACAGACCCCGGGACGTGATACCCGTTGTAATGTAGTCGCGACGTCGACGCAGCTCGTAGCGGGGTTGTATTAGGTGTATTAGGTTGTATGTGACATAGAGTATGTATGGGTGTGTATCATGGCATGTACATTATACAGCGCATAGATGGTGGGGCTGGATGTAAGGGCTCGTGGTAAGGAGTGGTCAGGTAGCGTGTGGTCAGGTAGCATGTGGTATGGGTACGTAGGGGAGGACAATGGAGTGCCGCCTGTGAAGGCAACTGGTCGTGGACAGTCTCATGGCATGTACAGTGTGCGTTGTGGGCGGGGGTTCCGAAACAGTCGGGATGACGTGTTTGGAGGAGGGATGCAGCCGGTCTGTCGACATAGGCTCATAGCGTGTGGGGCGAGGCGACTGGTCATGGACGCCGTCTCGGGGCATGGACGCTGTGGGCGTTGGGTATCCGAACGGTCATGACGACACGTACGGAGCCCGACCAGTCTTTCGACATGGTCTCATAGCAGGTGGTATGGGGGCAATGGCCTGTGTAACGCACGAGATCCAGAACGGTCATGATCGACACGTCCTAGAGAGCTCGGGTGGCCTTACTGGTCTTTCGACGGTGTCATAGCGGGTGTCATAGCGGGTAGTATGCGGGGATGTATGTATGGCCCAGGAGATCCCGAATGGTCATGAGTGACGCAACCAGGAGAGCTCCCTTGCCGTACCAGTCTCTCGACACGGTCTCATGGCAGGATGGAGTGCGGCGGTGTTGGATGCTTGCTGGCCGTCGACAATTCAGCTTGTTCCTTGACGGAATGGCGAGAGGGTCAATGTGGACACATCTCTCCGATTCTCGTGCCAAAGGACTGCCTGCATGCAAATATGGTGATGTTTGGAGAACGGCCAGAGCGGGAACAATTGTTCGACCGCGAACTGGGCTTATGTGACACGGCCTCTCGGCGCAATGAAACTGTGGTTCAAAATGTTGTAAGCTGATAATGAGTCATAGCGGTGCTTATCTTATCCCCAAATCCCAGTTACTTCATCCAGAAAACTCTTCAGACTTTCGTCAGAGTCCCATGTTGGGTGGTGACAGTATGGATGATTGATGCCAAAGCAGGGGGATAGGAAGCATAGAAAGTGGATTGAATTGGCTAGAAGATGTAGGTCGGTTAAGAAAAGAAAACGCGGCTGGTGTACAGCACGCGTTGAGCAAGCCTCGAGTCCGCTGGCGGCGGCGAGGGCGTGGTCGAGAGAGAGAGGCAACGTGTGACATGACATAACAGTCACGTTGCCTCTCCGAACACAAAGTCCTAACTCTACTATCAAACGATCGTACCTCACGATTCTGTAGATTGCAATTTACGTCGATGAACAGCCCCGGCGTCTCACTGCGCTTTGTCGCTGACTCGGGAGTTTGTGAGGCGACGCCAGGCGTACGCCAACTGTCAGGCTACATTGATGTTGGAACGAACATGTCTATGGTAAGCCATTCACTCTCTAAATATAGGATCGGCCCACAGCTGCTAATTTATTCGTTCCACGGCAGTGGTTCTGGTTCTTCGAATCGCGTATTTCGCCTGAGACGGCCCCGTTTACCTTGTGGTACATCCAGCATCGAAGTGTTCTTCTGAGACTCAAGTTGATGCTGAGATTCTGATTCCTAGGTTGAATGGAGGACCTGGCTGCTCCTCGATGATTGGTCTCTTTCAAGAGAACGGCCCGTGTCTGGTCAACCCCGACGGTGCTACAACGACGATCAACCCCTACAGGTATGTATGTGCCAGTGCATAGGTTGACGGAAGTATACCTACTGACGGCTGACCGTATTCGTCTAGTTGGAACAATATCAGTAACAGTACGCCGCCTCTCTTTCTCGAAGTGATGTCGTTGATCAAAATTTCTTTAGTGATCTACATCGACCAACCAATAGGCACTGGCTTTTCGTTCGGAAACGACACCGTCAACAGCACCCAGTCGGCAGCTCCGTTTGTCTGGCAAGCATTTCAAGTCTTATCCGAGAGCGGACAGTTTGCGAAGTTGAAGACGAGAGTGTGTCCTCCGCATTTGTACTCCTCAGAATCATATCTCTGACCCTCCGCCAACCAGGTTCATTTTCGCGACAGAGAGCTATGGAGGCCATTATGGTCCCGCCTTCGTGACCTATTTCAACCAGCAAAATGCCCTCATTGCGCGAGGCCTCGTTCGGGGTGTCAAAGTCGTCGTAAGTGCCCTCATGATTAACAAGTACGTCGAACTTCCTCTATTCTCAAAGCCAAAGTTACTAAACGTGTTGAACGACCACCTCAGTGGCTGGTACGACCCTCTCATCCAGAACGAAGCCTACGTGCATTTCGCCACCAACGCACCAGGGTATGGCCAACTTCAATCAGACAAGGTCCTCCAGCAAATGAAAACATCGTTCTTCGGGCCTGGGGGGTGCAGAGAGCAGGAAGAGGCGTGCTATGCAGCTGGAACTGGTCCGGAGTCGGATCAGATCTGTCGAGACGCGGATGACTTCTGCGTAGGTTTCTTTATTTCCCAAGATTGTCAGGCCATTACTTATCAACCGTCCGCCACCCAGATCGACAACGTTTTCTCCCCTGCTGTCGGCGACCACGACGCAAACGACCTGAGGCAAAGCGGGAACTCTACCACACCGTTCCCGCCGAACTTTTATGTGACCTTCCTGAACTTGAACTCGACGAGACAAAAGATCGGTGCAGAAGTGGCACGGTTCAGAGCGTGTGCGAACGCGCCCTTCAACCTTTTCGTCCGGACGGGAGATGTGAGTTTCGGATAGGCAAAGCGATATGAAGCACTGATGTGTCGTGTATTGTTCAGGATGCGAGGACGCTCCTCCCTCCACTGGCCGCGTTGGCCAATTCGGGCATGAAAATACTCATCTGGGTAAGTCGCTTTCACAACTCCCAATTAAATTCATAAGGCCCACAACCCGTCGTGCCGTAGGCAGGGGACGCCGACATTAAGTGAGTTAGTGTGCATCCATCTCGGGACCAATTTTAGCGCCGGGCTAAATATCCGTCTCAAAAAGCTGCAACTGGCTGGGCGGGCATGCTTCCGTCCTCGCCATGAACTGGTATGGGAAGAAGCGTCTCGCCAGGACGCCGTTCCGTAACATGACGATCAACGGAACACCCGTTGCCGCGATACAGAATGTGGATAACTTTGCCTTTGCGTAAGTGGTTCCGTCGCTGTTCCCGGGGGTTGTCACCTCACGTCTATCCATACTTGATAGGCGAGTTTATCAGGCAGGGCACGAAGTTGTGAGTTCCCTTGTCGATGTCGTTGTAGCTGACTTTTTATCTACCTTTGCGATGGTTGTAGCCCGCCTTCCAACCGCAAGCATCGTTTGAGATCTTCAAGCAAGTGATCAACATGGAACAGTTACATTCCGTGAATGTAATACCCTTATAAGCGCTCGATACAGGAGTAAAAATTCTTTAATTAAAGTGTAGCAATACATTTATCATCTATAGGCATATATCCATAATGCCGAGCTGTATCGTGATCATTCTTGCTCATTTCGTCGATGAACAGAAATTCGTCGCCAGTGCCTGCAGAGTGGTCATGGATGACCTCCATGAACTCTGCCTGGACCTCTTCATCCCGTTCCTTTGCGATTTTGTGCAGCAGCTTTCTCGTGAGGCCAGCATCTTGCAGGTTTTTGTGGAGTGCGCTCCAGGAGATCGCAATGTTGTGGTTGATAGCAAGCCACCAGATAAGCTCATCAAGATAGGTGTCGGCCTCATTGTGATATACCTCCTGGATAGCAGTGAGAACAGCACGAACAATGATCCTCGGGCGACCAATAGTGGGAGAACGAGGGCGGTTGACAGTCTGGAGCTCCGAGAAGATTGCACGCCATTGGTAAAGGCTTGTCCGAGAGACACATAAGCACTCAACAATCAATGGTATGTCCCATCCAATCTCCCAAAGCCTAAGAGCACATTCTTTGAGGTCCGCGCTGATTCTTCGGTTGACCATCACCGTAGACGACGTTTAGGAGGAGTGTGAGCCGCTGTGGTCACACCGTCACAAGCCTCTCAATTAGGAATTTACACGATTTCTATTTAGAGAACTCGGAAAAAAAAATGACGGAATCCCATTACTTTCCGGAACAGCTGTAATACAGTCTGCGCCTTCGGTTCTATTCTCTGGGAATACCGAGAACCCATGCCACCTTGAAAGCGTCAGGTGGTATCATTTGAAATCAGTTGGTTAAAACGCACGCTTGAAAGACGTCTTCCTCCTTTCTCTTGAGTGGGTTGTCCTGTGAGTGTTTGAGATTCGGTGCAAGTGGAAGCGTCCGTATCACTTGCCATACGGCGAAGAATGAGGGATGGAGGCGACATCTTGGACACACCGTCAGTTACAAGGCCCAGAGAAACATGGAGGACCGACTCACAGATGCGGGAAAGAGAAACGAGGCTATGATGATTAAGGAGTAGTTCGCATTTAAGCCCGCACATACAAGCAAGAAAAATGCGATGTTGGTCAGAACGAACAAGGAGGCCGAATCCACGCCGACGTCTAGTAGTCTGCTGCCATACCAGGTCCAGTGTTGAGGACTCTCCGACTTGCGCCTCCATTTCCAAATAAGTCGAGAGCTTATTAGACCGGTGAGGACGCTTGTAAAGACGGTTACGCCTGCAGGAAGGATGGAGCGGGATGGAAACTCCAGCACAAGCAAGGACATTCGACTTCCTGTCTGAATGTGAGCCTTAACGAGCTCTTCAGGACAGAGCTATCACATACCAATAGAAGCAATCAAGACGCCAGCGAGAATGTATCGTAGAACGACGGAATATAATCGGCGTGTTCCGTCATACAGCAGACACCTCCGTATCTTTTTTCCCTTGGAATGAGAAGTTGAAGGAATTAGCATGGATTTGCGTATCATTAATCCCTCTGTCCCCCATGAGACAATGACAATGACATACGGAGAGATAAGATCAGCTGAAGAACCTTTCAGAGAGGACCGAAACAGGACGAGACCCTAAGTAACGAGATCACAATTGTAAGATTCAGTTCGCAGCTGCAAGCTATCGAAATGCCAGCACCATAGAGTAGAGATATTCAGCTTTGGATGTTGTTGCCAGATCACAGATGTATGTATGTAGTACAAAAATATAAATCAGAAGCTTCAAAAACAACAGAACAGAAATGACATGGCATGAAGGGGTACGTCGTGGTTGAGGTCGTAGTCGTCGCAGAGGTAGTGGTACACTTCAGGAGAACGAAAAGGAAAATCGAAAACCGGTAGCCGCGGCCAGACGGAGGAATAATCAAGAGGGATAAATATGCGGGAACGGGATGAGATGTGGTATGTTAGGTCGATGGTGCACGGTGCATGGATGATGATGATTGCTGGGCAGAGAGCGAAGAATATGCGGGAAGAGCGGGATGCGAGAGTGCAGGGAGTGCAGAGATGCGGGTGACAGCGAGGGGATATAAGCATACATGGGATAATCAAAACAACAGCACAAAGGAAAGGGAAAAGAGAATTGAGAAGGGAGTTGAAAAGAAAAGCCACCAATCCTATCCTACAAAACAGAAAGAAAAGAGACAGAGGGATGGTAAAAGAACACGTATAAACACAACTTGAAAGTCCCAGGATATCAAAACACACCGTCCGTCTTCCTTCGTTTCCTCCTTGCTTCCTTGTTCAAGGCGTCCGGCGTCGTGTGTGCTTGACGGTGCTTGATGGTAATACACTTGCTTGCTTGTTCCTTCTTCCGCTCAATCCATATCCATATCGAAATCCATCTCCATCCCATCCCACTTCCTTTGGTGCTCATGGCGCTTGGTACGAACCTCCTCATCCTCCATCTCCTCCTCATCTTCGTCCTCTTCCCTAACACTGAAGCCAACACTCATCTCATCCTCTTCACGCTTCATCACGCCCCTGCGCCCATACGACTGGGGATACGCACCATACGGGCTCCGGCTTGCCGCTGTGGGATACGTGAACCCACCAGACGGGGTGCCGTAACTCCCATACGCCGGGTAGGCGCCATACGAATGGGATCCGGGGGCCCTCAGACCATTCGGGTCATCCAGCCCCTCAACATCCACGTCAATCTCCACATCCGACGAGCCTGAACGGCTGCCCGACCTCGATCGGGAGGACGAGCTCTCCGAGCGCACGGACGACGAGGGGAGGGACCACCCGCCCAATCCGCCCGACAACGCCGAGACAGGCGCATCAAAGGCGGAGGTGGGGGTGGGAGTTGGAATGAGAGGTACGGGGACGGTGGGTACGCCCACCAACCCAGGGCGGAGCTGCGTGATCGTGGCCTTCCCACCACTACCGCTCGAGGGAAGGGAGTAATCGTGCAACCGGGGGCCAGAGGGCACGGACGCGGAGATGGGGTGCAGGGGGTAAGTCATCGTCGTGCTCCTGGGTGGTGGGACAGCTGCAGGGGCTGGGATAGGCGTTGGAGGGGCTGGCGTGTGCATGTCACTGCCGTCAGCCATGGGTAATGAACCCCCAGAGAGGAACGAGGGCCATTCGGAGCGGTCTTCGGGTAAGGAGGTGGAGCATTTGCCCATAAACGAGAGAATGGTAGCCGCCTAAAGACCATAAGGGTTCTAGGCCTTTAGCACAAGAGGCAAGAAGAGGGACGAACCTCGAGGAGTTGCACCTGCTGGTGTTTACTCAACACGAACTTGGACGCCTCGCGCCAATGGCGGGTATGTTCCCAACGATGCTTGTTCAAGCAGTTCGGATGGCGATACACCTGGAGAGGCGGGCGGAGTTAGCATTTAGTGATACGGAAAAGGTAATGATCGCGCCAAATCCAGAAGAAGTGTGACGATGTGAAGAGACAGCGAGATGAAACGCAAACGCAGCCATCACTAGCACGGAACATGCCGGAGATGCATGGCAAAGAGAGGGAAGAGAACGCGAACACAACGCAAAGGAAAACAAAACAAACCTTGGCGCAGCTCTCGCACTTATAATCGATCCCTCTCTTCTTCGGCTTGCCATTCGCGCCAATAATCGGGATGGGCGTCGAGCCCTCCTTCTCTCTGTCCCTCTCGTCGGCCTTTGGCTTGGTATCTTTCTCAGCCTCAGTTCTTGACCTCAGCCCAACATGCACGGGCGCAGGCCCCGAGCCATTGAGCGCTGCGATGGATATACCAGATGGGGTATTGGTAGGGCGAGGCGCGATAGTCTTCTGTGTTAGAGTATGCCCGGGCGAGGTGGAGATGGAAAGCGCGGAGAGTGAGAGCGCAGCCGAGGATGCAGGCGAAGAAGATACGAGTCTGGACGGGGTGGTAGTTAGTACGATAACGCTACGAGTGAAAGGTAGATAGGGAAGAAGGGAAGATGTGGTGGGTCGTAATCAACAGATAGAAACGCAAACAGGCTGCTTGATGCACCACAGAAGTAGCGAGCGAGCGATAGGGGGTGTCGGACGCGAACCCTGGAGTCACTGCTTCCTTCTTGCAGAGCGCACTACGAGCGCACACCAAATACGGCGAATCAAGGAGCCAAAACGGCAAAACGGCAAAATGGAGGCATGAAGCACCGCATCGTCAAGTAACCACAAAAGTTATGCCGGCATCCGGTAGAGAATGAACTCTGGAGCCCCAACGGTCACTGGGAACCAAGTTCGATACCATGCCAGCACACCGAGTAATGAATACGGTGTTCGGAGTGAATCAATGGCGATCATGGATAAAAATAAAAAGTAGCTGGAGGACACGTATGCTTGAAGGGCACGGTGATCCCACCACTTGCCCGCACAACTTTGGAAGCAATAGACGGAGGCAAATGCGCCGGCGTCAATCAATTACCAGCAGGAACTGGTAAGTGAAAGCAAGAAGGCTGCAAGCAGCGAATGCCAATAGCGTCTTAAAACCGAAAGAATGCATGAAAAGCAATGCCCATTAACAGCGTGCTGCGTCGAAGATAGGTGGGAGCTTCTCTTCGACGAAAAACGCGGCTAATAACGTCGGCATAGCGGCGGGGAAAAAGACCAAACGGCGAGGGTGGCGGGATAAACCCCAACAAGGTACATTTGCACCCAATTAGCAGTGCAATGTACGTTACGACGTCTGGCAGAAGGATACACCGCAACAGGTCCGCCCCAGTTCCGAGTAATAAAATGAAAGAAAGCGAACACGACAAAAGCGCAGCCAGAGACTGGAGAGGAAGAAAGAAAGGTAGAAGAGGTGCGTAAACCATGGAAAGGTGGTGCATCGACGCAGGTCGGCAACGAGCCCACTTCACCGATTCAATGAATTGGAAAGTGGCGGAACAGTGACAAGGACAAGACCATATGTCAACAAGTCAACGTGATGCATTGGTCCATATCAAGGACAGAGTGAATGATGGGAATGGACACAAAAAAGTTGGGGCTGCGGTGCTGCCCAAATCGCAGTCCTCGCTGCTCGTCGTTCACGAACGCACATTCAAAGCAAGCAACAGCCCAAAGCAACGAAAGGAGAGCAGAGAACACTCACAGTGGTCTGACCGAAGCTTCCCTTGCATCACTAAGCCTCCTCCTGGTCTTGCCAATCGAGCTGAGGCGACGGTGGTGCTTTCCCGCCGAAGAAGCTCCTACGCTCGAGCCCGGGTTGGGGCCAGCCAGGCGGGCATCGAGGCTCCCTGGACCCGCTGTGCTCAGCGAAGCTTGTTGCTGGGAATTGGCGCTCGCGGCCAATTCGTTGCTTTGGGTGGGAATAGGAATGGGGGCCGCTTCTGAGGCCTGGAGACCGAGCGAGAGCAGGCTAGTCACGGCGTCGGATTGCTAGTGGAATAAGGTTGGTGGGCCTCAGCATTGGTGTAGGACATGGCAGAAAGTGGAGACGTGGATTCTGTAGCTGGGGTGACGTACCGTGAGTGGAGGTGCTCGAATGGCGGTGGAGCCGTGGCTGGATTCGACGGCTGCCATTGGAATTGCGAAGTTGCGGAGGACGACGTGGCTAGGAGAGGTGGAAGTAGAAACGAAAGAAGGAGAAAGAAAAAGTTGTTGAGATAAAGTTTGTATGGTCAGAGAAAGGCTTGCATGATCCCGAGCAGTCTACAGAAAAGGAACGCTATTAGCTCACTGCTATGTCCTAGCGGCATAGCCACCCCTATATTTGCCTTTCATTTAATTTTCGCTTATTTCCAAATACCTGAAATTGTCCCTTGTTTTCCCTTAAGATCCGGGTTGAAATCCTTCTCCTAGCACTGCTACTCGTATACCATATTTTCCGAAAGAATCTGAGCTCACTGAAGCTCTGTTCGTCTTGCAATAGGGAAATCCACGGCAGTCGGCCGCATCGGCCAAACGAACGGCACAATAGTGCAATCCTAATTAGGACGAATCGCGACATCTGCCCGCCTCGTGACTCCCAAAATTAGGTCTTTCTTCCGACTCTCCGACACTACCCAGTGACTCATTCACACCTCGTCATTCGCATGGACCGCGGTAAATTCACAGTAATCGCTGCGGTTTTCTCCCAAAACGTCGTAGGACGCCGGTCTACGGAATTTCTTTCCATCGTGCATCCAAAAGCGCTCCACACAGACCTTGCACAGGTCGTGCCTTCTCCGTGCCTGGGATGGTGCCAGCATCCGTTTCTGCAATTGACGACGTTCTTGTTTCTTCTTTGTGTTATCTTCGACTCTTTGTCCCTTCACACATTCAAGACGACTCTCATCAATTATGACTTCGTGACGATGCCAATCTATCTTGTCAACATTTTTCTTGTCTCCGGAGAAATTCGCCAACGTTACAGACTACCCCGCGTCACGCCACCAAACGGATACTCGCTCTTCGAAAAGCTCGAACAGCACCGATCTTGCCCAGAGGACGCGTAGGACGTAACAGCGTCCTCGTCCTCGTCTCGCTAGAGGGACTTACTCTGAAAGCCGTCCATCCACGTTCGAAGTCGAAGATTTGTCGCGTCGGCGCGGGCTAGACACAGTACGGTCGCAGAGTGAGGGAGACTCGAAGAACATCAGGATCCTTAAAGAGGATCGCTTCTCATCCGAAAATCCTAAGTTTTTCATTTGAACTTGGGGCCGTTCCCGGCGTCAATCGTACATGACGCGACAACGCTGCTGGAAGTAATAGAACTTCTACGGCATCAGCGCCCCGGTAAATTAAGCGCCCTATTTGAAAGGGTCTAGGAAGTTTCTGCCACGGAATCTTCTACATACTTTCCAGTGTACCCCAATCCGTCATCTGTAACCGTCTCCGTCACATGCACAACAGAAGCAACCCGCACTGCGAAGGACTTTCGGGAGTCGTGTTAGATAAACCTCAGGCTTTCTCTGAGCTTGACACTTGTGGTGATAGCATCAACTCCTTGAGCTACGCGCCGCAGAACGAAAAGCGGAGCTATGACCTGCAAATAATTCGCGTCCGATCAGTCCGGCTCCAGAAATTTTGATATAGAAACATACATACCGCCAAATGAACGATCAAATGTCCGGGAACTTGGGAGAGCATGGGTCGGTGAAATAGGAGAGCCGCATACACGAGGTTTGTGAAAGCGATGATCAGGCAGGATTCAACGCAGATGGCGATGAAATTCGAAAGTGGTGTACGGAGAACCGTACTTCTCTCCAAGGGTCCCCTGGGTGCGGTATCGGTGCCAGAGAAGGCGAAGAGTGATCATGGGGCAGAGAATGAGGTTCAGTGTGCCAGACGTCAGAGTAAGGAGCGCCGCAGGGAGTTGGGATAGCTGGAAGGATGAAGTAGGCTCATGAGATTTTGAGAACATGATGACTAGCATTGCGATTCCAGATCCTAAGGGGAATTTGGAACATAACGTCAGGCTCACGAGTATGCCCCTCGCAAGAGATAGGCGCCTACCCAATGAAGTCACAGTCATAATACAGAGGATAATGCCAAATAATATCTGCGTCGGGCGATTAACCCCCTTGTAAAGATTGAAGCAGCGCCACAGCTGGATTTGTGTATCAGAAACTAGAAGCAAAACCAAAATACGGCACCTACTCGAAATCCATCTGCCCCCCAAAGCGAAAACGGAACAAAAACTATGTGGAGTCCGTCAACTCCATAACTCTCTTTATAGTTTTCTTGGAATAAGGTCCTCCGAAGAGTCACCATTCCAACAACGAGAGCCGCCGTACTGATGCCAAACATCGTTGTCATGTACAAGATGAAAATTCGCTGCCTGAGCTTTGAGTAGGTGTACTTCTTCAGCATCAGCTGAGTAGTTTCGACGAAAAGGGTGGTGACGATCCCATATGCGATTCCGGCGAGGATTACCCCAAGCACCTTGAGCTCGATCGTGGAGTTGGGGCCCAGAACGCGCCCAGATGGGGTCGGTGGAGCAATGCTCAACACGAAAGACGCCATAGGGAAACGGTCTACCAGTGTGAATAGTCTAAGGAAAGGAGAACAGTATGCTGAGGGTTTTGATACGTCTTGAAAGCATTGTCTTAAGAGGGTTGCATACCTGTCGACGGGGACCTTTATTAACATCGCCTTGGATATGATCGGATTTTGATGCCGCTATCAAGGCCTGCAGTGATTGATGATCTTATATTTCAGGAATACACATGAAAGAGGATAATGGCCTGAAACGTTTATGTGGCGCACGGAACTAATCAATGGAGATACTTCTTCAGAGATTTATAAAGCTTTCAATTCTACCTGAGGTAAAATTTCGAACTCGAAGCAGAGGATTGGGCTACGGATGTTGAAGGCGATACAGCACATCATTTTAGAATAACCACACGATCCTTTGATGCTCCTGATCGTCGCGCTAAGAAGCGCACTGCTACGAACTTAGGAGGACATCATGAAAGGCATATTTTTACGACGACCGAGACTCATTGACTCGGGATACATCTTCCCTCGAAATTTTCAACTTCACCATCGTACAGTCTTCCCTAAATTCTCCGATGGGCAAAGCCGCACACAATCCCTAATATTAGCACTTCGACTCTGTTTTTTTTTCCTTTTTACGGAAGTGAGCTTTATTATTCAAGGACTTCACATTTGTCAATGTACATACAAATGCTAGATGGGATGGTACCGTTCGTGTGATACAAGCTACTACTGCTACTACTGGCTAGCGGGACACCATCTTGCAGTGTAAATTGTGGCCAAGGATATGATCCCGCTAACATAGGAAAGGCGAGAGCACGGAAGATGGAAGGTAATTTACTTGGGGTCGGGGAATTTGTCTTCCTTGGGAGAGCTATTCAACTCAACGTCGGTGACCGTTTCGGTGAATCGCATAATGGAAGTCGGCTTTCGTTCAAAGGATTTGACATCATACGATATGTTGCAATTGGTGCTGTCACCTTGTGGCCTATGCAGCGTGGTAATTGCGTCGATTCCCTGAGCCACGCGCCGAAGCACGAGGAAGGGGGAAATCACCTAGATCAAGGCGCTCAATTGGGACTGATCATCTGAACTTGGAGAATGCCAAGACTTACGGAGATATGAACGATCAGTTGCTCGGGTACCCAGGACGCCATCGGGTTACTGAAGATGAGACCCGCGAATGCGAAGTTGACGACGACGATGAGCAAGCATGATTCGACGCAGATTGATACGAATTTTGTATATGGCGAACCGTAGCTTGCGCCAAGCGCGCGTTGAGTGCGCCTCCGATGCCAAATTAGGCGAAGAGCGATCAAGGCACCCAACGAGATGTTCAACGTTGCTGACGTCAGCGCAAGTACAGCTGCTGGAAGTTGCGCAAGTCGGAACGCCGAGGAAAGGAAGTGGGGGTTTGTGTACATCACGACCATTACTGCAAGGCCGGAACCTATAGCAGAAATTAAACCCCCGTGCTGAGCCTCCCCCAATCCCTGTGCTTACCGAGTAAAGTAACAGCGAGGAATATGAGCAGGATTGTGAGTGCGATTTGACGCGGAAGCTGGATGCCCTTGTAGAGGCAGACACAACGCCATACCTACCCCTGATGTGTCAACTATCAAATCCGAATTACAGTGGTCAGCACGTACCCTGAACGCGTCTGCTCCCCACAGCGAGAGAGGGACAAATATCAACGGAAACCCATAGGGCCCGCGATTCTCGACATAACCGGTTTGAAAAAGCGTCTTCCGTAGGGTTGTCATGCTCGATATTAAGAAAAACGAGCTAATTATAAACATAATGGCGATGTAACCCAGGAATACTCGCTGTCGGAATTTCGAGTGGGAATATTTCTCGACCATGAGCCGGACACAGTCGATGAAGAGCATGACAACGACGCCATATGCGATACATCCAAGGGTGGCCCCCAGCATCTGGAGCTCAACCAAACCGTCTGGGCCGGGGACGAACCCACCAGGCTCAAAGGAGGGAGTAGCGGTCGGCGCGGACGTAGTCGACATGGCTGGTGGGGAGAAGTCGACCAGACTGTGCACACAAGGTGGAATATAAGAAAGCATCCAGCCTTCTAACGGCCTTCTATCATCCGAAAATGAGCTTTCGAAGCCTCTTGCCTGATTCATTACTACGCATGCCGAGAACGGGTTCCGTTATGCCCGAATTCCTAACCGACAAGTTTCCCAAGGCTATGTCATAAGGGGCTGAGAATTCGGTTGGTTTCGTACTCTTGACTCTCTATTTTCTACGACGCGATGGAGGGTAGAAGTCATAAATCAGAGGAAATGATTGTCATATTTTCAGATACATCTCTATCAATGGCTCCGTTGCCAAGAAATTCCACTCTATTGGCGGAAATAAGAAGGCAAGAACGAAAATAACACTTCCGCACGGCGCAGACGATGAATGGGACTAAGGGTCAGTGAGGAAAACAACCCATCACACTCACGCCCATTTCACCCCAGCGTCGACGACACGCAGGTACCTTGAGGCTTGGGCCCGGGAAACTGGTCGAGGACCTATCAGACGTAGTCAGACCCACTCCTACTGTGCTTCGTCTTGCTGCTGGTTTGTAGGCTTAAATGTCATGTCGGTGCCAAAGCGGTTAACTGGCTCGTATGCTTTAAAGTAGCTTTCTTCCATGCACCTGTCTTGAGGAGGGCACGCGTTGCCCAGATGACCGACTATCACAGCACAGAACACCTTCCATTCATAGATACTCTCCAGAAATCATAAGGCATGCCGTCCTGGGTATCCAAAACACAAGCTTGCTTGCACTTATTCGACCTTCAGTTCACAGTGGCGCAATAGAAGCTCCAACATCTACGATGAAGTGCAGATATCAGCGGGTAATTGAGCGGCGTCTCCACAACTGGCTCCGTGTTAGCAAAGCCCGCCTCCCATAAGTTGAGGCCCTATCTCCCCTCTAGAGTGCGATGTGTGGTGAACGAGGGCGGCGTCGTTTAGGCGACCTTCGGCGTAAACAAAAGTGCGGATTAACCCCCAACGTCATATTACACTCCCTGCTCCCCACCAGAACCGTGATGGCTCGGATGCGGCGCGCGATATTCTGGAGAGAATCGAAGATAGCCTGCGTCGGAAGGTGGCGCTCGGCACCCTTATTTGAGAGTTATGAACGGATAGCGGTTGGTCCGGAGAGACCCTTTGCAGGCAATGATGAAGTGATTGTCGACCGTATCAACGAAACGAGTGCTCACGACAAAGTGGAAGCGAAGGCCCGAGCGTAAGAACAGGAAACATGACTCCTTCGCAATAAGCACACTTGACCCTGCGAAGCTCTGGAGGGACAAGCTCATTTCCCAATGCAACAGAGTTTCGGAAATGGATGGAAGGAACAATTGCATGCCCGCCTTCTCATCCGCTCGCTTTCAGTCAATTGGAATATCGCAATAGCATCTCGGCGACTCGAGCGAGAATGATTAGAAATGGAGGAATTGTCTGTAATACAAGGTGTCAGTGAGACATAATGCGAAGGGTCCAAAACCTACGAAAACTTGTAGGAGCTGCCCGAAGTCTACCAGCACCCTAAGGTAGTTGCCCGAGTCGGGATACCGACTGTGACTATGGCGGCGACTTGTAGAGACTTGCTGTTGGAATGAGCATACAGAGAAACTTTCTGAGATTGTGACGGGTAGGTTCGAAATACATCCATCTTGTAGAGTATGCAGGAAGTGGGGATGAGAACGGAATTAGCAATTGTATTGTTTGAATGGCTCACCAATCATGCTACCTACAGCACCTTCGCTCTCAGCAAAGCTGCAAAGTTGATCCATAACCCCGTTGTCACAACACCCAACACAAAGCCGGCAAACACCTTTAGGTCGACAACTTGTGCAACGCCACCTGCCCCCCAAATTGAAGCTTTCGCCTTCGCCTTCATCTTCATCTTCGTCGAGACAGTCACATCATCTTTGCCCCAGTCCTTGGACGCAGCAGCCTCGTTGAAGATATTCCGCGACAGGAACGAGCCGAGAAGCCCGGGAAGACCATCGATGCTTTTCGCGTTGTGATTCTTCCAGTAGTCCTTGAGCCCATCGTCGGACAACGGCAACTTCTCCGAATCCGGTTCATCATCACAGCTGGCGAGTGCTGCTGATTCAACTTTGACGTCGACGAGCTCTTTCTGGGCAGCGATCTTGTTCAAGAGCATGCGGTCCGACTTGTACGCGTAGAAGGGGATTGAAAACCCACACGACTAGCAAAGCTCGCATTGAGAGGGTGTCTTGTAGATTTCAAGATAAGCCTTACTCACAGTGCCAACCTTATGGACGTCCACCACGATGACCGAACGTGATCCAACGCTCCTCTTCTCTCTCGGAATCAACTCGTTGTATTCGGGCGTGCCGAACTCGTGGACAGTGCCTGCGTTGGGGTGTCAAAACGCGAAACAGCATGCCAACGTACTGCAACTCGCCAGTCCCAAACAACCGGACGATACGTGGTGGACCTTCAAAGGCAGAAAACAGGATGGTGATCCTCCCGTTCTCTCGCAAATGAGATATCGTTTCAACACCTATCACAGTGCGATGAGGAATCTCGTACCGCTCTGACGGGGAGAACTCACCACTGCCCGTCAAGTCCTCGTACCACACTCTGTGCTGATCGATGACATGGAAAGTGTGCCCGTATCCCTTCGGCGAGACGTTAACGTGGCCTGTAGGAGACAGCGGGGCCGTTGCGACCCAGAACATCTTCTGCTGCTTGATCCATTTTATGAGGAAGTCGGGGATCTCATCGTAGAATTTGCCCATGGCACGAATGGGAGGTGGTGGGAGGTGGAGAGTACGTCAATGCCAAACGGCGAACCTGCGTTGTATTCGGACTTTAACGTAGTACAGACGGCGGAATATACACATCCAAGGAGCAGTCATATGGCGCACAACCATCAAAGAATTGCTTCTTGCTCGTCCAATCCTGCGCAAAACATCACTCCAATGCCGATATCCCACCGGCTCTGACACAGCCAGCGCTGGCATGGAGATTTGGTGATATATCAGATAATATCAGCTATCTCCCATGGTGCCATGAGATGTGAAAGTTGTCTTGCGATCTATGTCTTTTGAAATTGGAGAAAGGTGGGTGGAAGAAAGAAGGAAAGAAAGCGAAACCTGTGTCTGTCGCAAATGCAACATGGTCTGTGCGCGTGGTCTGTATCTTATCAGATACGGCGATCTTACATTATGCATTTCCCAAGTCGGCCGGTGACTTTATCGTGTGTCTCTGCATGAATATTAATGGAAGAACATGGCGAGATTAATGGGATAATAGGCAGACTCCTAGATCGACGGTGATTACACGCTCTTTTGCGCCAATGAAATCGAATCGTTGACGGACTCAATGCGAGGGTGCTACCATTAACATCGGAGGCCTTTAAGTATTACTATTATGCGCCAGGCTGTACAAGGGTGCTACTTATATGTCAGAATACATGTTGTGAGTGGGGTGAAGATGTAGTGTTCAGAGTAATGTAGCTGCGCCAGAAATTTTAGATTTTCTTCCGGCGCTTAAGGGAGTTTAGGCCGAAATACGTCCCGAAGAATGTTGGCCCACAACCCAGACGCCACAACTCCAAGCGTAAAACCTAGCAAAAGTTTTGTGTCGACGAATTTTGCAATTCCAGTTGCTTGTGTCTTCGCAACTTTAACTTGGATCTTAGCCTTCGCGCCTGTCGAGATGCTCAGGTCGTCTTCGCCCCAATCCTTGGCAACAGGAAGGAACGTCCTCCGCGACAAGAACGACGTCACTAGACCAGGGAGACCATCAATACTCTCCTTATTGTGCTTCACCCAGAAGCCCTTAAGGCCTTTGTCAGTGACTGGAAGTTCGTCGGTCGCCTGGCAGGGAGGCTGCTGGTCGCAGCTCGGGAGAGCAGTCGCATGGGTCCGTCGGGCGGGAATAACAACTTCGGATTCAGCCTTGATATCTACGGACTCCATCATGCATGCGACCTTGTTGAAGAACACACGGTCCGCTTTGTAGGTGTAGAACGGAATGGAAAAGCCACAGGACTAAACGCAAATTGTACGGTGAGGTAGGGGTTGCTGAGGAATTCATCCTACTCACTGTGCCAACTTTGTGGACGTCGACGACGATGACCGAACGGGAGCCAGTGCGTCTCTTCTCCACGGGGATCAAGTCATTGTACTCGGGAGTATCAAACTCATGTACAGTTCCTGTCTAGAATATGAGCAAGATCTTGAAAGACATGATACTAGTACTGGAGACCGACCTGTTCCGAACAATCGAACAATCCTTGGAGGACCTTCGAAAGCACAGAAAAGGATAGTCATACGACCATTCTCCTGCAAATGTGATATGGATTCAACGCCTACGAGATTTAATGAAAGGACCCCTCTGGACAAAAAGAGGAATAGGAACTCACCACTTCCAGTCAAATCCTCATACCACACCTGGCTTTCGTTGGCAATATGGAATGTATCGTCATACCCTTTCGGCGACACATTAACGTGACCGGTCCTCGAGAGAGGGGCTGTCGCGACCCAGAACATCTTCTGTTGTCTAATCCATGCGATGAGGAAGTCGGGGATCTCGTCGTAGAACTTGCCCATGGCGGGATGAGGAAAAGAGTAAAGAAGTCAGAGCTGTAATTCGAAGACTTAAATGCTGCTCCAAAGAGAATATCAGATTGTTACCCACCATTCACGACCCCTTCACGTACATAATGGCTGCGGTTTGAGCGTCGTGAGCGGCTTGAATAGACACGACCACGACTGCCGCCGTCATACGTAGCCACCGGCATCCCAAATAAGCGGTGTATCGGGGGGTGTATACATAGATGTCCATTTGGTTTTTAGGATGATTATTGGGGTCTGTTTTATGTAGCGTTGAACCGGGAAATGATGACCTGGAGGAGATGAAGAATCCATCCAGCTGAAGATTTAGCATGGGAATTATCTTATCAGATAACCTAGTGACATGTAGCGGATTGTTGGCCGCTTTCTTTTTTGACTATCATCATTCATCATGTTTTCTCTCCGCTTCATAAGTATCTGTGCCCACGAATAACGAGTCAGCGACCGGAACCGACAATGACCTGACCTGACGCCATGAATCTGGTTCCGAATGTCTTTTGACTAACCTAGAGTACTTATAGGTTTCAACCGTTCCACTACTTCGAAGTTTGCTCTTGAGACTGAACGTTCAGAACGGCCATCCCTTCTTGTCTCACTCGAGCCTCCATGGCGGCCTCTGCGTCCGCCCGGAAATCCTCCTTCAGCCACACCCTCCAAATAATCACCGAAACCAAGCTCGACGAGCTCGAGAAGCAACGCCGAAGTCACCAGGAACACGCCACTGTCCTCAATGAGGTCAGAAACTGTGATGACGTCTTAAGAAAGGTCGAGCTCCTAGCGAATGCTATCAAGTCCTGGACAGGATCTGGTGCTCTGAACGACTCCCAGACCGTTGGTGGGAAGCTTCATCTGCCTGATCTCGACTTCTGGCTCCTCCAGGCGAAACAGGATCCCAGCTTTAGCCTTTCCACCGCCCATGGTTGGGTTGATGCCCTCGAAGAGCATATTAAACACAATTCCACGCGATTCGATGCTGCTACACTGTTTGGGAGACTCCTGAACGAGTGGCTAGCCAGCGGTGACTCCAATGGTGGCTTTGAAGAAGCCAAACAGACGAACGCATCTGGAGACGAGGACGCGTCCGACACAAGCTTTGTCGAAGTCGGCAGAAAAGAGTTGCACGAACAGAAGGAGAAATTCAATTTTATCGTCTTCGAGGATCACCCTGTCGACAAACGCGAGCTCGTCGCCTACCTAGAGAAGCTCTTCCAGGCCGACGAGGCAAAGGCCGGACTTGAGGCGCTACGCAAGGACCTGAAGAATTTTGGACACCTTCTCCAACGACGGCCAATATTCAGGGGTAACGTCTCCAACGCCATTCAGGGCATCCTCCTTTCGGGACTTATGGACGAGGAGAAGAGGGATACCCTCAAGGCGTTCCAAGAGAGTCCCACCGCGAAGGATGAGCTCGCAAGCGTTCTCAACATGCGAATGTCAAAAATCAAGAACTGGGCATGGCCGAAAGAGGGCATGCCTGTCGAGTTTCGTCGACACCTGAATGGCAAATACAGGTCTGTTTCTTTTGTCTGCTCTGGTGTTGATGCTGAGCGCTGAATGTTGACCCTTGTACTTCAGAGCCTTCACCGACCCGGAGATCATCGACGCCATATTCCTGCACCACATCGGCGTGGCATGGCAAGTGGCGCTCAAGGCAGCCCTTCGTCGTCTCTACCAGAGCGCGGCGTGGACCCGACGCAGACACCCTCCTGAAGTCATTTCGCGCTGCAGGGCTCAAATATCCGCCGGGAACAACTCGATCCAAGTACAACGTGACTCCATGCGGTATCGCGACTTCTTCATGAGTCAACTACACGACCGTGCGGACAGGCCGAATTTTTACGACGACAATCACAATTCTAACGACCGAAATCCATCAAATCCAGCCATGACAAAGCGTCGACTGCTCCACGTTATGACAACAGAAGCATACCTCAATACGGCCGTTCATGGGACACACGCCATGATCTGCTCCGACCTCGAGTGGTTCGGGCCTTCTCTGCCTATCACCTCCATCCTCACGGTCCTCGAGTTCATCGGCGTCTCAGACGACTGGGGAGATTTCTTCAAAACGTTCCTCTCTGCCCCTCTGCAATTGCCTGGTGAATCGGAACCACGCATTCGTAAGCGTGGTACACCAATTTCTTATTCGCTCAGTGCATTCTGCGGGGAGGCTATTCTGTTCATGATGGACTTCGCCGTCAACCAACGCGCCGATGGTCTCTTCCTGTACCGTATGCACGATGATCTATGGCTCTGGGATGCTGACGTGAAGAAAGTCGCGGATGGATGGACAGAAATGAAGACTTACGCAGCCCTCGTCGGTCTCAAGTTCAACGACAAGAAGACTGGCGCTGCGTACATTGGGGACCCTGACCCTAACACTCAGCGCCTACCCCCAACAGACGTCCGATGGGGCTTCCTTAAATTCGATGTTGCCAAATCGCGATTCGTCATTGACCAGAGGGAAGTCGACCGACACGTTGTCGAAATGCGACGCCAGCTCGCAGCAGCCCAATCCGTCTTCGGTTGGGTCAAGGCGTACAACAACTACATGGCCTTCCTCTTCAGAAACTTCGGTGGCGTTCCGGCGAATTGCTTCAGCCAACAACACGTCCTCGACATGATCGGCACCTTGGGACGTATACAACGAGAGCTATTCCCTGAGGAAGGCGGAGCTGTCGGGTATTTGAAGAAGACGCTTGCAGTGCGCTTCGGCATCACGGATTTCCCTGAGGGATACTTCTACTTCCCAATCTCTAGTGGCGGGCTAGAGCTGCGAAACACGATGCTGGAGTTGCTGGTGTTAGAAAGAAATGGCCACCCGCTGGCCACATACAACCCTAAAGAGGATGAGAATCTCGTGCATCTTCCACCCCTAGGCATGTTTCAACCGCTCCCCGGCAGAGTTCCCTGGAGGCCGAAGCCTGCCTACGAGGAACCCGCGCACGAGTCCAGCGAATCAGATGGCAGCTCGTACTATAGCTCCGAAGGCGAAGAGGACGCTCCTATGACAGAAAACAGATTCAAACAGCATATACTCAGAGATCGGTTATTCTACAAGCAGGTGAAGGAGAACTGGGAGGTCACCGCAGGCACCCGAAATCTCCGCAACACAACGACGACAAGCTCGGGCCGGGATGAGTTCATGTCGTTCGAGGAGTACGTCTCTTACCGTGAATCCTGGCTCTCGACGTGGGGTGACTACTACGAAGAGATGTTGCGCTCTCCGCAGATACGCACCATAACTTTGGTGCCCCGGGTACAGGAGATGATGCAGAAGAGCGTTGGCCGGTTGGATTGGGATAGCATGAACTGGTACCAGCGATGGATCATCAGTATATACGGTGACGGAGTGGTGAAAAAGTTTGGCAGCCTAGCTGTCATTGATCCCAACTTGATTCCTATCGGTATGGTAGAGCTCTTCAAAACCTCTAGGATGAAATTGGACCAGTGATGGAAATTACGGTATTTTCGCATTTCGTGGTCAGCACGCCCTGAGAAGACGAGTTCAGTATGTATAGCATGTATAGAAAAGTAGAACTGTGTACATACCGAATGAACTGCTTGCCTTAAACCCTGTGCGTGTGCTCCAGTGATCTTCAAATCGAGACACACGACGCCCTGGAAATTTGATAACTGACACATTGTATAGCAAAAAAAATTACACTAGACGGCATCTACATCAGTTCACGATCACCATATCGAACAGTTCACACTTACTTTCTTGATAGTCTGCTGCTAGCAATCTATAGTGAAGAAACTGCTATCAACCACCGCGCCAATAATCACAATCACAAGGCAAACTCACAGTTCCAGTACAATTTCCGGCGGTATACGATCCAACATCTCCTTCACTGGGACCTCTTCCTTGGTCCCGATGGACTCGTGATGAGCCTTGAAGCTCATGTACTCAACCAACTTCTCCAAGATGATTCCTCTGCGACGTGAGGGCGACACATCAGTTTGAAGAGGACCAGACGAGGGCCAACCGAGACTTACCTCTCACGTATCTCACAAATGCGACTCTGAGCTTCTGCATATCCACCTAATAACACCCAATGCCAACAGTCAACAGCAAGTCAGCAACCTGCCCTCCTTGGGCAATAGGAACGAAGAAAGGAACGCGAGAACACACCCGTTGGGTCCAGCATGTTCCGTATCGTCCCGCTCATATTCGCCACCTTCCGTGGCACGAGGTAGCAGAACCCGTCCGTGCTCTGCAAGCGTACCCAGTCACTGTCTTTTTGAGCGGGTTGGTTGTCGTTGCTCCCAGCGCCGGCTCGCCTTGTGGGTATCCTGTAAGAATAAAGGTAGTTAGATACAGAGAAATGGGAAGAAGTAGTGGGAGTGTACATCTCAACGTCTGAGTCGGCCATGGTTGTGGCGAGGGAGGGAATTGGACGCGTTGTTTGGCTGGCCATCAAAACCGTAACGGGACAATTAAGTAGCGTGATCACGTGCTGTTATGACGCGTCGCGACGCGTCAATAAATTTCGAGGATCAAATTCAATCACTGAATCCGTCGCTTTGGCCTGTGCTCAAACCAAGGATTGCATTCAAAAATCTTGGAGTGGATAACATATATTCTACCCGCTCATTTAGCACTAGCATAACAACAGCATTGACACACCGCCAATAAGGTCTTTATGGTGCTGAATTAGTCTAACGCCCCTTCGACGCGTATCACACAGTTTTACCGGTATCCACCGTTCCTTTTTTAACCTGACACTCAGACTAAGTCCTCACAGAGCTACAGTAAAGACCGTTCGAGACCAGGTGCAGCTTCTCCACTACGGTGGTCCTTATGTAGCTCCATGGACTCGGAGAGCGGAAGTGAGTGCCAGCTTGGCTCTTTTGGGGCGTTCCATAGCTTCGCCCGATTACCCATTACGTGCCGGCCAGCCAAATTTTGCGACGCATCTTTCATTGTAGCGAAGAACAGAACACCACCGAGCGCCTTTCCCTCTTACGAAATACCCGACGAGGCAGAGCAAGAGCCAAGGTCCGGGAATGGTGGAAGTTGGTAGCCTTGATGTTCTCAGCCAAAATGAAGGCGAACAGGGTGCGCCACACGAGTTGGTTTGGGCTCGATTGGGACCCAGGGTGATGATACGTGCCGTAGGCGTTCACTAGGCCTTTGAGTCCACGGGAATCCCAATGACAAGAGGCTAGAGGCGGTTGTGTTTCAGACGAACATAAAGCGGGACCGAGTACTTGCGTCAAGTGCACTGGCTTCCGGAAGAAATAAGCCAAACGAGCTCAGCCTTCCATACCGTATGAGAAAGCCAGAGGTCCGGCGACTGTGGCGGAATAAGGTTGCGAAAGGACTTTGGGCGGTGGCGAGGCGGCGGCCAAAGACTCGCAAGGGTCGGTGTACTCTAGAGCGCATGGACGAGGCTAACACTGTGTCATGCATATGGGCTCGAGATTAGGGAAGAATAGACGTTTCGCGCGATTGAGACGGTGTTCATATGGCCATCAACGCGTATGGGACTTTGGAAACGGGGTCTGGTGAGTTTGGTGGACGTCAGACGGACGGCAGGGTATGGACGCTGACCATCTGAGTTCCCCGCGATAGGTCACGATGGAAGCCTCGGAGGGCTGCACATTCGACTAACCCACCCACTAGCAATTCATTTAATTGAGTATTCCGCCTGCGGTTGGATCGACACTACGGCTGGGCAATCCGTCGACGTAGTTCACCCGAGCCGTAGCCGCAGTTTTGAATTGAACAAGATCGACAGTAGCAGCGGCCTCTATTCGTATCATACTGTTGGATTTTCTATACATTCCAAGAATAGAATACAGCTTCGCCTTTACCTGAAAATGACAGAAAGGTCAAAATGGCATGCAGATGCCGCCCCGGCCACGATACATCCAACTTACCAACCAGCTCTTTTGTCCCTCGCGTGTCCAGTCCGGTGAGAAGCGAGCCGTTTCGTAATACAAGCTGCCAGTTTCTTTAGTAAGACGTACCTCCTTGAAAGAATTATTGCGCGAGGGATATGGGATTCGGAGGATCAAATGAAGAGGAGGAACAGAGGAGCGAATCCCAAAACGGGGCGTGGCTGCGATATTGGGGGCTACAGCGCAACAAGAGCAAGCAATGATGGACACTTGCCATCAGGGGACGACGTTGAAGGCAATTCTTTTCCTCCCACCGACTTCTGTTCTTTTCTTCACTGCTCCTTCATTTCCGTGCTCCTCTCAGGGCGCCTCACAGCTGGAATTGTATTACTGGCCCTGAAAGAATGTGCTGATTCCAGGGCATAAACTCAAAGTGTCACAGACGCATACGCTGGGGTTTTCTGAGGTCGTTTCGGCATAGCGGGTCCTAGGACGCGATTTGATGGCACGGAAGCGCAACCTGATTGACGAGGACTGAACTACGAGGATCTGCGACTTTTTCCTAGTGGCATTGGCATCTGCTGGTCATGGCGTAGCGCCAAAAGGTGTCCTCTGGTCTCTGTCTGCTAGTCTCTTCGCCAGCTTTCAAGCAGGCTTTCTCTTGGAAAAAAAATACTAAAAGGACTGGAGGAAAGACGTGTGTATGTAAAGAAAATTAATGAACGCAGAAGGAGCAAGGATATAGTTTGACAAGGATGCTGGCACTTTGGCAGGTCTGGCGTGCGGTGGCGCGAAATTGGGTCGTGAATCCCACCACGCGTGAAAAGCAGCGTCGGCCGTCTGGTGCTTTATCAGGTCCCCCTCTCTGCCGCTGGCCTGCACCGCCAAGCCCCGGCATCCTGCACCCCTCTTTGCTTTTTCCATGACGCTCGCCGTTCTCCGCAGCCTCCACGCCATTATCGGAGATGCCATCGACGACATCGAGCGCGTCTATAGTACCCATGGCTACACGATGGATCCTAGTGCTCCACAATCTCAAGAGGAAGATCAACAATCGTCAAATCAGGCTCCTGGTCCAGAAAACGATAATCCGATACCTAAACCAGGGCACAAGTCCTCGACCTCAACCTCGCATGCATATGCCTCTCCACCGCCATCGCCAGCCTTGGCTACATCGCCGCATTATTTTCTTCATTCTACCACGTCCCAGACCGCCCATAACATCGATTTTCCGTCACTGGACGCCCCTTGCGACCCAACATCGTTGTCGGAACAGCTGACGTCGCATCCGACGGTTGGTGCTGCTATCAGTCGCATCGCTGCCGCTGCGGGACAGCTAGCAGCCACGGTGCAAGTGCCCTTTCTTACGATATGTGACTCCGTCATGGGGGTGTGTTACTAGATCTTTTTCGGATTGGATTTATCCTGATTCTCTTTCAGTACCATCTCCCATCGTGCATGCGTCTGTTAGAGGCTTCGCATGTCGCTGAAATACTACATGAAGCCGGACCAGAGGGATTGCACGTTCAGGCCATCTCCGATAAGAATGGTGTCTCTGCTTCAAAGCTCGGTGCGTCTTTAGACATCGTCTCGTCATCCGAAAATGAATCGTTTCATACAGCTCACACCCTTCGATTGTTGGCTACTCATCATATCCTCCGAGAGGTGTCTCCTGACGTCTTCGCACTCAATCGGATATCGTCCCTGGTTTACTCTGGTAAAACCTTCGCAGAACTGCAGGGATACCAGTCTGAAGGAAGGTACGACAACTATCTGATCTTTGCACCCCTTCTTCCTGTCATCCAACGCTTTATCCTCCTTTCTTAGGCCAGAACTCAAATATTCAGAAACGAACGGCATAGCAGCATTTGTCGGTCTTTGGTACGCCCCCGTCTCCATATTCATTTCCTGTTCCATTAAATTAATGATCGTCTTCCCATTAGCTCCGACGAATGCTACAAGTCATCCGCGTATATGACCGAAGCCTACTTCCTTTCGCCCTCGAAGGAAACACGCGAGGGCTCCGACCCAGCCAAGGCCCCGTTCTGCTTCGCTTTTGATACCGTCAAGAGTGGCACCGGGTTCTTCGGTTGGCTTGAGGGTGACGCGGACTTCGCGGGCTTTGGTTCGAGGAAAGCGACGGACGTTGATGACAGGTATGTTTCCGTTCGAACTCTTTTCATTATGAAGCAGAAGGCTAATGTATGCCATAAGTATCGAGACAGGAAAAGGTGCAATCCTACCACCTACACCCATCTCCGCAACCTTCGGACGGAAGTCTCCGAAGACACCAAAGACGCCTATCACGCCCGACCGGCCGCCTCGTCCCCGACGGGACACCCTCCGTAGCCAACCCGGCCTGACCCCCAGCCTACGCAGGCAATCGAGTCACCCGAGTCCTTCGTCGCCGACTGACCCCCTATCACCTCCTCGGCCGAGGATCGAGACTGACCTGCCGCGACTTCAGAGGGCGTCAGAAACGAATGTAGATACGAATTCGAATAGATTCAGATTGGCGAGATTTGGGAAGGCAATGACTGGCACGGATGGGTGGGAGGTGCCTGGCGCGGTGCTCAATGGTGCGTATTCACCATCTATCTTGAATATATGCGCGTTTATTCACTAAACTTTTGTCTTGCGCGTTGTGGATAGGTTTCGACTGGCACTCCCTCCCTCATGGGAGCGTCGTTGTCGATGTCGGTGGAGGTATCGGCTCGACGAGCATGTTGCTCGCGACTGCGTTCTCGTCCCCATCTGGTGAAGACGACGGACTGGGTCTCAAGTTCGTCATTCAGGACCGACCGGTGGTTTGTGAGATGGGCGAAAAGGTAAGATACTTTTGCCTTCGTCTTCCTTCTTAGTGGAATCCAATTTCATCCGATAGGCCTGGAAAGCGAAATGTCCAGAACTGCTAGAATCAACAGCCAGGTTCCAAGGTACGTCTTTGTCTTCATTTTTGCGCGATACATGCTGAAAATCTCTTCTTTCATAATCCAGTTCACGATTTCTTTACTCCCCAACCGATCAAGGACGCCGCCGTCTTTCTCCTACGCGTTGTCCTACACGATTGGCCCGACGACTTCGCTCGCAGGATACTCTTCCACCTTCGTGAAGCAGCTACCCCAGACACCAAGCTCCTTATAGCGGATTTTGTCCTTCCTCTAGCTTGCCCAGACATTGTCGGCCCCACAGATGGGAAAGAAGATTGCCTGGAGGGCATCGAGGGTGTAGAGAGCATCCTGGCGCCGTCGCCACTGTTGCCAAATCTGGGCAAGGCGAGTGCAAATGTGTATTGGATGGACATGACGGTACGGTGTTTCGAACAACTATGCGACGTGTTATTGATTGACTTTTTCGCTCTTTGCAGATGCAGGTCATGTTCAACGCGCAAGAGAGGACGCTTCGAGAGACGGTGGCACTTGCCCGCTCCGCAGGATGGAAGGTGGTCAAGGTCACCAAAGCAACTGGTTCACTATTTGGGCACATCGTCGCTGTTCCTGTTGATATTCCACCAGAGACCATTGAAGAACAACGGGCGGTCATTCTTCCCTCCATCGACAGCTTTGGAGCGCCATCTTCTCCAACGTCGCCGGCAGAGGATGCCATCAGCCAGCCTGGACCGTCAAGCACCAGTGTGCTCAAGGACCGCCGGGAAGAGATGGAGCACAGCGTCAAGGCGAAGCGATATTGTAGCGATATGGAGATGGCTGGACGTGCAAGTTCTCGCTGTGGCACGCCGACATTCGGTTCTCGAATGCGTCTTTCGTCCGCTGAGGAGGCTCTGTCACGATTTGGCGGCGGAGTGGGACGCTCGAGAGGGACGAACAGGAACATCTCGACTCCTTTTGGGTCGACGTTCGGTCACCCACCCCCGCCTCCGCCCTCGTTATTGAAGCCTGCTTTATCGCTGTTTTCTTCACTGAGTGTGGGCAAGAGCGTCAAGAAGAAGCCGTCGCCTTTGTCTGTGCCGCCTCTGCAGACCTCGCCGCCCAGTCCGTTCGCACGTTCTCCATCTCATGCGAGGAAGCGTTCTTTGGCGTCAAGTCCGGGGGATGACCACGCGACAGGACAATCGTCATCTCCATCTCAAGTTCAGGCGTCTCCGAGGATCATCACGCGCCGCGTGTCGCTTGCCAATCTTCGACCGTCTCAGAACCAGTCGCAGGAAACGGCGATCCCTCCGCCGCCGCCGCTGGCGGGACGCCACCCACCGCCCTCGCCGCTGTCGCCTCGACATCTAGGATCTCCGCCACCTCTGCCCCAGACGCCGTCGCGGTCCCTTGCGCGTCGTGCGTCATATGCACATCTCTCGATTAGCAACGCATCTGGAATCGCACCAGTTGCTCAAATTAAACCAACCTTGATCCCAGCGACGCGATCCTCGATCACAGTTTCAGTTCCACTGTTAGGGCAGGGAGGGGCTCGTAGCACTACGAATAGTCCGCCTCGCCTATCGCCTTCGAGTTCGGTCGCCAATCGACAGATGCCGTCTGCAACTGCCCACCGCTTTGCCCGTCGTGCCTCGCATGCACAATTTCCTCAGATTCCTCTGAGAAAACGGTCAGGGACTGTTGTAGGCCCCGCAGAGCCGCCTCCGCGCCCACCTCGCCATTGCGAGCGTCAGAAACAGACTAGCATCTCAAGTCTGTCAGGTCTATCGAGTCCGTCATCGCGGAATAGCAGCATCAGCGGTCGGATGAGCAGTGCGAGCGGTAGTAGTTTCGGAGCGGTGTTAGGATTCCATGGGATTGCTTCGGCAACAGCTGGAGAGGAGAGGGTGGCGAGCCGGTCGCCTATCTCGCAAGCAGGGGCAGATGGGGATGCAGGTATTCTTCGGGTCGGGGGTGGGAGTGTTCTGGCTGCTGCTGCGAGGATTGAGTGTGGGGAGTTTGTGCGACGAACTTTGGAAGAATCACCTTAGATGCTGGATGCACTCTCTAGTAGTGACTTTCTAGTAATTTAGATTTGCGGGTGCTTCCCTCCTTCGATCGCTCGTCCTTCTGCTTACATGCCTTCGTTTGTTAGAAGGTCTTCGCCGAATTCTATTTCGACGATGTATCATAACTTTCCTATGCATGTTCTTTCTTCGGCATGTTTTGCCCGTACCCTTGTCTAACCTGAACATATGCATCTCAACTACTTCATGGAATGCGCAAGGATTCGTTTTGGACGTGTATGTACCCCGTGTTAGATGCTCTGGTGGTCTGTATCTTGCAGGCGGTAGTAATTTGAGGGCACTTTTCGGTTATGTTATACATGTTACATATCCATTTCTGTACTGCCAGGGTAATTTTGAGCTCAATTTCGTATGTACGCCCAGTTCATCTCATCAGTAAATACATACAGTATTTCACTTATTTATCTTGCACTTTTTCTAGCAAGGGGATGTATGGGCATGTACCAGTGAGACCGCATTTTTTTATTCATGAAGCAAAGTATACTAATTTGGCCATGGAGCTCATAATGGAGATTCTGAATGCCTAAATAAATCTACAGGTATTCCACAATTCATTACATAAGGAATTCGGTCCGACATACACCAGCATTATAACTACTAGTACCAGAGGCCAAATTGATGCGCATCAGCTGCGTGTGAAAGCTCATCACGGGCGCCTGCAGACCTGCACGGGCGTCAACCGGCCCCCCTGCCCCGGGGACCCGTGGGACAAAACTTAGTGTCCTGCATTTATGCAACCGCCATTTAAGTGCATTAACGCTCATCCCGTAACCTTAATTTTAAATTTATGCTGATCCCATAGCTATATTCCCTAGACACACTCGAATTTTCGAGACACTGTACATACTATATTTACCCAAGGACTGGCGGTCGACCACACCTTAAGGAGTGGCCCAACTTATCCGCCAATCTTTAGTTCTCTTGAGGCGGGGGCTCTTTGCGACGGCTTCTCGCGTCTCGGGAATTTCCCAACCGCCTCACTCCACAAGTGACGCGGCTATTTTCTGGTTGAAGAAGCTTATCTTCAATTGGAATCTTGTTCCCCACACGGCTTGTTTGATTCACACTATTCATCTTATCTGTGCAGGTAAGGTTGATACCAACCCCGTTTTACAAGGCTCTGAGGCTATCCATTTGGCGGAGGATGCCGACGAATCAGATGCTGAGGTTGTTCTGCAGGATGACGAGGAGTTTGAGCAAATTCTGGCCTCGAAGACAAGGGGTAATCTAGATTTTTATTTGGACCTCTGTAGCTAGATATTTTTTCCCTTCTCTTTCCCTGATCCCGCAGATCTCGAGATAGCTCGAGATGGGTCCAAGCGGTGTAATACCGTATCATATCATACCTCATTCTCCTTTTCGAGAAAGTGATCGAGATCGGGCGCCAAACTGACCTCATTGTGGGCGTTTGCTTCCATCACCGTTGTCTTGATTCGTGCAGGGAACTAAATAGATATCAAGTCTCCAATCCAGCGTCCACGACCTCGCAGAAGCAACTTTATCTCCTAACCATGTCCGACGCCCAGTATGACGCCCTCGTCGCCCAGTTCGCGACCGTCTTCACCCCTCCCTTTGCCGGTTGTTGGAGTTAGCCAACCCAGCATTTACTCGAACTTACCAGAATACTTGATTAGTAATATTCTGACTCACTTAGCATAGCCTCGGACAAATAGGAAATTAGTAGATAGTACTAGAATATTGTAGATACATAATTGTACAGTATAAAAGAGCTCTGTAGGAGCCCCGCAATATTAATCCTCTCTTACCTTCTGACCACCACTGCGCCAACACCGGTGTCTCCACCAAAACCCTTGCGATCATCGAGTCGAACCGCAGCGTAGATGGAGCCGAAGAGCTTGCCGCTTCCCTGCTCTCTGCCGCTCTCGCGAATCCCGAGGCAGTGGACTCGCTGGTCGTCCCGATCGTCCAAATTAAGCCACAGGCGAACACGATCCTCGTTACGGACGAGGACGCTGGATACACCGACACCCCGTTCTTCCATCTCGTCGAGATACGGCTCAGCGAAGGGCTGGGAGATGAGCTGCACGAGACGCAATTGAATAAGGCCAAGCAGACGGCCGTCGAATCATCGAATAGCGTCCTTTCTGCGGCGCTCTTCTCGGCCAGCGTGCTTCAGAATGGGCTCCTCAGCTCGAAGACGATCTACGCTTTTGCCCGACAAGGGTTGCAACTTCCCGATGAGAAGTCTGAAGATGAGAGGAAGGAGATTGTCGCCATTGGAACGCTATTACAGCTGCTCGTCGCTGGGAAGATCTTGGTGGAGAAGCAGTTGGGTTTGGGCTTTGGATTGGACAAGATTGTTGCTGCGTTGGAGGTTTTGAAGGCGAACAAGACAATTCAAAATGCAAAGGGAGTTGATCTCCTCGAGGTTCGTCCAGATCGAGATTCTGTCTGAAGAGATGTATGCTGATTTTGCAACTTAGAAAACTGTCACAGCGTCCAAGATTGGCTTCTCTGACCCTTTGTCGCCTGCGAACACATGGAAAGCACTCTTCCCCTCTTCTCAATCCGATGATAAGTACTTATCTGCATCACTTGTACATTCCACCGTAGTCCACCGTGCTTTCTTTTCTTGCTGGACGAAATTGTCCCAACGCCCAATTTAGAGCCCTCCTTCCTGATCTTGAGTCCCCACAAGCCATCTCGTTCAATCGTCTCACCCACGACCACTCGGATGCCAACAGATGCCAACCTCACATTCGCTAGACTGGATTGGTAGCTGGTCGTCTGCTGTTTTCCTTGAAGCACGCCGGCAATGTGCACAGTGAAACATCAAAGACTGTATTGGCCTCGACGTCTCGTAACAATCACCAGCAAGGGGGGCCCTGCCAATGGGAAGACAGCCAGCAAGCGGGAAGTCGAGGTTAACTTGGCCATGGACACAATCACAGTGGAGCGTATCTGTGTTTTTCACCAGCTGAAAAAGCGCCACGGAAATGTTACGAGTCCTCATGAAATGAGGCTCGTCTTTATACTACGACGTCCCAGCCCTGAGCCATCATTTGGAACGCTGAACCGTCGCGGGACACCACGTGACATGTAAGCTGGTCAGCATCCAACCGACTGGGAGAGCCAGAGCCCAGAGCCCCGGCATTCCCCGAAACACGCGCCGGGAGTTACCCGTTTGGCGCCTAAGATATACAGTGCCTCTAGAGTTTTATTTTATTTGGTTATTACAATTCAGCTAGTGACTATGTAATACCATAGTTTTCACAACCACCTTCCATGCTTTCTGAGGCTGAATCTCGAATACTATCCCACTAACCCTCTGCACAAAAAGTCCCCAAGAAATCAGGATACACGAGCACCTGCAGGTACGTGGTGCCTGCCTTTCCGTCATCGGGCTCTCGCTGCCCTCTCCATCTACCCAAGACCGCCGTTCGCACTCGCAGCACGACGCCGTCATGGTGCTCACGAAAGGTATGTCCCCCCATCTCCAAACGCCCGCGACCGCCGCCTAAAGTCTTCTAGACACGAAATACGTCGGTGGTCTTGGATAACGGCAGCCAGGAATGGTGTAGAGGGTGTTGAAGGCGAAGGACGCGGCGACGGCGAGGATCTACAGGCAAAGTAAGTCACTCAACTTAGATAACTCATCTAAAACGACCTAACGTACCTTCGTTATCACGCCGCAGCTCGCCCCCGAACGTCGAGCTCATCCCTCCGCCCTTCATCTAGAAGACGAACCTAAAGTAAGTCCTCATCATCGAGCACGAGACGAACGACTTACCGTCTCTTTCCTACAGCGCTTCGTCGCCACTACACACGACGTCCGACACCTCCCGCCGCTGTCCAACAGCACGCAGACCACGAATCCCAAGCGGTGCCGTCGATGGAGACCACGTATAGCTAGGACGAACGTAAGTACTTTCTAGTATACCCACAGACGGAGAACTCACCCGTAGGACATCGTTCGCCCACTGATGCCGCCATCGTCGTCCGTGGAGAGCATCTGGGAAGACGTGGCAAAGGAAGGAGAAGGCCTCGGGCTGCGAGGGAGGGTGCCGAGGGCGATGCCCAGGAGCCTTCCTTCGCTGTTCAAACCCACGAAACCCGCTCATACGAGGCCCAATCAACGGCCTTGCACGTGTAACGTTCCCCAACGTCGAAGGAGGTGGTTCTGCAGGCGGTGTAAGTGCGGAGACGAGTGCGAAGCCTGGACATAAGAGGTGAGTACGAGGCAGGTCTGTACGCACGAAACGAACGTGGACTTACCCTATCCACCCCATTGAACGTAGGCCACCATGCACCATCGACCGCGACAGCTTACGAGCTACGCCCCACGTCCAGCACCCCTCCGACTCGTCCGGATCATTGACGTTCGCCGATGGGATTGACGTTGGGTGGGTGGTTGACGAACGAGGGTGTTAGGGAGAAATCTAAGGGTTATATGTAAGTTATGTATGTCCTTCATGAATGAAAGAAAGGCTTACTTACCCTGTTGTGGTGCTATCCGCCCACCCACGCCGTCGTTGTCCATGGCGAAGACGATAGACAACTCGTCCATGGACGAGTTCGACGGTGAAGAATAAGTCTTTCGTGGTCGACACGAACGCCGCCGACTCCACAGATCAGCGACCTGCTATCTTTGGACGAAAAGCTTAGTCAGGGGGTCGGTCGTCCCCCCCTGACTAATGGATTCCCACACCCTGTGATCTAATCGGCATGATCCGTCACTGAGCCCAAGGCTCCAGGCTCCGGGCTCCGGACTCCGGACTCTCCCAACCGGCTGGATACCTTGCAACCGGCTGGATACCCTGAAGCAAGTACTTACACACAGTCCGGGACGGGACGGGCCGCTCTATGTCTTCTTCCATCGAATCTGCCAAGTTCCAACCACAGACTTCGAAGTCGCTCTGAATGATGGAGCGTCTCGCACGACTGAGGGGTGAAAGCAAGTGGCCTCAAGAATTCAAGGGAAGTCATGGAGCACTTCAGTTCATACGTAAATATTGTACGTTTATTTCAGGCAAATTTCAGGTTCTGATCTACCCATCCCTCACACGCCCCATGCGAAGCATGGGCAAACCTGGTTTTGCAGAATGCATGCAGATAAAAACTTAGCATAGAATAAGCTATTTCTCTGAGAGAATGGGAAGGCTCAGCAGGCTCCTAAGGTCGGAGAATTCCTGGACTTGTACATGCCACGCCAAAGCGATGGCCCATGCCAGCAAGTTTCAGCAAACAAACGGGACGCCCTTGCAAGCGGTTATCGGAGTCCGCCATCAGGCTAGACTAATAAGCGCTAACAAATCCCTTGACTCGCAAATCCCTCTTTTTTCTCTACATGCTGAACAGAATTTTCGACTGGGAGGTCAAGTTTGCTGGGTCTCACTGCCAGCGCAAAGTGCCTATATCTCTTGGGTTCCGTTACCCGTATGTGTTTCCTGCGGTCCTCTTTCCTCGACATGTTCAACACTTGCTATACGACTGGCAGGTAGAACTTCACTTGCTAGTTCAGCATTAGAAAGAATGCATAATTTGTTTTATCCTTATTGGAACCCTTGCGGTCGCGGAGTATGACGGTCCGTACTGGACAAAAATCAAAAAAATAAAATAAAAATAATAAAATAAAAATAAAAATCAGGCCCATCTGAAGTTTTCATCAGTTTTCTTTAGTTTCTCAAAGAATATTTAGGAAAACAAAATTATATTAAGGAAAACCGAGTAATTGTTGGGAATCCTTGAGAATCCTTGAGATTCTTTAAGAATCTTTAAGAACAGCCCATTTTTTCATGCTGTCAGCCTTCTAAAGAACACAGTAATCTTTAATATTCCTTAAGAATAGAGCCTTTTGGGCACCAAGATTCTTAAATATTCTAAAAGATTCTCGAGCATTCCTAATGACCCATGAAAATAAAACAGCTCATTCTCACAGATTCTTTAGTTTTCTTGAAGATTCTCCAGGATTTCTGAGGAAATCTTAAGGGTAATTAAGAATTCTTGACGTTTCCCTAGAAATCTCAAGGATTGTGTAAGAATCTTGAAATATCTCGAGGAATCCTCAAGATTTCTTCATAAACAGGGCTTAGAAAAAAATTAGAAGTCATTTTTGTCCAGTACGGCACTTCATAGCGGAGTGTTCCAGAAATGATTTTTTCTGTTCGATCGCGTATATTTGAAAGGATCCGCCCCTCTTTGAGTCAACTTCTATCTCAAAATGATTACTTCGCCTCTCTCCCCAGTTATACTATAGGCCCTTTTCGTTGCACCACTTATCTATCTCTCTAGAGGCACCAAAATGAGCGCCCAGTAAAGATATGTCAGTGTCACGCCCATCGCTACACCTTGTCCATCCTAGATGATCTCAGTCCGATGGAACTCGTTGGCCATGAAAAAGCGCATGTGGAGCGAGTCTGCTCAGTATCTCTACATCCCAGACGATATCACTCAGCCCGTCCGCAACGTGATCCTGGACTACACATCTCCTAGACTCCTACACGCATTTCCGAGGTGCGAAAGCTCATCGGGTTCACGAGCGACAATCAGACGCTGTGCAACGAATACTTATGGTCAGAAAATCGGATTCATATGGTGAGATACCATCATCGAATCTCACTGAAAGCACAAGCGGCTGATTAAATGTTTTCAGTATTACAGCCGTCCCGGTGCACCGTCGAATCGTGAGTTCCTCACGTACAAAGCCACCATGGACAACAACGGCAACAGCACTCGCCCACACAACAAACGCGCTGCCGAACTCCTCTCTCGCCCTATTACGCACGGGCCCACCCTCGTTGCGAAGATAATCATGGCGGGCGACGAGTCGCCAACCAGGGAGGAGAGACGCCAATGAGGAGAGGATACTAGCCGTCCTCCGAGTCCGGAGTCATGGATCAACCCAATGGTGTTTCATTTCTAAGATGGGCCTATGCGTAATCAATTGATAGTATGTTGCTTCAATCAACGCCCGTGGTTCTGCGTTCCTAGTCCAGGACACCATCTCCTACTTGGGAACACCATCGCTAGCAAGGACAAGGCTTACACTGCCACTTGGCTCACGTCGAGAACCTGTCGGTCGCGTAGTTGGAGAGCGAGGAATTCGAGGGGATGAGGAAGGGTTGAATCAAGAGTTGTTCAGAAAGGCCGACTTGCTGTGGCCGACTTGCTGTGGCCGGATGTTAAGGACGTTGGTTGCAGTAGATATTACGGTGCAGACAATTCAACAAATCTTGACCCGCATAAGATATCGCCGTTTGGTTCGTCACGGTAAAAATACAAGCATGTGCAGACTGTCCTATTTAACCTGAAAAAAAGGGAAAGCATCTGTCAAATACTAAACACCGAAAAGAAAGAAGTCAATCAATAATGTTCCAGAGAGAAATATCAGTAGTCATGAAGAGGAACACTCTCCCAAATTTCCGGGATTGGGTACCACGACTGACCAAGCTCAGCAACTCGAATGTCGCGAATCTTCCCATCTCCGAGGCGGATGATGTCGAAGTCAAGCCAACGGTCTTCATGTCTGTGGCTTCCAGTACGGGTACGATATTCGAGACCGATTCGACGGAGAGTGGGTACCCGAGAAGCGAGGTATATGGCACAGTCCCGTCTGTCCAGGCGTACGCACTCCAGGTCTTGACCATCGTGCTCATCGTGCTCGTCACAACCGGCAAATGGTATCCCTATGCGGAGTTCCTGGAGGTGGGCGTAGGTCGAGAAGGCGTCACCATAGTCCGTCTGCGAAGGTTGTGAATTCTTTGGAATTTACGAAAGTACAGATGGCACTGACCCATTCAAACCCAGCTTCGCCTTCTCGATAGCCACAGAGCTCTACTTCCACGAACTCCAGAGCTGGGCATATCCTCCCGATCTTCTCGAAAAGGGAAAAATTAAGTTCATCTTCCGTCATGAGTCTGAGACGCTTCAGCCCAATGTTGCCTCCTCCAATCACAAGGTCATCAAGAACTTGGTCGATGTCTTGTCGGGTAAGAGCGATAGGAATGCGTGGGGTGGCGATGATGGCACTGACGGACAGACGTTCGAGAGAGGTCGTATAGAGGAGGAAGTCCTGTGAATCGTAGGCATTTGAAAGTGCAAGGTATCTGATCTGAGAAAAAATGTTAGCAGAGCTGTGCTCGTGTGCGCGGTATTTCGGGGGCACAATCTCCGTAAGTTCGTCGTCCTTCCAGTTGGACTTGGCGAAAAGGAGCCGTAGGTCAAACATTTTCGGCATGCGTGCAATAACGTCGACCAAAGGCACTCTCGGGGCCCATGCTCGCCGTAGCGGTGCTCCCGTCAGAACGAAGGTCTCCAAGGCAGGCCACTCGTACTGCCGAAACGTGTTTAAGTTGACGTACTTGCTTGAGAGTTGCAAATACGTGAGCGAATCCGTGCGTCCGAGGTGGAAGATGTACCGATGTGCTGTACTTGATAGGCCGATTTCACCACCATACCGCTTCCGATACTCGCGTGTGTAGAACGACAGATCTTGAAATTTCTTATTGTAGGGTCCCTCTCCGACACGGACCGCTTCGCCGACTGCACCGAGCGTCAGGCGAGTCAGCAGGAAGTTTTGCGGAACGAAGAGCAGGCCGCCCACGTGGATTGGGGTGTCGATGATTCTGAGGTCTGTAATGTTCGGACATTTGACAATGGCAGCGAGTAAGGTCTTAGGCGGGTAGAATGGGCACATAATATGCAGCGTTTTGATGTTGGTCATCCTGGGGAGCGCGGCTTCCAACTTGTCCATGTGTTTGGGCACGTAAATTCCTTCGCCCGGGGACTTGGTGCCCCACAATGGTGGGAAGACATCCGGCCAATGGTCTGGCCAGTCGAGATGAAATTGGCTACGGAATATCAGCACCGCCAGCGACTGGTTGGGAAAACGAACAAGCTCACTGAATGTAAGGCCATAGCACCTCAGGAAGGAAATGAAGCCCTTTTTCGTTATCGTGCTTGTTCGGATGGGGCCAAGTCACTTCATGGAACAGGATGGGTCGAATGGCTTCGTTGAGGGAGTGGCAAACGAGAGATAGGCCGATCAGGGCAGCTTGGCGATCTTTCCTCCCGAGTCCATCCACCTCGCGTATGACTTCATAAAGAATGTCGAAATGGAGAGCTGACATGGGCAATGGTCCTTGTAAATCCTCCGAGTCGGTATGACTGTAGGATTCGACATAGATAACAGCCCAGGGCCGCGACTATCGGTGACAGGATCGAAGTTCTCCGGGACCTTGGCTACTTGAAGCCGGGAACTCCGGAAACGATTGACCACCAAAAGTAGTCGGCTGATGGCCATGGGGGGAATAAGGGTGAGACGGATGAACACTTCTGCGTCATTCTGGACGGGGTGATGATGGTTAACGTTTAAGAAAGCTTGAGGATGTAGAGGTTAGTGATGAAGACCTTCTGCGGCCGGAACTTGCCGTGATCGGAGACCAACTGAGCTTGAACCGTCGGCACGATTGCCGACTCGTCTCCTCTGCTTACACTTCCACCACATCATCTACATTGGGGTTCTGCTGGGCCCACAGACATTAGATGGCTCTTCCAAAGGTACGAGAGATATTGGCTACAGTCAAGGCAGAGAAATAACTGACTATCGCGCATTGGATCTCAGAGAATTATCAAGGTCATTACCCGAGTACTACTCGTTTTCAGTGAAAGGCTTACACTCCTTGTCGCGTGCCGCTTCTCAGGAAACAGAGCGTCTTGTTGCAGATCCTGCACCTGGAATCTCGGCGACACCCCATGACGATAACCTGCGCTACTTTGACGTGACTATCGACGGACCTGAGGGCAGCCCTTTCCAACGTGAGTGGGCGGCTTGGTGTCTAGCGATCTCAGCACTGACCTAAGGCATCACCATACTCTCAGATGGAAAGTTCAAGCTTGAGCTTTTCCTACCCGAAGAATACCCTATGGCACCTCCCAAAGTGAGGTTCTTGACGAAGATCTATCACCCCAATATCGGTACGCACAACACTCATACATAGTCGTGATGGCCGTCTGCTGATTGACCATAAGATAAACTCGGTCGTATATGTTTAGATATCTTGAAAGGTGCAAGAGATCACACTCCGTACTTCAACAATGCACTTATCATCTACCGCAGATAAATGGTCGCCCGCCCTCCAAATCCGAACAGTTCTGCTATCCATACAGGCGCTGCTAAGCGCGCCCAACCCCGACGACCCCCTAGCCACCGACGTCGCTAAACACTACAAGGAGGATGAGAAGGACGCACAACGAGTGAGCCAGGAGTGGACACAGAAGTACGCGGTTTGATGGGTGAAAGAAGGAACCTGGCGAATTGTTTCCCTTAGACTCCCCCATTATTGTGGATTCCCAGTGCCCTCGATGAGGACGACTGTTCATGATAGCGAACAAGCTGTATATCTCGGAAATAAATAGTGTACAACCATGTTGGAAACAACCAGGCCTCATATTGGCCCCTAAGAACTCATTTCTATTTGCGATTCCTTTCTAAGCCAAACAAAGTCTCTCTAAACACGGTCACCACAGCATCACCAGTGTCCGACGGTCAAGTTCGATTCTACCTACAAGTTGCTGAGCATGTCCGGCTTCTTCCCTTCTCTAGAGAGCTTTGCAAAGGTACCGACAAATTTCGTGTCATTTTATTCGTTCTAATCCTCCATTTTGAAGGGCACCCTCGCAACAGCTGCAACGCTGTCCACAGTTGGTAAGCCTCATGTTCTCAGACAATCGCAATTGACCTTCACGATGCGCGTCGTCTTCTAGGCGTTGGCCTTGTCTACTACGGCCAAAACTACCTGATATACCCATCCGCCTTCCCGCCCGGGTCGAGGACAGGTGCAGACATTATCTTTACTCGAGCATTTCTTTGCGATTTACCCTGCCCAAGTAGATGTTGCCGTGCCATCCGACTTCGAACTACCCTATGAGAACCTGGAGCTGAAGACGTCAGACGATATTTCACTGCGATGTTATCTGCTTCCTCAGAAGAAGGACTTGGGTCATGCTGGATATCCTGTGGACACTACTCCCAACATGACGGAGGATGAGGTGCGTTGTCTGGTCCTATGCTTTTTAACGGAACTCATTGGGTTCAGTTCATTGCTAGCCGACCAACGGTGATTATGTTTCATGGAAATGGTGGAAACCTCGGTCATCGAATACCGCTTGCGGGCATATTCTACAAGCGAATGCGTTGCAATGTCCTGATGGTGTCCTACAGAGGGTGAGGACTTGTCGTCTCTGTCGTAGGACCCTACTCATGCTGCTGTTTAGGTACGGCCACTCTGAAGGTTCTCCGTCAGAGAAAGGTAGATTTCCCGATGATTAACAGGGCCGTATCACGCAACTTACACGAGTGCGTAGGACTGCGGATAGATGCACAAACTGCACTTGACTACCTAACAACGCACCCGACCTTCAAGCAAACCCCAATTGTGATTCATGTTCTTGCATCCTTTTACTAGATCTAACAACACTTCGCAGATACTCTACGGCCAGTCTATTGGAGGCGCTGTCGCCATTGACCTTGCCAGCAGCAATCCGATAAAGGTAGTCTCGCTATCCTATATTCACTTTGATTGACAGGGTGAATTGACCTCTTTATCTCCAGATTGAAGCTCTCGTTCTCGAAAACACCTTCACTTCTCTTCCCGCTTTGGTACCACACGCCCTTCCAGTGCTTGGACCCTTCTCCTTCCTATGCCACCAAAAATGGACGTCAATAGACAAAATTCCCTCTATTCCCGCGACGACGCCGATTCTCATGTTAAGTGGCATGCGTGATGAGATCGTCCCGAAGGAACACATGCGCGCGCTTTGGGAGGCTGTAGCGAAGAGGGGCGAGAAGAAGAAGGTTAATGGCACAGAGTATAAAGTCGGCCTGGAGAGGGCAAGGTTCATGGAGTTTGAATATGGTGGACACAGTGCGTTTCTCCTACCCCTTTCTCCATTGGCAATCCTCTAATAAAGTGCGTGGCTTCGTTGATGTTCGATAGATGACACTTGCACCCAACCGGGGTACTGGAGCTCGATCGCTGAATTCATCGCAAGCCTTCGTGGAACACCTGAAGAGAAGAAGGCAGCCCTATAGACTATATGCTTGCTTTGACACGCTGCTCTAAAAGCATACCCACTCATTTTGGATTCAGGCATGTACTATACTTTTTGGTTTTGTTGAGCTTGTATCATTATTCTTTTTTCGACGACTCTGCTATCGTTCTCGGCATCAAGCCCCGCGGCATTAAAGCCTTGTTCCAATTTCTGCGCGCTCCAAATCCCTTCTCGTTAAGCCCAAGACCTGAGGACAGCGGCCTGGGTCGACCAAACTCAGCCTTCGCCCTTCTCGGTGATTCAGCGCAAGCTGGGTCCATGGTGACTCATTACTTGCTGCACACTTATTCAATTAGAGTACGCAGTATGTCCATTTCCCTATCTACCCAGCGTCTGTCAATAACTGCTATCACCGCCCAGGTTGTTCACGAGCATAAAGACGCAGGTCCGCTGGCCTGGCTCTTCTTTCTTTCGCCCCTGGTACAGGTCTTCGTGCAAACCCTTGAGATGCGTCTTTCCTTGCCAGCTTTTCAGATTATTGGTCTTCCTATTCTCCTCGCTTCCTTTGTGCTGTCTGTACCCGTTGCAGATGCTCCGGAGGCATGCAGGCTTTTGTCGCCAGGTTGTCACCATTCCTACAATCAATTGGTCCTTCATTCGATCCCGCGACAGAATTCTTGGAGCAATGTTGATGCTCCAATGCATGGCCTTCCTTGTCAGTCTGTGTCTTTGTCCGGACCGTCCCTCGTGTCTCTTTTCCAAATCCCAACACTCCTTTCAAGACAAATCTCCCGAACAGTGGCGAATCTCGGTCGCGACCTGAAGGGGGTATGGAGCTGCAGTACGCAGCCACAAGGTTGGATGGGTACTGTCGTCTTCTCTTCGTTGCGTGTTCTCCCAGGGTGCTTATCTCTATCCAAGGCTTCCCTTTGCCTGCAGGTCGACCAGCAAGCGAAGATCGATTGCTCCACTTATTTCCAGACATTCTTTGGTCTTGACGACGTCTACTTAGGTGCGTCGTCGCATATGCATGTGTTGACTGCGTGCATTTTTTACATGCAGTAGAGCAGATGCATGTCCTTCATCGTTGTCCAACCCTAACAATCGTCTTCAGTTATCCCTCCCGGATCATGCCTTTTTGCTGCTTATTTCATTTCCTTTCAGCTGCCCAAACGAGTTCTACGAATGAAGCTACAGAAGCGTGGCGCATGACAGTCGAATCTTCATACTTGTTCTGTCAAGCAAGGATCGACGGAGCTGCCAAGCTGTTCGTCATCGACTGAATGACCACTTATCGTCGGCTCCGATTGTTAGTCCGCCACCTACACACGCCAAGATATCCTAAGCATCCGTCGAACAGTCTAATTAAACTTAAGCGCCCCTATCTCATTGGCTGTCCTTCAACCCTCCATCCCAAAAACACCGTCGGCACTGGTGGCCAGACTCCCGATTCGGGCCACGCGTATCGCACCGGTCAATTTGCTATTAACCTTGGTCCCTTTCTCGTTCGGATCCCATCCACAAATCAATCCTTTGAGGAGCGGCGACCAACAGCGCTCAAGATTCCGTTGAAGACACATCCATGATCTCTTCGAATTGCTCCAACCTCAAGACGGCAACCGCTGGCATTTTTGTGGGTGCTTTGTGGAGCGGAAGCCTCAAGTCTTCACCCGATACGCTAAACCAGGCAAATCTGTTACGTTTTTCTGGGTAGAGCGCATCACTCACTAACTTCATTTGGACCAGTCTTCTCCGTTCTTCCTCATTAATTGAGCTCTCCCTGCATATAACGGCGCTAGAAGCCTCGGGCGTCTTCCGAGACTGCTCAACAAGGGAAATGTGATGGTCGCCAGCTCAGGAATGAAGATATTGCGCAATTTCGCTCGGTGCACAACAAATCAACTCGTGCGTGATGACTTCTAGTGCTTCTCTACCCTTAGGCAGCCCATATAAAAGGGAGGTTCTCCCTCAATTCTCTCCATCGACTCAGTCGTTTTCTGTTGCTTTCGCATCCTCCACCTTATCCTTTGTGATAATCCCCACATTCTTTTCCCCCTTCTCCAACTCATCGACCAACGATGTTCTTCCGCTCGCTCTCCACCATCGCCACCTTCGCCTGCGCGTCTTTCGTCGCTGCTGCGCCCCTGTCCGCGCCCAATGTCGCCGACTTGACTGCAGGTCTCCCTCTGCCTGCTCTTCCCGCTGTGCCTGCTGTCCCAGGCCTGCCCGAGCTGCCTGGAGTGCATGCTCCCGCCCTTCCTCGCGCTGATATCCTCGGCGGTGTTAGTGGCGTCGTCGGCACTGTGCAAGGTGTCGCTGCCAACCCTGTTGGAGTTGTAGGCGCCGTCGGCGGTGTTACCGGAGGCCTTGTTCGCCGTGATATCGTCGATGCTGCCCACCCCTCTCTTCCAGAAGTTTTCAAGGGCGTTTTGGGAAAGCTTCTGCCCGTTGTTGATAAGCTCAGTAAGCCTCCGCTTTGCTTCAACGTTTTCACCGTCTCACACGCTTTTTTTTCTTTCTTCTCTTCAGAGGCTGCTGTCGAGGTTAAGGCCGATATCAAGGTTGAAGTTGTTGTTGACCTCCTCCACGAGGTTGCCTTCATCCTGAACGACGCACTAATCCTGGTCCAATACATCGCCGAGCACCCGACTGAGTTTGTCCTTAACCTGGGCGAGACCGTCCTCAGCATCAAAGAAGTCTCCTTTGTCGTTGGCACTGTCATCTCGGTCAGTATCATTTCGTAGTGATATCTCTCCGTCCAGCTAGCTGAACGTCTTCGTAGCTTCTCTTTACCGCCCTCGGCCTTGTGTTCGGCGCCGTTGATGTTGCCGCTCACGGTGTTATTGCACCTGTCATTGCTGAAATCGGGTTAGTGGCTCTGCTATCCTCTTTTCGTTCATCTCACTTACACATTGTTTGCAGCGGCCTTGTTGCTAAGCTCCTCACAGTGGTTCTTGCCCTCGTCCCTGGCCTCCTGGCTCTGCTCATCCCCACAATCACTTCTGTCATTCCGATTGTGTATCACCTCAGCCTCGCCAACGTCGTCGCCGTCCTTGGCCTCCCTGCTCTGTTCTGAGTTCGTTACAACGAAGGAATAGTTTATCACGTATAATATAATATACCCTTTCCCCTTTAACTACGCTTTGAGTTGATGAGTTCCTAAGACTCGGAGGTTATTGCAACACTCATGTAAGGGAAAACATGAGTGACAGTCTAGTAATTCATACATCTCATTAAGGCCACTACTGGCGTGTGTAGACTTCCTTGCCTCATCTCTTTCAAACTAACCACCACCCACTAATATCATACACACCGCAACAGCCGACACTACTTATGCTTCCACTACTTTGCGAGATTCTAGACTGAGCTATAGCCTGTAAGATGAACCAACGACAGTTAACATGTATGGCTAATTCACTGCATCCAATTGCAATATGTAAAACCTCTGAAGTTTGCACAGGCTTTTCATAGCAGCTTTACACCTTTTTACACCTTCCAGGTCCGAATAAAGTCGTCGGATATACGGAGGTCGCAGGCCAAGCACAGCCAAGCACTAAATTGGCAAAACATCCGGAAAATCTCTTTCTTCCGCTCAACCACGACCATCCATTTTTCCACAATGCTCGCAGTCTCTTCTACGTCGCGCCTGGTCGCGAGAGGTGCAAGGCAGGCCGTTGTTGTTGCCGGGCAACGCCAGGCAGCAGTACAGGCCGTCCGACGGGCTGCGACTCGTGGAATCCAATCCGTTGCGCAGACCGATCGCGTATGTCTTTCCACATCTTATCAGATGCTTTTGAACTGGTGGAATGACTGTTTTCGCCCTCTAGGACACTATCACTCGTTTGCTGTACTCCATTGGAACTAAACGCGAGGTTGAGCGTCACCTTCGTATATTCTCCTCTTCGTCCCACCCTTCCCAGCCGGCCAAATTTGCTGTTATCAAGGTCGGAGGCGCAGTTCTAGCCGAGCTCGATGAGCTGGCACTCAGCTTGAGCTTCCTTTACCGGGTTGGATTGTACCCTGTCGTCCTTCATGGAGCTGGACCGCAGTTGAACGACATCATGGAGCGTGAGGGAGTTGTGCCGGACTATATCGACGGTATTCGGGTTACGAGTGAGTATCTGTTTTATTTGCACATCACAGACTGGCTGAATTCATTTATAGACGCCAAAACCCTTCAAGTCGCTCGCCGTGTGTTCCTGGAGGAGAACCTGAAGCTCGTAGGCGCCCTCGAGAAGCTCGGAACTCGCGCCCGCCCCATTACCTCGGGCGTCTTCAGTGCCGATTACCTTGACAAGGACAAGTACGGTCTCGTTGGCAAGATCACCAAGGTTGACAAAAGGCCCATCGAGGCGTCTATCCGTGCTGGAGCCCTTCCCATCCTCACCAGCCTCGCAGAGTCTGCTGACGGCCAGATCCTCAACGTCAACGCCGACATTGCGGCGGGAGAGCTCGCCAAGGAGCTGGAGCCGATGAAGATTGTGTTTTTGAACGATAAGGGCGGCATGTTCCATGGAGTCACGGGGGAGAAGCTCGATGTTATCAACCTCGACGAGGTAATTCCGCCGCTTCTGAAGGTAAATTTGGGCTGACGGGGCTCCAGGAATACGAAAGCTTGATGAAAGAGCCGTGGGTCAAGTATGGCACGAAGCTGAAGCTCCGCGAGTTCAAAGAGTTGCTCGACCACCTCCCTCGCTCGTCCTCTGTCGCCGTCATCTCGGCTGCATCGCTCCAGAAGGAGCTCTTCACGGACAGCGGTGCAGGCACACTCATCCGCCGCGGGTACAAACTCTTCAAGCACAACTCCATTGACGCGATTGGCGCAGACAGGTTCCGCCAAGTCGTGCACGACCGTGATCCTGAAGTGCTCGCCGGCTTCCAGAGCGTCACAGGCGTGCTGAATGACCTCAAAAACACCCCATACACCATCTACGGTGACGAACCACTCGATGTGCTCGCAGTCGTCTCGCACCCCGAAGGCGAAGTCCCGGTTATGACGAAACTCCTAGCATCCCGCAGTGGTGCCCTGAACAACGTCCTCGACAATGTCTTCCACGCCATCAAGAAGGACCACCGCAAGCTATTCTGGACTGCACAAGCCGATGACGAGAACCGCGGCTGGCACTTCGAACGTGCGGACGGCAGCTTCACGCGTGCAGGCAAGAGCCTGTTCTGGTACGGCATCCAGGACGTCGCGGAGGTCGAGCGCATCGTGAAGGAGTTCGAAGCCAATGGCAGGATTGAGAGGTCATACCTTCCGGTCGGCCCTTCCGCGCCTCCTCATCGCGCCGCTGCTAATGCATCGCCTGCTGGAGCTCGTGCGTACTCGACCATGGCTCGCCGTGCGTTTGGACGTGTCCCTGGTTCGTCTCGCGGTTACGCCACTGCTGCTTCTACCAGCACCGAGCCCAAGCGCCTCGGGCTCATTGGCGCCCGCGGATACACCGGCCAGGCTCTGACCACCCTCCTTTCTAGCCATCCCCACCTCAGCCTCTCGCACGTATCCTCTCGCCAACTCGCAGGGTCGCCGCTTGAAGGCTACAGCAAGGCCAGCGTGACGTACTCGAACCTCTCGCCTGAGGACGTGGAGCACATGGAGAAGGAAGGCGCGGTTGACGCGTGGGTTATGGCTCTTCCTAACGGAGTGTGCAAGCCCTTCGTTGATGCTATCGATCGTGGCGCGAAGGAGCGCGGAGAAAATGCGAGCGTCGTCGTCGACCTTGGTGCGGATTATAGGTTCGAGAACGGGTGGACATACGGGCTTCCTGGTGAGGGTTCTGTTGCTGCGTGATGAGATAGAAACAGGGGATTAAATGACTGCTTTTTGTTTTCCTTTTCTGCCGTTATATATTTATTTTGCAACGGACGTTGGCAACTTCAAGAACTGTACGGGCGCGACCACGTCCGCGCGGCGAAGCGCGTCTCAAACCCAGGATGCTACGCCACCTCGACACAGCTGCTCCTCGCGCCGCTTGTACCCTACCTCAAGCCTGGTTATCTGCCGACTGTGTTCGGTGTTTCGGGGTATAGCGGCGCTGGGACGATCATGGAGAATGACCCCGCCACGGGCAAGCTCGTCACGAAGCCCAAAGTCAGCGCTGAATCACTCAAGGGTGGCATCAAGCCTTACTCCCTGACGGGCCACATCCACGAACGCGAAGCAGGGTACCACCTCTCCACGCTCCTTACCTCTGAAGCTGGCCCCGTCAAGGTCGCTTTCGTGCCCTCAGTCGCTCCGTGGTTCAGCGGTATCATCTCGACCGCGTCTGTACCTCTGAAGGAAAAGATGACAGCCAAGGACGTGGCTGGATTGTATGAGGAGAAGTACAAGAACGAGCCGCTAATTAGGATACAGAAGGACGTGGCTCAGCTGCAGGATGTTGAAGGCAAGCACGGATGGACGGTGGGTGGGTTCCAGATGAGCGTTGAGGGCGATCGGGTCGTCGTCGTCGTACGTCTTGTCGCTTTTTTGGTGTGTATATTCTGATTGGGTCATGTTACAGGGCGGCTTGGATAATTTGCTTAAGGGCGCTGCTACTCAGTGCCTACAGGTAGGTTCTTGAAGTTTGGTTATCACGGCAAACGGGTTAATCTCGGTTTCAGAACCTCAACCTTGCGCTGGGCTATGACGAATATGCTGGGATTCCTACTCACTAAAACGTGGCTCAAGTAGACTTAGTATGGATAGAGACGAAAAGCTAGAGGGAGCCGGAAGGACATAGCCGTCAGCATCGTTTTATAGCACGAACTAAATACGCACTTTTCTTTTCTTTCTCCCTTGACTTCATTAGGACGCATGTATGACCTCGACATCTCTTCCCATGCTCCTCATCCAGTCCAAGAGCATCACGCCATTCCTGCCCAGCGCTACTTCCCACTCCCTCCTCTTCTTTGAGAATGCTTTACTCCGGAGTTCCACTTCAGTTAACTCTTCGTAACGGAGCACAGTTTCGCCGTAAGTCTCTGGTTTCCTCATCATAACCATTTTGGCTACGAGGACTGGGCCATGGGTAACAGGTAGGCGGAGGAGCTCAGCAGCACGTTTGTTATGCGGACGCGTCATGATCCCGTCGTCGTCCTTGACGGCTATGTAGGTGATGTACTCGTGTAGCGGGGGGAAGGGCTCCTCGTCCTTGTCCTGCGCGTATAACACGTTAGAAACGCGTCGCGAGTCCAGAAAAATCACGCACCATCCTGATTTGGCCTTCACACCAGAGGCACTCCTCGCCAACAGATCCAAAAGACGTGTTATTAAGCCTAATAAGTTCGCTCAGGTCGTTCGCGAACGTGGGGCCGTTGTGTTGGAGGCTGACTTGTCGGATTGGCTGGGTGATGTCGTCGGGTATGAAGAGATACGGAGCTGGGATTATTTCCGGCATCGTGAAGTTGGGAACAGTTGAAGGAGGGAAGGTTCTGTCAAAAACCGCGTCACCTGGCAAAACAATAGTCTCGTTGACCGGACTCCAGTTGTATCTTTTTGTTGAGAAGACAATCGTTCTCTGATACAGCAAAATAAATACTCGACGACGCGAACACGTGCCCTAATTGGCGCGAATATAGAGGTCTCAGATATTGTACGCGTCCTAGGACTATCGCCTACAATGGGAGAACACCCGCCCCGCTCTGCGCACAGGGTGTCCCACCATGAATGGATTCTGTGGTCTACGCGCTCATTTATAAGGCTGCAGAAAAGAGGGTTAACGCATTTCCGTCAACATTTCGTGCCCATACCCACTGGCATCCGTAATCTTTTTACTCGTCCTCATTCTATTTTATCGCTATGATTCTTCGTAGTGAATATAGTGGTAGAGGCGGGGCCCTTACGCGCTATTACTCATCGTTATGACCGATAATGTCCCCTGGGAGGTCTTCCAGCTTGCACTTCACAATACCCCCTGTGAACCAATCCTCCTGATCCGAACCCATCCAATCCTGCTTCATCCCTCGCACAACCCGCGTCACCTCACCCCCTGACGTTTGTTCTTCGATCACAAATGGGTGCAACATTGAAGAATTTACTGTATCCGTGCCCATTTGAACCCAGCTGCACCGCAGCAGCAGTGGGCATGCCAAGGCGATGTCCTGCGTCGCTTTCAGGCGCCGTTTGTAGCAGCGGACGTACCAAGCATAGTCTCCTTCGGACATCAGAGTATCATCAGCACTCTCTTCGAAGTCTGAGGATAGTGTGAGGTCCGTAAGGTTGTTATTCTTTGCGAGGGCCTCGACGTGCGAATCCTTAGAGAAAGAAGAAACATTGATATCGTTCAGTAGGAAGTAGAAAGAAATCTGCAAACCTTCCATAAAACAGAATGGTCTGTGAACAGGTTGTCCCACCGGATGCTGAGCGTCGTGAGATGAGGGAAAATCTCTGGAATAGTGTCGAGTACGCTCTCGTTGGAGCTTTGAAGGGTGTACTCGAACGTCCGCAAAGTATCCCCAGCTGGCTTCAATAGTTGCAAGTCAAAGTCGCCGCCAAACTTTTCAGGCTGGTTGTCGATCCTAAGTTTCACTAGCGTCACAAGGGAGGGCCGAATGAGCTCATACAAGTGAGCCAGCGAGCTTTCTGGCTCATTAGGGTTATCGCTCACAAACCAGCTTATGGAGAAATTCTCAAGGCCTGCGTGACCTGCTGTAGGGAGTCCTTCAACGGTTGTGTAGTTCCCAGTATCAATGACGAGTTCGAGAAGAGAAGCAGATCGAAGACGAGAGAGATCTGCGGGTTGAACAAGATGTTCGTGTTGGCGGTATTTGAGAACCTGCAAATTTGGCAGGCTTTCCAGGAATTGGAAGATTACGGTACTATCGTCGTCTTCTCCGAGAGACATAGTCCTGGAAAATAGCTCGAGCTTCCTGTGGCAAGTCTCAGCATTGTGTTGCTAACAAGATTAGAACAGATGGGCCAACTTTATTACATCTTTCACCTCCTTGCTCGCCCGATGAATGTTGCGTATTTTGGGTGTTATCTTACCCCTATATCGCAAATGCCCGAATATGAAGGGTACGACCTGACTTCGTGTGAGCCGAGAAGTCAGAGAGAGTACTTGACGATCTGCAGGTGGAAGGAGTATGATGATTTCCCTGAGGAGCTCCATAGGTAGTGGAAATTCTGGAGAGGGTTTTGAAGTGTCCATTGTGGTGTACGGTAGTGGACAAGTAAAGGGGGATTCGGCAAAGGAACAAACAAATCGGAGACCGAACTTTGGACTGAACAAGAAAGATCAGTCAATCAGTGCTGAGCGCTGGGCGCTGATTATCGCGATCCTCGGGTTTACCGTGGCGCCGCAGTGTGCGCGGTGATGTCTTAACCGAGGGAGTGTGGGCGAATGAAACAATCGTTACAAACACGGCAGAACCAAATGATAGCCAATTTTACTGCCTCCGGGACCGATAGCGTCCTCAGGAACCCCAACTGGACGCCCTTCTCCGGGCTACACAATGCAACCAACTACGTCATTTTTCCATTCAGATAATTTCAATAAAATACGTTGCATTAAACGGCTAGAGGCAAATACTTAGGTACTTAGAGTAAATATTGTCCTCCACAGCGACGGCTTGGAGTCGAGGTCGCCAAGCCCTTGATCGCCGAATTTGCCGGGCGCTGTGGGCGCCTATGTGCAGTGTGTTGTGTTTGCTCAAAACGTACATATTAAAATTTCCCCTCGGTGTGTAGATCAGTGAGAGTGTATAAAATAGATTGTGTGTGCGTAGAAATGTGTGCGTACGTGTGTAAAATGGCAGTGTGTGTGTGCGTGTGTCTAATCGTGTGTATGGAGAACCTATAAATTTGGGTGCGACTCGTTTACGAATCGTCATCGCTGGTCGATCCCCCCCTTCTCCGGCCATTTATTATTCGAGCCTTTCGCAGGTACGTAGCTCCTGATGCAAGGGGAAAGCGGTCTCATTTCACTAATCTGCTTCTCCAGGTGCAGGACATCATGCATTTCTTATCAGTCAGATTTATTGCAGCTCTTTTCGTCATCGAAGGTATTTTGTCGTTGCAGTATTATCATCTCCTCTCATCTTGTCGCCTCAGCTGCCATTGCTGTCCCTCTCGGTATCGAGTATGACAAGACGGAAAACTTGGATGCGGAAGAGACCGCCAACAAGGGAAGGCTTGATGCAGCAACGACGCTGGGTAAGTTGTATATCATACTGACTTCCAACAGTATAGCTCACATGCCCACATCAGCCGACGCACAAGTAGCCAAAATGCGAGAAGGCGTAGACAAGTATAAAGCTGGTGATGCGAAGGCCAAGGTACTCTTCGAGGCGGCTTATGGCAAGAACGCCAACGTCGATGAAGTCGACAGAACTGTGACCGCACTTCAAAACGGTAACCTCCAAGCACAGTTGGCAACGCATACCAAGTTTAAGCATGGCGAGATTGCTGCAGTCGAATGGATAAAGCCTAATGATAAGTCACCATGGCGGTTTAAACCTGCAAAGTTCAGCGGACGATTCCATGGCACGTATATTTCCTGCTCATCAAGTTCTATAGCACTCACGTGGAATCAATTGTTGCAGGAACAGGCGATGATGCATTAAATGACGTAGGGCGCGCGGGCACCGTTATTCATGAAGCTACACATCAGTTATCGAAGACCGGAGACAAAGTCAACATGAGGAACAACATCATCAGACCGAGTGATGGAAGATCGGTGTGGAACGGAGAGACTGGATGTAAGTGAATGGAAGCTATTCCTCTCTTGAGAGATTACGTCACCGACAATGCGATATAGACACCTCAAATCACAATATGCACAAGACCGTCGCTGAAGTCAACGCAGACGAGGGCTTTACAGCTGTCAGAGATAAGGCAAACAACATGCACTACAATGCAGAGTCACACGCGTGCGTGTGTAAAGTATTTCATCAAACAAATGACTCAACGGAGCTCTGTAGATTGTTCGCCAGCTTATGCTCCCAACCTGGAGCTCTGCGTAGGCGTGATGTGTCCCTCTACAATCGAGCCTTGTCGGAAGGTGACCACAAGAAGGTAAATGGAAATGCTTGATGTTTCTTCTCCTGACGGGATCCTGAAGCCTGTTTCTTTTTCGCAGCTCCACTATCTCGCGCGACGCAATTCCTGCAAACTTCCACCTGACTATTTCGCCAAAAAGGCCGCTGCCGCAAAAGCCGCACCCAAGAGGGTGAACAATTCGAAGGTGGCCGCGAAGGGAGGCCACAGGCCTTCAACGAAAGGCGGCATGTCTCCAGCTCGGTCCTCCGTCAAAGCGCCTTCTGCCGCTAAGGGACTGGGCCCCAAGGCCGCGAAGAAGAGTGCCAACGGGAGACGCCTGGTCAAATCGACGACTTCTGCCAAGAAGCAGGCAACGAGGGGTGCCGCCAGGACCACTGTCGGGAGTGCCAAGACATCGACAGCATACCGTTCGAAGGCAGCGCAGCGGCAGTCTATCAAACGGACGGCGCGTGGTTCAAAATCGTCTCAAGCTCACTCCTCCAGCAAAACATCTCCGAGAAGAGGATCGCCGAAGTTCGCAGCCTCACAGGGTGCGAAGCGTACTGTCCATAAACAAGTCAGCAAGCGTCCTTCACGACCCGTCAAGCCAAAACCAGCAAAGGGTGCCGTCACTGCGAAGGCCAAGAAGCATTAAATACTCGCACCGTCATCTCTGCCCATGAGAACTTCATGTAATAGCGTCGTACTGCAATCTTGAACGATAAGTTGATAGCTGATCCACTGTTATCGTCCAGACTGGTCATGGACAGTCATTGGAATCAAGTGAGTTTGGTGAGAACTCCGCCGGGGTCCGGTGGTCTAGATACCATGAGGAGGCACCGACACTGTCTTCGACCGGAGACGGCGAGGGTTGAGAGAAACCTTGGCTTCGTTTCAGCTTGGGCGCTAGAGTTCTCGGATCGTCAATGAAGCCACATGTAGCGCCTCAAGTTCAGTAAGAACGGCGATGAATTTGGAAGATGAAAGTTGAGGGCAAGATGAGGTGTCCAATATTTTGGAATATCTTTGCCAGTATGTCTTTTTCACCATGAAGTTGTCCAAAATAGGTCACTACACCACAGTCAGCAGGTCAGGCAAGAAACCTCCTAGTCATAGGCTGTACGTCGTATACAAAACAGAGGTATCATAAAAAGCACAAGAAATCACAGACAACAAACATAGCAGCGATGTCGACGACTCAACTTACATCTACCAGCACCCTTCGAAGTCATACGAACAAAACACTCCAAGCCTCAAGTCGTATCGAACCTCTTCAACGGAGCAGGTTTCCCAGTAATACTCCTCCCCCTTGCAATTCTTTCCGCGAGGCGTTCGACCACCCCGCCCTCCTCGTTCTCCTCCTCCATGGTGCGTTTGATGAGGTCCTCCATGTCCATGCCGTCCGACGAGCGCCGGCTCGTGAGGCGCATGCTGGGTACGGGGAAGATCGCGGAGCGTTGGTGGTCGAATTCGGGCAGACGTTCGTTCGCGATATCAGAACGCCGACTGTAGGAGAAGCGTAAGGTTAATTGAGCACGAAAGAGGAGGAAGGAAAAGGCTGGAGACGTACGCATCGTCGAACGTCCGAATGCTTCTATTAATCCGCGTTCCTTGCACAGTAAGGGCGTCCGCACCGCCACGGTTGACAGCGGTCGAGGCACCAGCAATACCTTCGGTCTCCAGCTCTGTTGTGTTCTCTGCCTCTTCTCTGTTTTTCACAAATCATAGACATCAGTTGGCGTCAAAAAAATTCCCGGAGAAAACGCCAGCTCACCTGAGCAGCTGAAAAACTTTCTGCATCCTCCCAACAGCCAAAATCTTCTTCTTGATAAGCTGCCTCCGTGCAGCCAGGTCTTCCGGAGCAGCCGCTGCCCCTTCCTCCTCCGAGTCTGACTCAAGCTCTTCCTGGCTACATATGCTCAGAATAGCAAGCAGCATCTCCGTAACTGCCAAGTCACAAACCACCACGTCAACAACCAGCTCTCGGGCCCAAAAGCCACGTAGAAACTCACTCTTCAACCCAACGAAAGGTAAGCTCCAGGTAAAGGCATCCATGAAGTTCGGTAGCCAATATGGGTGGGATGTCGAATTGTACTGCCGTATGGTGATGTTCTTGTTCGCATACTTGAGGATGGCTCCTCGGTTGTGGTACACGTCCAAGTAATTTGGTGCGGAAAATATGGTGATGACGGAGGGGAAGTTGCGTTTCGGTGTCTTGCGGTACATCGTGTAGCCAGCGTCTTGTGCTTCGTGGCCGCGAATGACGGTGAGGAGGCCATTCCGGTCGAGGAACTGACATACGGCATCATAGCTAGAAGAAAAGTCAATTTTTTGGGAGGTTGCGGCATCGGTGCAACATACGTGTAAAAGTAGGAACATCCTCGCGTTGCGTTGTGAGTAAAGGTTGTCCCACGCTCCAAACCAGGCCCGTTGGCGGTGGGTTCGTTTTCTTGCCCGAAATTCGATATAGGGTCAGCCCATAGCAGATCACAAAGCAGTCCGTGCGAGCCGGGCTCTTGGTGTCTGTTAATCTGTATCGGCGTAAGAAGACTGTGGACAAAGAATAAAGAGATAACGCACGCTGGCCAAGTCGCTGAGGTGCACAAGTTGTGGCGAGATACCTCCATGCACGCAGAAGAACTTTCCATCCACCAGCGCAGCTACTGGGAGTGCACAGAATGAGCGTAGACATGCTTCATACACGTTCTCAGAGTACTTGTGCAGGCCTGAGCGTGTTCGATGAGACGATGTGAAGGTATGGAGGGGGGTGGAGTTAGGGAGGGTACGACGACAGGCAACGTGCTGACTGACACTCTTTCTTGAACGTGAAGTATTCAGTGAGGTGACGGCATTCGTGGTTCCCTCGTAGGAGGTACATTCGGGTGGGGTTGGCGATTTTGAGGGCGTAGAGATAGAGGAGGCACTGATCGCGAAGGCGTTTGGGACCAAAGGAAGGTGGCGAGAAAAGGTAAAACGCACCTCGATACCAAAATCTCCTCGGTCTACATAGTCTCCTAGAAAGAGATACGTGCTATCTTGTAAGGAACCGCCCACATCGAACATCTTCATGAGGTCATACTGGAGACGGACGTCAGAGTGTTCGCGCAGAATTCAGGCCTGAACCCACATATTGACCATGGATATCTCCACATACTATGTCACGAATGAGCTCTAAGATATCAACGTAGACCGTGAAGAACGCCTCACTGGTGACAGGACTCTTTACGGGCACCATGTTCTCCTCCCTCGCTAGGATGTTCGTCGCCTCATCCAGAATGTGCAGCGCCTGCCTCTCCGTCAAGCGTCCCTCGTGGAAGAAATGTTTCTTGAGGTATTCATGGTTGACCTTCTTGCGCGTCCCATCGCCAACGAAGAAGTCTGCATCGCTCGGCTTATGTGCGGCGGGTGGTGGAACCTACATGTCGCACATTCACACCATCGATTAGAGACCTCCTGCTCCGAAGTGACGAATAACGCACATGTGGTACGGGCCTCTGCCTGAGGTCCATAGCGTTCTGCTGCTGTGCGGCTGGTGCTGACGCCGGGGCCGCATGGTGGTTCGGTGTGGGGTAGTGGTTGAATTGTTGGCCGTGGATTACTGAACCGGAAGCACTGGGCGTTCGTGCGTGGTGAACGGACATCTACGCAATCGATGGGCGCTCCGTCTGCGATGTCCCGAGTCGGTGCCCTTGGAGTTCGCGGGCGGTTGGCGGGGATAAGGATTCGCGAGAACAAGAGCGGGGTGTGGTTGAGGGGAAGTTGAGATTTCTCTGTTTGGCAGTGTTAGCGACTGATTTAGCGCCCGGAATGTGCATCTCCTAGGCTGTGAACATCGCAGAAGGCGGGCAGGGAAGGCACAGGCTCGTGGACACCTCCACCGCCAAAGTACAGCTTGGATGGTAAGGAATGAGCATGGAATCCATTTTAAGCTGCGTAATGAAAGAACACACTTGATCAAGCGGGTCTATGCCCCAAGGCTGTGCTCGGATTCTTCAGTGGAATTCCTTCCTAACTCAGGCGAAGACTTGCCTCCGTCGAGAAATACGACATATCGCAAACATATCGTGCAAATTATACCGGCCTAAAGACCCAGACTGCAGTCGTTATTGAGCTGGGTGTCGAAGATCATTATCGGAGATTATGTTAACTTCAATGGAGACACCACCTACCAAAACCAAGTCATGATTGGATGTATGCGGTGAAGATGCAGGATAAAAGTTGAGAATAAATCCAATCCGCCTTCTCGACTGGACTTAAGAACGAAAGGGAAGCGCGAGGTGATAAGAGGCGGCATCGGGCTTTGAGGTTGTGGACACAATTCATTGGTTGTCTCCCAGTCAACATGCGAGAGTGAAAATCCTTCCAGACAATTCTTCACATGCACTTTCGAGCTTCGTTACCACCACTTTCCAAAGCTTAGCTTCTTGTTGGATTCTCGACCCTACGTTTTCATGCTTCATACATAGCATGATGAACTAACAGGCCTCGAAGTTGGGATGAATGGGCAGATCTGCAGACTCCGTTAGCTAATGCGCAATTCTCGCCAAGCACACCTACATCACGGGCTACGTATCGAGAAATGAGAAGGCGGGAATCGACCACAAGGACCCATAACAAGCAGAATTGCGCGTCACGAACGCGTACAAAATCCGAGAACCCCTATTTTCAGGGCAAATTTAGGGCACGTGTTCGCGTCATCATGGCGCATATAATCTTGCCAGGTAACGCGAGACAACATATCTTTCTTCCCTCGCCCCACTTCATGATGCAAGAAGTAATCCCAGCCCAGTATTTATTCATACCCGATGATATTACTCAGCCAATCCGTCAAGCAGACCTCCAATACGGAGGCCCGACATTCGTGGACGACGTAGATGAACTCCTTGGGCTCAAAAATGGGCCACTTGGTTTTATCGGCGAGGAATGGTTGTGGACTGAAGGGCAACTCAGGATGGTACGAGTCTAGCATAAAGATTGGCATAAAGATGAGCCACCGATGGGTTATTAACAACAGCCATATCCACAATTCAAGGGCGAAGAACCTTTTCCCCCACTACACGAGTACCTTGCGTACCAAGCGATCATGGACGACTACGGGAACATGACGCGGGCGCACAACAAACGCGCTGCTGAGCTCCTCCGGCGTCCAGTTACTCATGGCTCCGTCCTCGTCGCCAAAATGATCGTGACAAGGAAGCCGGATGAATATATGGAAACCGTACTTCGTTTTGAGGAGTTGACTGAACAGGAACTGCGGAGCAACGCGTTCTCGAAGAAGAGGAGGGAATGGCACAGGGCAACAACTTGATGACGCGCTTGAGTAAATGGGGGTGTCAAGGAAAAAGGAGAGAAATGTGTGCATTTACTGATAGATGTATACTGATAGATGTATCCTTCCAGCTCCTTCCAGCTTTGATTCTACTCTATTGAAGAGAAATGGACATCATCCTCGTCAGTGGTTCGACTCGTATTCCGGCATCAGGCTGTACAGCTCGTCCTCACTTACCTGGAGAATGAAGATGCATGCTCACCATAAATCCGAGATTCACGATACATATGTACCCAGCACCCACATTGCCCGTTCTGTCCCAGACCGGTACGTTGCTTCGTCTCTACTTTGACCTCTCTTTTCTTGACCATCACCATCCACCACACTAGACACTTCAAAACTCTCCCCAGAATTTCCCTTACCTGTGGAACTCCTCAGGGAGATCGTCACACTCCTCTCACCCACCGATCGTCAAATGCTCTCTCTGGCATCTTGGCTAACACGAAGTTAGGCCATACACTTCACATTTAGACATTGATTATTTACAGGTCATCCAGTCTGCTCATTTGTCCCAACAATCTTGATAACAACTGATCTCGGACTATATGATTCGAGAAGATGACGACAGTGCTGAAATCTTCCAATTCTTGGAAGCCCTGCCAAATTTACAGGCTCTCGAATACCGCCAATACGGACCACTCGTTCGACCTGAGGATCTCCTCGGCTTCGATCGATCTCTCTTCTCGAACTTGTCCTTGATACTGGCAACTACACAGCGGTTGAAGAACACCCTACAACAGGTGTTGCCTGCCTAGAGAAACTCTCCATATGCTGGTCTGTGAACGACAACCCAAATAAACCGGGAAGCTCGCTCGCTCAATTGTATGAGTTCATTCGGCCTTCACTTATGACGTTAGTGAGACTCAGGATCGACAACGAGCCCGAAAAGTTTGGCGGCGGCTTCGACCTACAACCATTAAAACCGGCTGGGAATATTTTGCGGACGTTCGAATACACCCTTCAAAGTTCCGATCAAAGCGTACTCGATATTATTCCAGAGATTTTCCCCCATCCCACGATCCCCAGTACCCGGTGAGACAATCTGTTCATATACCATAGATCACTCTGTATTGTGGAAGGCATGTGCATTCTGTTCTACTTCCCGCTTAGTGAGATTAATATTTTTTTTGTAGGACACGCACATCGAGACCCTTGCAAAAAATAGCAACCTTTCCGACCTCACACTATCCTCAGATTTCGAAGAGAACTAGTGCTTAGGACAGATGAGAGCAACATCATCGATACATAGCTCTTCCACGTACGACACAGTGATGAATACTATCTTTCCCTCAAGGACTTACATATCGTCGGTGTTTCTGCATTTATTCCCGCATGATAAGCGCCCTCCTGCCAGTCTCGTTGACCAGGAAGAGTAGATGTCCAATACAGTAAGAACTTGAACCACGGCCGCGGCCTACCGAGAAGCGCCCACCACCTACCATATATGGTCTAGCATACTACGACCCAGAAGCCCAAGCTGGCAGGTGTCATCCTCGATCACGTTTATGAGGATTCTCTTCCTACTTCTGTGCTGGCTCTTTCGAAGGTCTTCTGAAATTCCTCCGCGAACACTTAAGCGACAAGCGCTAACTTGAGGCCCTAAACAATGTGTACAACAAATATCCGTCCATTCGTGTATCATGTTATATAAAGTACAGTAACTGTAAATAAAACGTAGAAAGAAAAAAGGGGTGGAAGAGAAAGTCCGAGACGAGTCCGAGACGAGGGGAGGCAAAAGTAATCAAAGAGAGTCCTTAGTCCGGTATGTATGGTTTTACAACAGCGGCATACTGAGCAGAACGCTCTTCGATTCCAGATAAAGATAGTCCGAACGTCGTCGCGGTCGTATGCGCGTCGAGGCTTGCTTGACGGCGGGAAGGTGGTGAAGGGCGCCGATCATGGCGGCAAAGGCCAGAAGAAACGGTGACGATACACGGATACACGGATACACGGATACACGGGTAACATTATTGCATTCGCAGGGCATAAAATTAGGTTACACTGCAAAAGGTGTTAGATGAGCGCTTAACATCTGAACAGTCACGTACATTGCGTAGATAAAATCCCCATCACCTCGTCCACTTTCGCGAACGCCTTGATCCTCGTCCCGCACTCGTCCGTCGACAGGTAGCACGACGGACCCGCCATGCTTGCCATCAGCTGGCGGCAGGTGTCGTTGCATGCGTGGTGGTCTTTCAGGGCCTGTACATAAACGTGTTAGTGATTAGACGGGGAAGCAAAGGGAGGCACGCACGAGCTGGGCATCCAACAATATAATCCACGCCTCCCAGAACGTGGACCGCAGCTCGATGGCCTTGCGTGCATCCCGTACGGCTTCGCGATACCTACCATTCACAATTCACCAGATCAGCCTCAGCCGATCCGGATGCGAACCCGAAATAAATCACTCACCGCTCAAGCTTGAACAGCGTCTGCGACCGATACAAGTACAGCGCAGGTAGGTCCCGCGGGCGCTGCGCCGCGATCGCCGTTGTGAATTTAGCAAGTGCAGCGGGGTAGGCACCCTGCCTGAAGAGCTCCTTGCCTTCGAGGATAGTCTTTGTCAGTGGGTTGGCTGCTGGGCTTGCGGGCTTGATGACGTCGTAGTAGTACCCGCTCGTGGTCGCGTGACGGGGAATAGCTCGCTCCCGGCGCTTCTTCTTGAGCTGGGCGGCGGGCGGTAATGGTGTCAAGGAGGTGGCGGACGAGGAGGATGAGGCAATAGATGATGAAGAGGAAGGTGTTGGTGATGTGGGCGATAAAGGCAAATGAGGGTGGTGGTGGAAGTGGTGAATATGATGGTTATGGGCGACGACGACCTCCTGCTCCTCCCCGTCCACCGCAAGAATAGGCTCTTCTCTGGAGGGCGCCGTCTTCGTCTTCTTCTCAGTCGTCCCGGCGCAGGCGCAGTTTTCTCTCGCTCTCGCTCTCGTCGAGTCCACTAATACCAACCGTGATCGATCCAGGGCTTGCACTTGCGACGGCGCCAGAGGAAAGAGGAACAGTTTTCTTCCAGTTGCTACCCGTTGATCAATCATGGAGGGGGACCGACAGAAAAGACGATACCAGCACGGCCCCGCCTCTCCTTTTATTTAACGATTGTATCACGCTCCCAGCCCACTGCCCATGGATCTAGAAACACCAGTAGGTGCGCCCAGGCCGGCAGAGGTGCCGAGTCCAGAAAGTTCGTACACACGTTGCCATTGGTCCGGGCAGTGCGCCGTCGACGCATGTTTACAAATCTAGATCCTTCGAACTTCGGAGATCAATGTTGTCGTAATGACAGAATGGATGAAACTATCTGGAGACCCCCCTTCCAGGAAGAGAACCCCAAATATGGCACCGGCTGCCGTGGGCGAGGACCATCGACGGACACCTTGTTGTGCAGACTAATCGCCTACGGCGAGGTTTTGTGATCCCACGAGGGAAGGTCGCACTGAAAGAGTTACGGTGTGGGGAAGAAGGCGTGCACACAGTTCCGGTATTTGCAAGGAAGGTAAAAAGACAATGGGTAAGGGCAAGGGCGGGCCACGAAGAATCTCAAAAAATGCAGCATCAAAACGACGACTGCGATGGGAGAAGGCGGGTGAAGAGAGGAGACCATGGAAGACGGGGCGTTTAAGAGACGGCGGATGTCTCGGGGAGGACTATGCATGATGCATGGAGGCGGGCCCGGAAGCGCGACATGCAAGGATGGGGAATAAGGTCCGGAGGAGCGCCCAGACTCCAGAGTGTACGCATCCCAGTTGAGTCGGCTGTGACCGGAAAGCCTTGTATAAACAAAGTTTAAATCCGAGTAATTTCTCTCTAATCATCTCCGGCCGTTGACCCCATTCCGTCGATATACAGATAACAGCGGCGAGGCCTGTGAAAAAAAGCCTGAGATTTCGTAGGTAAGGTCTGCATAGAATACATGCAGCAGGAGCAATAAAAGCCAACTAATACGGGAGAGAGCGGAGAGAAACTTAAAGGGAGTGGGTCTGGGCGCGTAATGAAAAGGTTAGCCGTAAAATTACTTTAAAATATAAAGATTTTGGCTACTTTATCACCCATGAGCATATGGACACAGCCATTTGACAAGTTCTCTCATCGTCAAATGGCAGAAGCTCCGAGTAGGCAGAAACGCTCATGCACCTCGTCGCCTCGTGCGCGCCACCTTGCTTCATTTGTGGCAGTCGGTGTAGTGCTCTAGATCTTGAGAAATATCAGATAATTTGCCAATTTCATGTGGTGGGTCGGTACCAACGCGAATGGCTTCGAAGGCTTCAGAGTTGCTCAAGCGCCTTTGAGCGCCTCTTGCGGGCCGCGCCGGCCGCAGCGCCGGAGATGTAAATACAGCCAAATTTTTGATCAATGCGGGGTCCGGTTTCTACATCAAACGCCGGCTTCTTCTGAAAGGGGGGTCTCCAAGTGGTTTTTAACCGTAATGAAGATGTAACGTTTCCTCTTGCTCGTACGCTTGAGTTTGCATAAACCTGCGGTGATCTAGCTTCCTGGATTGACTTTTGTCGACCCTCTCTGGCATGGATGGTGAAGGTAAAATTACATTTGGGTTAGCCACGGTATGTCTGGACTGTGGCGCGGCCATTCCGTCGATCAATCGATCAATATTGTAGAATGCTCCCGCTGCGTTCTGTCATTGGTTGTCATTCCCGTCGCTTCGTCGCCCATTGGTCGCCGGTGTCTTCGGGCTTGTAACGACGCTAAACTTCGTTGCTCCTCCCGCCTGGGCCTCTCGCGGATTGCTCTCGAGGCTGCGCACGAAACTTAATTATTTAAAGAAAAAGTAACACTGATCAACATTGCGTATTTGTACACATTGGTTTCAATTACTACTATGTAGCGAGCAAGGAAAGAAATGGAAAGAAAAGATCAAGATTCCAATATCGAGGGCGAGACGTCGTGTATGTGTGCAAGGAAGCATCGGGCAAAAAGATAATGCAGGGGGATTGAATGAATGAGCAGATGCAATGTTGGTGAGGAAACAAGAAGGAAAGGCAGAAAGAGGGAAGGAACGGAGTGGCTAGAACATATCTCGAGGCCAGAACGAGGAATGAGGCTTGCTCTGGGTACCGTGTACGTACATACTTAAATATCTCACTTTGGACATACAGATTAGAGTATAGTAGCACTGTGCAAGACGACATGAGAGAAACGGGAGAAGAAAAGGGAGAAGATCAAAGGAAAAGAAACAACAAACAACCAACGGATGAGGATCATGTATTTGACAAACTGAGAGTATGTGGGTGTGGTGGCATAGGTGTAGGTGCAGGCATAGCAGCGAGTCGATCTTGTTTGGCCTCTTTCGACACAGATTCGGACGGCTGGCAGCTCGACGCAAGGAAGGGCCCCATCAAAGTTCAAACGCTGTCGCTTCACTCGAACCACGATCCAGGGAAGTCCCATGCACCACCCCCAGTGGAGCTGCCACCTGCGCCACCTGCAGGCGGAGGACCAGAACCAGAGCTAGAGCCATATCCCGGGGGGCCAGGAGGGCCGGGAGGGGGATCCCGGGGATCTCTTTGTTGTGGGTCTCTCATGTCTCGGAGATCTCTCGCTTCTCTCGCCTCTCTTCCCTCCCTCAGGTCCCTTCCCTCTCTCGGCCTGAGCATGAACGGCCGGAGGTGACGGTGGAAATGGTGGTGGTGGAAATGATGCCTACGAGCCCCTGCTCCCGCCGTCGAAGAGGAACCAGACGCGCCAGAGCCGAGGGCGATGACGGATTTACGGCACACGGGGCATGTGCTGGCTGATTGGAGCCATTGCTGTAGAAAAATCAGATCAAGAGGGATTAATTGATGTACAAAAATAAAGAGAGGAGCAGCTGTGCACCTGTAAACAGTCCTGATGCAGCCAGTGCGAACAGTTGTTCAGCTTCAGACACGGATCCGTGGGGGCGTACTATGCACAATCATTATTTAGCTTTCCACTCCCAGTAAAGGAAAACTGAACAAACGTACATCATCCAAGCAGATCGGACACCGCTTATCGCTCCCCTCTGTCGCCCAGTCCTTGTATTCCTTCTTCTCTAGCTTCTCGATAATCTCAGCGGGCGTCGACCGAGACTTGACCTCGCCCAGCGTCTCGGCGAGGTTGAGGATCCCTTCGTACGATGTGGGGAACTCGTGATCGGGCTAGACGTGTGGGAGGTCGACGTTAGTGAGAAAGAGAAAGAGGACAAAAAAGAAAAGTGAAGAAAGAAAGAAAAGCAGGAAAAAAAGAAAAAGAAAAGAAATAAAACTCACCATAAAGTCACCTAAGTTGAACCCACCCCTCCGTCGTCCAAACGCACTCTCAGCGGGCAGGCGCATGATACGGCTGCGACGGAAGGCAGGATCGCGCGGAGGCGCTGCTGCCCAGCGTTGTCCAGCAGGGGCCGAGTCCCGATTCTGGGCCCCTTCTGCGCTGTTATTGCCAATGATGTTGCCAGAGGGTGTTGCAGACGCCACCCCAGACCTAGAACCAGCATCCAATGCGGACATGGCCGCTGCCCGAGTGGATCGAAGCCGGCGGAGCTCAAGCTCGCGCCGGTGCTGCTGGTAGTCCCTAATGAACTGGCGCTCGCGCTCTGCTACACCGAGGCCGCCTCCAAGTCCAACAGATGTACTCCGAGGTTGTGGCAGAGGGGCCCCACCGCCACCACCACCGATACTAAAATAATCAGGCTCTTCGAATCGGGCAGCAGCAGCCTCCATGCGGCTGATGTGCCGATGGACATGGAGGGGTTGCAAGTCGGACGTGCTCCGTCTGCGTGTGTCGCTGCCCATACCCATGCCCATGCCCATCATCGACGCGCCTCTCGCAGCGGCGAACGAGGTCGGAGGAAAGATCCGTTGTTCGAACTCGTGGATAATTCTCGATCTCGCTAACGATGCTGACGATGCCGCTGCCGCTGATTGCTCAGTAGAGTTGCTGCTTCCGCCTCCTAGCTCAGTCCGAGGCCCAGTTCCATGAACGTACTGACTGTTTGAAGGCCCTTCATTACGAGCAGAGCTCTCTGGCTGAAGTCCATAGGGCTGGTGCATCATCCTCTGATGCTCTTCGAAAGCCAAGGGCGGAAGACTAGGCGGTATCGACTGCTGTTGACGATTAGCGTTGTTCCTGCGTTCATACATATGGTTCAGGGTGTTCTGAAAAGGGCCGGGCCTGAATGCTGACGGGTCGATGCCGTAGTTATTCTCAGGTTGTGCCCTCGTTGTGCCATGCCAAGTCGGTACCGGAGGCGCCGGAGGAGGAGGAGGGGGATGCACATTCGCAAGACGGTCCCTTAGGCGCAGACTCGTAGGAGTCTGGTCGCGCTCCATCATCGGAAAGTCCTCGTCAAGCAGGCTGCCGGGCGTGTGGCTGCCCACACTGGGGCTGTAATAAGGGCGCCTGGTCAACAAGAGTTGCCTCTGCGTAGGGTCATGCAACCGGTTGTGCTCTTGAAGCCGCCGTCTCGTCTCCAACAGCCTTTGGCTCATCTCGCGCTCCTGCTCGATCAACCTCTCCCTTTCTCTTTCTCTTTGTATCTCTCTGTCCCTCTCCCTCTGTCGCTCGCGCTCTCTTTCCCGTTCCAGGAGCTCTCTTTCTCGCGCACGTTCACGCTGCCTTTCATAAGCGGACGACAGTCGGCGGTCTAGGCGGTCAAAATGTGAAGGATGCCAGAGCTCGTCGGAAGCTAAGTCTGCAACGATCTCAGTCAAATCAGGGGTCATGGGCAAAGGTGGTGCTGATGGTTGTGCCCTTGAACCCATGCCCGATGCTCCTCCGATACTAGAGGGAGTCCTTGATGTCCGTGTAAAATGCGACATGCTACGAACGTGCTGAGGGCCATCATACGACCATGCGGTAAAGTATTGCTGAGAAGATGGCACATCCAACTCCCTGCTATGAATTGGGGTCGAAACGTCGGGGTTTGCAGCATCTGTCGCGTTTCGAATGACCATTGACATCGAGGCGGGCGGCACGTGACCATCATCGGCATCAAGCGAGCCACCGAAGTCTGGCGGCGGGAGCGATGGTGGCACCGTGGCGGTACGTCCAGGTCTTGGAGGAGGCGGCTCTGGTGTAGGAAACGGTATCCCGATAGAAGGGAAGAACGGATCGAGATTTTGGTCAGTGTCACGGGCTGCCGACGTTGGCGGCGTGTCGACCTCTGGGAAGAATGGGTCGAACATGGTTGGCGGCGTCGGGATCCGCGTTGGAAGAGCAGGGGGTGGCGCCCGTACAGGAGCACTAGTAGCTGCCGCACTTTGTTGCATCCAATCTGAATCCGGGCTGTCGAGATCCATAGATCCTGTAGGCAGTGGCATGGCAGGCAGCAACAGAGGAGGAAGTGATGGCAAAAGACTGCGAGGGTCCATCCACTCCATCGACGACGACGCTGTAGGCGTGGACCTCTGCCGTTCGCTTTGTAGATGTCTCCTCGGGCCGTCATCCGCCACTGAGCCCACAACACCGCTTGCACCCGAAGTCGATGAGGAAGCTGCACCGAACCACCCAAGCCTGGCGTTGGCTGCAGCTCTCTGCAACTCAGCTACTTCCTCATCGACAGCTGCAACCACTTGGGCCTGTCGATCCCTCGCAATCGCGCTCGCTGCGTCCGAAGTCTCTCTGAGCATGTTCATCACTTCCTCCGTCTGTGCCCTTAGGTGTCGTGTCCTCTCGGCCATTCTCTGCGCCTGTATTGGCGCGAAAAGAGACAGATGCGGGCCGGAGTCGGCTTCGAATCTTCGCAGGAGATCGTCGTGGTCCTCTCGACGTCGTAGTTCGGATGCGCTCTCGGCGACAAGGGAGTTGGAAGTGCCGAGGTATGTGCGAGAGGGTACAGCACGAAAAGGTCGCGGTAAGGTGTACGCGTTTCGAATGCCGAGATAGTTCAGTCTGCTGGCGTCGTCGTCGGGTGGACGATCTCCTGATATCATGAAAGGTGGCAGTGAAGAGGGGCGACTGTTCGAAGGTGAGACAAAGAAAAGTGGCATACATCAAGAAGCCATACCTTGTTACGGAAGGGGGTCGGTGGTCTGTACAAGATGTTAGAAGTTGTTCAAGAACAAGAACGGACAACATACCTGCAGCGTGTCTGCGAATGGTACGATCGTCTACAGCAACGGTATAAGACAGACGGACAGGCCAGAAGGAAATCACTGACTGATGAAGAACTCGTTGTCTAACAACCGAACAGCATCTTCATCGGCTCTGTGCCTCGGTCCGGGCGACAATGAATGTGTCTGGATTTCACTGAGGAACTGAGGCCAACTTCGCAGTCCAGTACGAGAAGCTTGGGTGCCGTCGTCTGCCATACTAGTGCCCATACCCTGGTCCATGTAACTATGAAGCTCTGGTAGGTCGGGCGAAGGAAGTGGGTGGTCTGCAAGGTTTGATGAAGCAGAAGGAATTTGCCCACTCAGCTGCCTCAAAGTGGACACTGTAGTAGGTGCCGGAGCAGTGTCGCTCTCGCCATCGAAAAGGAGTGTATCATCCTCGTCCGAGGTGATGGACGGGATGGGTGGTAACGTAGGGGGGTCGGGAGGAACCTGTGGAAGCCGCGTGTCCAGACTCGTCTCCTGCTCTTCTTCGTCTCCTAAACCCGGAACCAGCGGCGATTGTGATCTCAGACGCTCCAGCGCCCCAGCGAGCCGCGCGCGGAACCCTTCCACCATTTCCAGGTCCTCTCGTTCCTCTTCCTCTTCCTCGTGATCCACGCCAGGGGGTGAGTATGCATCCCGGAAACGGAATTGGGCTGCATGTCATGCGTTAGTCATGACGGTCATCCATCGTCAAATGCCTCTGACGCACCTGATGTAGACGACTCCGCCACCTGGAGCGGTTCCTCGTAGACTGAATTGTCACGGACTGTAGTCGGGCTCTGCACTCGGGTGCTCGATGGGCTTTCATGACCGAAGAAGGCCTCCGACAGCGGCGTTGTTGGCCGTGGCGGTGGATGAAGGAATGTAATGCGAGGCTGGTCGTCGGAAAGACCTAGGGGAGGGAGGGTCGGTGGAGAGGAGGTCTGCGGCTGCCGCAGAACTGAAATTTCGCCGTCGAATGCATGGAACCTCTCCACTGTTAATCGATATCTATCTTCAGGCGTCTGTTGTGGTTGTGGTTGTTGGGTCTGAGGCACTAAATTCAGAGCGAATGTCTGCTCATCGACGGGGTAATCGGGCATGTCGATGTCCTGGATCTCTGGCGTGGGTAGACGGGGTGGATCAAGCACTGGAGCCGTGGAAGGGCCTGCAGGCCTCGAGGTTGTCGAGTTCGTCGAACTGCTCTCCGTCACTGGGCTCATCCTACTTGATTCGGAAGAGATGGTCGATGTCGACGATTCGTTTCCCTCGGAGGAGCTACTCGAGCTGCGAGCCCTTTTGTTCCGCTCATTTCCATTGTTGCCACCGCTCCCTCCCGCATCAGTGTGGCCCACTGGACTCTCCAAATCAAAACCATACTGTTCAAACGAGCGCTTGAAAGAAGGTGCAGTAGTCTGAAGGCTCAGATGCAGTTGTGGCGGGCAATTTGACGCCATGTTGGTGGAAAAAGAGGGTTGTCTTCAAGTCTCCAGCGGGACTCTTTGGTTCTGGCGGTCGGTGCTGAATTTTCCAGATGGTTGGCCAGGAGACGAGGCCGATTCGTCTTGCGAGTGGTATACCCCAGCTGTGCGGTAAGACCGCTTGCTGAAGGAGTGGCGAAGGTGGTCTCACCTGTGCGTCGTGGGGAAAGTGAAGTGTAACATTTGTGGCAAATGGACATATTCTACATTTATTGATCGTGGGAATTTTAGTTGTAATGGTTGATTGTCAATAACAAGGTGGTCTTCTTCATGGCGCGTAGTAGTATTATTATGGACTATTATACGTATACATTGAGCTGGATAACAGGATGAATATCATGCGAGTAACATAACAGAAGTACTTGAAGTATCATCAGGTAGTAGGGTTGACGACCTGCTTAGCAAGGGCTACATTCATTCATCGCAAACGGAGGGCACTAGAAGATAGAAGAGAGCATCGCGCCAACCATAAAGAATGATTAATCATACATCTTCATGGTTTCCTCGAGTGCGTCCATGTCGAATGACATATCGCCGAAGGACGAATCTGGGTCTGTATCAAAAGCTGGAACCTCAGCTGGCGTCGACGACGGCATCGAATCTACACTTGTGTTGCATCCCGAACCAGATCCGGACCTAGAATGAGAAGTGGAAGAGGAAGCGGATTTTGCACTATTCTGCGATCCTGATGACGTTGACGACCCAGAGAAAGATCGAGATGCGTTAGACGACGCCTCGACTTTCACGTTGACATTGCCGTTTCGTGCAGGATACTGAGGCTGAGGTCGAGAGTTTATCGTGGTTTGTCCCTGAGGCTGTAGCTGAGGCTGCGAGTTCGACAGCAGTGGAGGCTTAAATCCCTTCTGACGCGTCGGAAGAGGTGCATTATTGGCGTTGTTGCCAAAGAATTGTTTCGAAACACCAGATGCACCTGGCCGCGAGGGGTACGTGTGTGTACGTCGCATGCCTAGCACCGGAGGACGATTAGACGGAGTTGACGCGAATGGCACGGGGATTGTTGTGGCTGGAGCCGCTGGGTGCACTTGGGGCCGCGGATCGACTTTCGGCGATGGTCGTTGTTCAACAACGGATACGTGCCGTGTTGCCGCGTTTCGAGCAGTAGATTGACCGTTGAATGATGTTGAATTTGACTGAGCGGAAGACGCGGGGATAGACGTTTTCAACTGAGCGGCCTGTTGCTGGAGGAGAGGGTGCAATTTAGGAATTGGATCAGGTTTTCTGGGTTTTACGTCGACGGTGGGTGGATGTCGTTGGTAATTCATCGAAGACTGCGCAGTGGTAGGCGCAACACTCGGGTGCTTCGTTGGCATGGCAGGAGGTGGCATCTCCGCCTGCGAGGGTGTCTTGGGTAAAGAGGTCGAGCAGGAGGGTCGGGAAAGGGTTGCTGGTGGGGGACCGAACGACGGCGGAGCTATGCTTCGGGGCTTGTCGTCGACGTCCATTATAGAGTCATCGTGGTTGCGACCAAGAGAGGATACACCGTCCAGGTGCGAAGACGTGTTCGAACAGGTCGACGGCGTTTCCCAAGTCAGAGCGGACGCAGATACGGCCCTAGCCTTGCCTTTGTCGACGACCGAACGTTGTCCAGCCACGCGTAACCCGTCCATACGCCGGCTTTTCGTCTTTCCGACGAGATGCTCAGACGAAACACCTAGACTGGCCCCTCTTGCCCGTTTCTTCACTGCCTTTGATGTCTGGCCAACGACATCCTTCCTATGAGCTTCGACATTCTCGTCTAGACGAGCTGAAACCCCTTTCAGCATATCCAAAAATTGAGCAGGGCTGGTCTTGGCGAAAAATGGCAGGCCGGAGGGACTTGCATCTACGTTGGTTTGATCTGGTGGGCCGCGTGTCCGGGTGTCCGAAAGACGCGCACGCGAAATGGAAGGCCGAGAGGACCTTGACAATGATGGTTTCGTGCTGTTGCTGACGCTAGCCTGGGATGAAGAGCCTGACGAGCTGCCGGTTTCGTTCGTGCTAAGAAGCGAGAACCCAGGGATTTGGTCAAACGAGGACTGGCGGTGCCATCCTTTACCAGTCACCACGCATTGGACATGAGCACGCTGCGTGTAGCAATTACGAAGGCTGGTACGCACCTCGCGATTTCCCAACTCCGTCCTCATTCGCGCTCGACTGGATGAGTTGATTGAGAGCTTGGCATGCAGTCTGTGAGCCCTGCCACTTGACATGATCTGTTGTCGTTGTCGCTCCTGAAGATACCGGCGGAGAAAGTGGATTTGTGCCATCTATTGAGAACTCTTGGAGGGTCGAAAAGCCAGTAAAATCCATCCTCCGCGGGAAGGAGAGTTTGAACCTATGATATCGTTGAGCGGTGCAGTTTAGGAAGTGAGAGCTAGGACAAACCGCTTTTATAGCACCAAGACCTATCAGTGCGTCACAGTTCTTTGTTCTTCGAACTTCGCGGGTGAAGACAGAGAAGGGGGGAAACAAACTTGACAATGAGAAAGCCACTCTCGCGTAGCCTAAGGTGGCACGTGACATTTCCCATATGGAGTCGCCGCGGCGATAATTTAAATCTAGTACTACGCGCACAGTTCGAGCCACATCAAAGTCACTTTCAATGCCAGAATACTCGTAGACCAGACAGTAGTGACAACACATAGTACTGATAATAAGCCGCATTCTTGACTACCCGTCAAGCGCCTGTCTTGTTATATAACTTACGATTTTTTTCAACAACTTTGAGGGTTTACTCCGGGCCAACAGTAATCGTGAAGCTCGTTCCGAGAGACCTATCGCAACTGATTCTACTCTACAGAATATTTGTATAATTCAGTTAAATAAGAGTATATTTCCCAAGCATTTCTTTAGCCCAGTGCTAATCGGAGGGCGGAAATAAGAGAGGGACGTTGAGTCCCACTGATGGGGACTGGCGACCAAGGGCCGCCTTTGTCCAGGTTTTATCTCACAACACGTCGATAAACGCTCTGGTGGACGCAATGAGCCTCTTGGATGTGGTCCCAATTTCGTTTAACGCCGAACGGAGAATGCCGGGAATAGGCGCCCGTGCAGGCTTGTCACAAGTCCCTTCTACTTAAAGGGCAACTGGAACCACTTAGACCACTATCAGTATTTTTAGCTTCTCCCCATTTGCTCAGTTACCTTTCCGAAATTGATTCATCATCATGGTGATAAGAAAACGGCCGACGAATTTCGACCTGCAGGGACTATAGAGTACCATGCCGCCACTCTCAGCAGTGCCCCCGCGTTTCCAACTGTTGAAACTAAGCATGAGCAGTACCGGCCTTAAAACAACTCTAGTGCACAGTCTTGGTTTAGCTGTCGAGACAGATAATTTTGGTCTCTAACGAGCCTTCCATTCTCAGACTTAAGTGCAAACACCAGATTTCCAACTGGAGTTTTTTCCCGACGGCGTGCGGAAAGCTGCAATACATTGATTCATGAACTTTGCGTGGAGCCACAGACCTGATATCCGCCATCATCGCGCTCTTCGCTTGCCATGTATTATGTCTGGAGCATGACGATTACTCCGATCTTGTCGAGGGTTCATGGCATTTAAGGATCACCTACCCGAGAAATTTTCGAGGTCCTTCGAAATGAACGTTACGACGCATGCTCGCCATGAGGATCTGGGCAATGGGCTCTACTCATACCGCGTAAGACATCGGTCTTCTGGCATTGAACACCACAGACTGCGCGAAACACCTAGGTGCCCTTTTGGAACTTGCGCTTCAATAGTGCACCTCTTCACCTCCTACTTCTTCGCGAACCCCTTGAATCGGGAGGAAATGACGACATATGCCTAATATATTTAATGATTTAATGATCGAAGATCACTCGACGGTGGTATTGCGGGAGATGGGGAACTGGTGGGATAAAATCAATCGAAAGTGGGCGCGCGTAGTTCATTTCGGTAACAATGCCTGATGCAGAAAGCATTAGGCATTCAATTCATACCCTTAGCTTCAAGGGGATTGGGAATAAGGTTTAATACTTATAAGTCATTACAAGGTTTGAGCACTAACTGCGAAACATGGAAAGTGCTATCCAAGATATCTGCCAGCAAACATATTATCGGATATGAGTAATTAGAGTTTGTACTTAGATTAAGGCCCTGAGGAAGGTGGAGAGCAAATGATCGTGACAATGTCAGAAAATAAATAAGAGAATAGACATGAAACGGAATCCGATTGTCCGTGCCTTTCGTGGGTGGACATGGCGGTTAGTTGCGAATCAATGAAGTAAAGGAGTCATGTCGATCTCTGAATGCTTGAGCAATCAGGGATCCTTGATCACCGGAGATGTGGCTCTCGTACATGCGTCCTAGCCATACCCCAACGATGAACGTCAGGAGGAAAGGAACGACAGCGGCCGTGAGTGTGGATATATCGTGGTATGCTTGATGTTTGGTAGCGAGCATCACATCACTGTGGAGCTCGGGCGACTCCTCCAGCTTCTGCGCCGTCGAAGAGAGGTACGAGGCGTTTGCGCTTGGTGCTATGGAGCGCTCTTTATGTAGAAGTCGGGGGTTCTGGATGGGAGCAGGGCGGATAGAGAATCCAAAGGGGAATCCGCGGCCAAGATTCACAGAGAACGCGGGCAGGCCATCGATGCTCTTCAGGTTGCGAGACTGCCACCATTGCACCATGCCCTTGGGATTGATAAGCTCCCTCCACGAGGCCCCGGAGACAGACGGGGAAGGAGAGAGCGAACTGTGGGATGGAGCCGTCGAGGCTGATGGGGGAGGAGGAGCGGATTTCGCTGTTATCGTATCTTCATGATCGAACGCCTCCTTCCTCGCTGCCCAGTCCACGAGTTGAGAACGATGGCCGATAAACTTGTAATATGGCACTGCATATCCACAAGTCTATGAAAATGTCGAAACACATGTAAATCGAATGAAGCTTCGCCGATGAATACTTTACTTACCGTACCGACCTTGTGAACATCCACTCCTATAACGGCACGCGAACCAGGAATGCGCTTATCCGCCGGCAGCAGAGCTTCGTATTCCGGAGTTCCGATTTCATAGAAAAAGCCTGGATCAAGATAAATATACATTAACTTTTCATAACACGCGACACAGTCATGGCAGACATCGTCCGCCGGCATTGGCGCACCAGCTTACCTTTTCCATACAAACGGACAATTCTCGCAGGGCCTTCGAAGGCATGGAAGAGGATCGTTACGCGACCGTTCTCTCTGATGTGTGAAACGGTTTCGGCGCCTAATATGGGTGAAAGTGAGAAATAGTGACAGAGAAGAGGGAAAGACGACAGACCCGTTCCGGAGAGATCTTCGTACCACACACGTCGTGAGTTGACGACATGGAACGTTCCTTCTATGGCTTTCGGGGAAACATTGACGTGACCATCAGGTGAGAGAGGGGCAGATGCTACCCAGAACATCTGCTGTTTTAGGATCCATTCCGCAAGATGAGGCGGGATTTCGTCGACAAAATGGCCCATGTTAGCTGGCAGGGGAAGGGGGAAGCTCGGAATGGTTTCGGGGTGTGGGTGGGATACAGTGAGAGGCTCGCTTTAAATACAGCAGCGCTTAATCTCGGACCAGATGTTATGGGAGTTAACAAAACGCTGACCTCTGCCTAGTGTTCATTTGGCCGCTCCCAGATACCCCCCAAGCTTCGGCAGGGGTGGACCGGGGAAAGCGTATTTCACTGAATTGGGAGCTAGATTCGACAGGTGCGCGAGGGTGTGTTGGAGTTTTGTATAGATAGACTCCGTTTCACCATTCTGACATCCACTGCCGCCGGTGGTACGAAATCCCGCATGGCCGTCTCCGCTAGTCATCTGAGTAGATGCGGTCCCTAGAAGGGACCTTCGTACCCAGAGGAGTCCAGCATCATGATGCAAGAATGAGGTGGAGGGTCGTTGACAGCGCGGACTAGTCATGAGGGTCTTTAACCGACAGTTTCATGGGGTTATCATCCAACTCGAGGCTGAACTCTGCGACCCGAGAACCACCCGCCGAATGTCCGTTGGCCAGATATCCGGTGCAGACCGCTACAAGCGAACCTCCTGCCGACGGGACAAGTCTGCAAATGTCGAAATGCTAAACAGGAGCTTGCACAAGAGTGCGATCATCTTGTGGTATGTCATGAACACTTTGGCCGATCGCGGGGAATTGAATACGCCTCAGCTCCGTATAGCAAAGGAACGTTGCATGTCTACAGCATTCGAAAATACCCAGTTACTGTATATTTGCGCTCCCGCGCTTGTCGGTTCGATCAATGGAACAAAGGCTACGGCCCGGGGATGAGAGCGCCGATTGTGGGCCCATTTGTGGGCGTTGCCTTGCCATGAGTCGAAGAAGTTCGTGAAGCGATTCAAGCGAAGGATTATCAGGACCCGACCCTGCATCGTAATGACGATATGCTTACGAGAACATTTCGGCCATCACGATGCGAGCCGAACTTGAGGAAAAGATTAGACAACGAGCGCAGGTGGAGGTCGTAACTTGCTTTCTTTCATGATGCTTTTTATGTACAGCCGTTAACGACATGATTAAAATTTTACGCTACACATGTGTGCCTTTCTTTGGCACCAGTTGGAAGCTACCCAGAAAGGATGCCACCCGAAGCTGCCTAGATCTAAGTTCGAGCTTTAGGTGGGGTAACAATCTTGTTCTCCATCCTTGCGATTCCAAGCGAAGCAATTAGTGGGCTTCTCAGAAAATATACAGCAATCCATTGGACTCGCTTAACGAGGGCCTTTTCCTGGCATCGATCGTTTCTACTCTGGTCTTCCATTTACTCTTTCAACTGGACTTGAAAGCATCGCATATGGACGGCATGAGCTATAACGTTGTTGATTGCGTCTGGTTCCGGCTCAGCAGTTAATATACCGCGGGGTACGTGGGAGGTTCACCCATTCCATGAACTGTCAGCTTAGCTCAATCGGCGTGAAAGGACCACCGACCAGCTATCTTCAGCTAATCCGCGAAAGTCGTTGAATGATGGCGTTCGAGTACTACTCGCCGGGATCACCGCACCAGAGCTTGACCCTCGTTATAACGCTGAACACAGTCCGCGGACAAGCAACTCAGGTGATTTGCCGTCCTGTATCCATCATTCAATTTGAATGTTTATTTCTCAGTTGTCCCTATTCTCAGCCGGAGGTGTTACTCTCGCCAGGAGTTCCTATTCCCACCAGGTTCGTCTCCACCCCAGAATGCCAAAAGAAGGTCTCCACTTTAATTTCATTTCTGTGGCATTGTTGACAGAAAGCTCCCGCAGCCTTCCGACTTAATCGTACGGGGGCCGCACATATGTACGCTCCAAGAGTTAAGCATCTTCACGGTCGAAGTTGCTATGCTCGCCTTGCCCTCGCACGTTCAAGGTCCAGAACCATAACTCTCGTACAGAACTCCGCCTCATGTTCTCTCATGGTTGAACACAGACAACCATTTTATAGAACCCACCCATCTCTTCTTCCACGATTCCACATGTACACTGGGTGTCGGTCCGTCCTCACTGACGATTGACGACGGCTCCTCGGACTTCTACAGGGCAGGTTCTGGAACCACCCCCATCTTACGTCCTTCCAGGCCAAGAAACTCGGTCGAAATATGTGTAATGCTTTCGGCTGCGCCCGTTATTGGTTCTCTTCTTCGTAATCGAGCGCCTCACCGCGGGATTTCTAGTTCACCCTGTTCAGAATCATGTATCTAAATTTCAAAGCATGTAGGTCAATAAATCAGGAAACTTTCGGAACTCCGAGAGGAAGACAGTGGTTAAACCAAGTCGTATCAAACTCTACGGAACTCGCCTCAGTGGGATGGATCGCACAACTGCACGCCTTGATCGTGGTTCCATCCTCGGCTGATATAGCGATAAGATAAGATAAGATCTCATGGAGTGTGGCGTACGTACCAATTACATCACGAAGAAGACATCCCACTTGTAATTTCACAACAGGGTCACTGACAGCCGTTCCACGCTACGACATGGCCTCCAATCAGTTGGGACGGCGATGAAGAGCTTGAATCCCAGTCCTATGTGCGAGGACAACATCTATGCCGTAATGTCCAGGGGAAGTCCCTTACCCTGCACCCTTCGGGATTGGCGAGATGGTTCCTTGCCGGCCGCTTCCAAATCTTATATCTGATCCGCCGCCCCGACTGCTCCTCCGTTCCCTGAACCACTGCTTCATGAGCTAAAATAGTTTTTTGTTCAAAGGCCACGCGACTCCAGAGCTGACGACGGCGAGGCAGTGTCACTGCGTGAAGGAGGCCAGCACGTTTCCTTCCAAACCTGGAAGAATTTTGTGACTGAGCCACTCAATGTCGGCCTCGTTGCCATCCAATCCTCTTGTTGTCGTGGTCCAGCCACTCCCTTTGTTTCCCTGTCACGAGACTTACTATAGAAGGCATAAAAAACAATACTGAGGCTTGGCCAATCCATCAAATCTGCTGGAAAAGGCGTTTTCATAGTCCACGAGGCGACGCTTGGGCCACTGGCCCCCCATAGATGGCATCTGCGCCTGAGGATCGACTTTAAAGGGAATTTTCAGCTGAGCAGCCTCGCCATCAAAACCAATCCAACTGTTTTTTTTCGAATGCTATAAGTTCGGGCGGTGGGCGCACTTTACGGCATCCCAGCTCGCCCCCCACAGCGCGTCAAAGCTAATCTACCGCCCCAAATCGCCCCTTCTTCCGCGTTGATTCTATCTTCGCCGCCCTCACTCACATCAATTAACCCCTATTGTTGTCCATCAATCGCCATCATGCCTGCTGATCGTGGGAATAACACGAACAAAGCCACTCATCGCGTCCGCGTCAGTCCTTTGCCAACGGTTAGTAACATCCTTTTTGTTCCTTCTATCGCGTCTGAAGATCCGATCCTTGTTCTTCTTGTTCTCTAGGACGGACACCCTTGCACTTTCCCTGGTTGCACAGTTGTGATCAGTCGCGCCAATGATGTCAAGCGTCATCTTCGAACCCACAGCGACGCAAGGTACGCGTTCCTTGGTCTCTATCTACACCATTGACGCTGATCAAAGACCTACAGGGAATTCGAGTGCGAATATGAAGGATGCAACTATAGCGTCAAGCAGAAGAGTAATTTGACTGCCCACGTGAACAAAGTCCAGTAAGTTTCATCGGGTCTTTGCTCGCGCCTTTCGATCTAATCGATACCCGTGTAGCCTGAACGACAATCGACCCTTCGGTTGTCCTGTCCCAGGTTGCGAAAATACGTTTGGTGATCCCTCCGCTCGATCGCGTCACAAGAAGAAGTGCACCGAAAGATATTGCCAGGCAAACGGCACCTCTCTGGAGGATTTCCTCGCCTCGCTCGCTCCTTCTACCGCGTCGTCGTCAGATGAGGATAGGCCTCGCAACCGCAAGAGGAAGCACCAGGACCCGAACGTTCCTGCCTGCGTTGGTGACTTAATCAACCAGGAATCCCAGAACCCCGCTGGCGATCTCTCCCAGTTCCGCCGCTTCCCTGTCGAGTCTCAATCCCCCGAGAGCCAGGGGTTTGACCCCAGCTTTGACGGTCCTGTACCCGAGCTCTCGCCTTCGTCTTCCACCTCTTCGTTGCATTCTCTCGTCTCCCCCAAGATGCCGTCTCTGGTCCCACAGGTCGGTCTCGAGTTCAACCCTGTGAACTGGTCATGGATCAACCACCACCGTGACAACAAGTTTGACAGCGTCCTCAACCAAGCTCGCGCTAAAGCTAATGCCGAAAGTTGGGAAGCGTTCTTCGCAGCTACGATGGGCCCAAAGACAATCCCCCCTCCCCCCACTCCGGTTCACACGCCCGAAACCACCCCCGACGAGAAGGTCTCCCCCGCCGTCGGCTCCACTGGTTACCTCGCTGGCCTGCTTGCCAATGGTCTTGACCCTGCACTGCTCGAGGAACTCCCCACATTGTCCAACGAGATAACTATCAAGGCGGAACTTCCCTCACCTGTGCTCGCGCAGATGCCTCTCGAGTTCGACGACCCCAGCTGGGAGACCAACCTCGCCAACCTCGCGCAATACAACGCCATTGCTCTCCAGAGCCAAACCAGTGGGCTAGTACCCCATGCCCCGGTGGACACGACCATGAACACCGTCGACGACTGGACCAAAGAGTTGTTCGCGCCTGCTCTCGGCTTCGACACGGATTACCTTAGCCTGGGTATGGGTGTCGATGCGTACAACACCCACTGCGCGATCGAGCCTGAGTTCGACTTCACCTCGTTCGAGCCTCAGCACGCGATGACGATGGACTACGACGCTGAGTGCTTTGGCCAACTTGTGTGGTAATTTGATATCCCTCAGAATGATCCCGGACTTCTTGTTTCCTCTGTCCTCTCTGTCTCGATTCTTCTCACATATGCCCATCTCCTCCCTCTATGCCTATCTCCTCCTTTTGTCTTCTCCGAGGAGCACTCGGTGCGTTCTCGGTGCGGGTCAGAAGCTCGCCTTTGGCTGGTGCAGAGGCGTGCTACAGCGCTCTTCTACCGTTCCTGTTGTCCCTCTTCGCATTGTGTCTCCGTTTCTTTTGCATCTTGTACATCAGTCAACGGCATCGGATATCCCATTCAATTATACCTCATCTATTCACATTCACATTCTACCTGTCGCATATTTAGATCTTTTTTGGTTACTCCTCTCTCGCATAAAGTAGTTTTTTTTGGATCCAATATAATATGCTGGGACACAAGCATCCATTTGTGGAGTCTGATGTCCTGGTAGATTTTGCGGCTTCAAACATGGCGCGAATTGGAGTGAAAGAAATCCCGCAAGCTCCTTGATTGTTCCCCTATATAATGGCCTTCATTGGAACTTCAAGCTTCAACCTGAATGAGAGACTTCGAATTCAGAACCAAAGTTCATGCGAATGGGAGTAGCCCCTATCAATGCATGGCGTGTGACCAGAGTCCTCACGTGATCACATCATTGTCCGCCGACACCGATGGCCCTGGGTTTGCTTAGTGCTATCGACGACGACGAAGGGCAGCTTCTCCCAACTATCAAGATACCCGCCCTGGAAAAAATAATCCCTAGGAAGTTGAAGCTCTGACAAGATGCTGCAAAGTCCGACAGGGCCCTCCAGTTGGCTGCGAACGTCACCGCTCGAAATCCTCATCACCCGCGCCTGTGAACCGTCTCTTCCTGAACCCAACTATGCACTGCATCTGGAGGTAGCAGAGTACATCAACCAGAAAAAAGCGAACAAGTACGTGGTCTATTCACCCATTGCCAATCTGTGGCTGACGATGATCTCGCTACTCTGTGCACTCTCGTTACTGCGGAAATCCAGTCCTCGAGAGGCTGCAATGACGATTGCTCGTTTGGCCAACCACAGGAACCCTCACATAGCCATTCTCTCCCTCGCCCTCCTCGATACCCTCGTCCAATCTTGCGGATACCCATTCCATCTTCAGATCTCAACCAAGGAGTTCCTCAATGAGTTAGTACGCCGCTTTCCCGAGCGTCCACCCCCGTTCCCTGGTCCTGTCATGTCCAGAATACTGGAGCTTATTCACGGGTGGAAAGAAGGCATTTGCACGGAGAGCAGATGGAAGGAGGATCTGGGTAACATTCGTGATATGCACCGTCTGTTGACGTTCAAAGGATACCGCTTCAGAGATACAGGTCGATCTACGAATGCTGCTGCCGCAGCCACTGCCGTAAGCTCGACATTCCTTTCGTGTTCTTCGATCCGCCGACTGTCTTTCGTAGAACCTAAAAACGGCAGAGCAGCTCGAGGAGGAAGACCGGGCTGCCCAGTCCGCCAAACTGCAGGAGCTCATCAGACGAGGGACACCCCGCGACCTTGCTGCTGCCCAGGAGCTAATGAAATCGCTCGCTGGTGCAAATCCCGATGCGAAACCTGATTATCGGACGCAAGCTCTCAACGAACTCAACAAACTCGAACAGAAAGTGATCCTGTTGAATGAGATGCTGGATAATGTGGACAGGGAAAGGGGTGAAAAGTTTGCGACTGGCGACGCATATGATCAAGTGTCATCAATTCTGAGCGCTGCACGACCGAAGCTACAAAAGTGGGTATCGGATGCGGAGACAGATGACCCAGAGTCGCTCGGTGAGCTTTCAGACGATTCTTGCCTTTCTTTATATCTAAACGCCGATCAGATACTTTCTTGCAGATCAACGACCAGATTAACACCGTCTTGGACCGCTATGAGGCTTTCAAAAAAGGGGACTACTCCTTTGCTGCGAATCCCATTCCCCGAGAGCTCGCCGGTTCAAGTACGGACGCGGGCCAAGGCATCGGGAAGTTGACGACACGTCAGCACCTACCGGCGGAGAAGCAGCACCCACAAACGATCTCTCCGGTCTCTTCGCTGCTCCAATACAGCAGCCTATTCAACAATCACAACAGCAGTTCGGGTATGGGATGCCTGCAGGAGGTTTCGGTATGGGTGTCCAGCAACCTCAATTACAGCAGCTGCAGCACCAGCAATCGCCACCCCAGCAACCCTTTGCCCCAGCGCCCATGTTTCACAACGGTGCCGGCTTCAGACCAGGAGCAGCCGTGTCGCCTGCATACCCAACGCAGACCACGCCGCCTGCGGCGATCGTCCTGCCCGGCACCCCTGGATCGCAGCGCTCGACGCCTGCGCCGGCTGCCCAGGCGCAGAAGCCCAATTACTTCGCTAATGGCGGTGCCCCGGTCGGAGCGGGGGGCATGGGTTCAGGTATGGGCGTGGGTATGGGCCAGGGAGTGCCAATGGGTGCTGGGATGAGTGGGATCGGGGGAGCGATGGCGATCGGTATGACCCAGCCGTATGGGGGCCAGCAGCCGACGTTTAGTGGGAGTCCGTTTGGGAGTCCATATCCTCCTCCTGGGTTGCAACCCCAGCAAGTGCAGCCTGCTCAGCAGCCACAGCAACCGGCCGCTACGATGGCTGCAGCGGCTCCCGCTGGCCAGCAGAAAGATCCGTTCGCGGATTTGGCAGGTTTATTCTGAGCGCTGGATGTAGATCTGGAGGGGTTGTAGGTCGGTGAAGTGCGAAATCTTATGTGCCCTTACTTTTTTCTCTCCAATTTTTTATTCATATTGACTCAATTTGTAAACGGTGGTCTCTAGTCTCATCATTTCCGTATAGTGAGGTGGACCACTATCCAAGTCCGACAGTCCAGCAAGCCAGACGTGATTTCGGAGCCTCATGGAAGGCACGCAGCTTGAGAACAATCGAAAATCGGGATCTCTTCAAATGTTATCCCTCTTGTAAATGCCAAAAGGTAACGACTATTTTTTTCTGGGACGTCTGGGTTTTTGGAAACGCCTATGAATGGACACCTGCCGAGGAAGTGTTGATGTCGAGGGCTGTTCGTTTGGTTTCTGGATCTCCGTCCCCCGTTTCTCAAGCGGGACGGCAACACATAGTATATATCAACGTTTTTGCTTTTTTCAGCCACGTCTCGCAGCTCTATCTTATCATCTCGACAAGAATACTCACAATTCACGGATCCGATAGCTTTCCTTAGCTACTCGAAGCCTGGAGCTTGAAGAATGACTTGCTGCCGTAATAACTCCTCACTTCCATGCAGAACGACAGTCAAGGCAAAGTCAAAGAGGCACTCTAAAGCAATCATCATCGCTCCCCAACCTTCTTCGATGCTAACTTAAAGACCCATTGGATCAGTAACAAATACCATCGAGTTGACGAGAATGTCGTACCCGTGGAGGTGATTAGAATTGCCCTCTTAGAAGTGCTGACGACAAGGAACCCTGTCGCAGATTCTGAGTGTGTTATGCCAAGTTGCTCAGCCATCTTTCCCCGTTTCTTCGTCGTGCGCTCATCAGCTGGGGAGATACTCATCTGTTGGCGCGTTGCATGAATCGCCACACCAGTTCTAGTGAATCGTCTGGATCTTTCATTCTGTGAGTTTTGAAACTACCATCGCTGGGACATGTGAATAATTATGCACGTCCAGGACACGTAGCCTTGTGCACCACATTCGTTGGGGTGTCTTAAAGTTCCGAGGGGCGCGAACCTTTCTGATTAGGCCTTCCTGTATGCCTGTTCTCCATGGGATCTGAAGGAGCGGAGGGTGTAATAGCGTATGGCGTCGAAGCCTAGACCCGAGGCGTTCTCTGGCTAGGTCGCCGAAATGCGTCTCAGGATAGACGTACAATGCGCCAGAACCTGTGCCTTGTCGAGCGTGGATTCGATTGGGACTTCTACATCCGCCATCGCCTTGACTCCCTCGCCGACTCACATACGCACGTTCGCCTTGTGTTCTATTTCGCATTTCCAATAACGGTAGAAACAAGAGTCATGTCGTCACCTACAGGATCCCAAGTTTCTCTGATTCTAGGCTGGGGGTACCTGAAGAGTTATTGGCTTTCTACCAGTTTCGAACCTTACGTCAACCGTCCTTCTGGATCTGATTTGACGCAGAGCCTCGCGATTCCTTACCTTTCATCCCACCACGCTCACCATAGGGCCCAGCATCGCTGGAAGTGCAGTGCATCCTGGTGATGAAGTAGCGCTATTCACCATTTCATCCTCAAAATGCTAGCGCCACGGTCGAGTAGCCTCCAAGTTGTGCACTTCGTGAGTGCACGAGTCTCACATCTCCGTCCTTCGTTTTGCTCTCACGAGCTTTCCCGTCCGTCAGCGTTCGCGGATAAGGCAGAGTCTAGCTTAAAGACTGTCCTGAAACTCAAATCGAATGTCGAAGTTCTGAGATCACAGAACCTCGACTTGTTGCTGGCGGAATTGGAAGCTGCGGATGAACCGCGTCGCGGCGCGCAAACTTGACAGCCAGGTACGAGCTGCGCCTTTGTTCTCCTGACAGACGACGCACTCTACTCATACCGCTAAAGCACAGCAGCACCAGCCATACTCACCACCACGGCGAATATTTAATGTCAAGACTGTGATATATGGCCCGAGGATCCGACACAGCTGGAGAGTCGCCAGGCGGGCTCATTGTCGCTGGTAAGCCAATTGAACGACATTTTAACTTCGGGTCGTTGACGCAATCAGAAGCCTCACCTTTGCGTTTGTTCAACGGGCCGTTCTTTTACATACGGTTATAAAATGGCACAAGACGTCGACGTACGAGTCGGACCTTGTCTCTGGTTCCACCCCTTCGACGCCTAAAACTTTGTTTTCCTCGCGCGTCGACTTTCGCTCTCGCTCGTACGGGCAGCTTTCAGTCCGAGCAGACTTGAAGATTCGCCACTCTTTCACAACAAATCGCGCCTTCCATGGAGCCCATATCCTCTCCTGCCGTCATTAATACTTTCTTCCTCCTCGCTACTGCAGCCTCTGTCCACCTCTCTTTGTCACCTCCGAATCCGCCTGTTAAAAGTGACGAATGCTGTTCCGGAACCGAGGGAACTAATACACTCTTCGAAAAATTCGTCCAATCCATCACGTATTGCAGTAAAGTCATACCGTCTCGCTGTTTTTTTTTTTTCATGTGCTTATCCCCCTCAGTGCATTGCGTGGATAGGTGCCCTGTGTAACATTTTGTTCATTCTTATCCGGCACCATGAACTCTTTGTCGACCGGCGGAAATTGACTGAAAAGTACGCACGGAGCTTCCTACATGAGGCAGTCCATCCAGCAATGGTGATTGGCGCAATTTCAGCAGTGCTTGCGACGGTCTTACGGATGTGGTACGCACTTGGCGTTTCTCTCTATTGTAAAACCCTCATAGCGCCTTCCAGGTGTTTCAAAACCCTCGGCCCCTTCTTCACCTTCGAGATAACTATTCGCCCTAGACATGAACTTATCACGCACGGCCCTTACTCCTGGGTGCGACACCCCAGCTACACGGGCGTCTTTCTGACCCTGTCTGGCGCAACGCTCGCTCTTGGCGCTCCAGGAACGTGGGTTGCCGAAAGTGGCGTCTGGACGCCGCTCGGATTCGCCGTCGCGGCGTTTTGGTTGTTGAAGTGTGGGTTTGCGTTCAGAAGCATGTGTGTGAGGCTCAAGGCGGAGGACGCCGTTCTTTGCGAGACGTTTGGCGCGGAGTGGGAGGCGTACGCAAGTCGGGTGCCATGTAAATTCATCCCGGGCATCGTTTGACTTGGTGCCCAGTAGGTACTTCAAGAATACGCTCCTGGGGCACTGACATTCGGACATGTACTTATTTCTTCAAAACCGCTACATGTACAACGTGGCTGAGAACGGCGTCACACACCCGTCGTCGTCTACTCATCAGATAAAATTTAATCCCATGCAGTTCCGAAAATTGGAAAGGACAACTATTCCCCTAGACGTCAAGTCAAGTTCACTCCTTCGCTGTGCGATAAGTACTGTGATCATTGATTAAGCCCAAAAGTACTAGTAGACCCTGCACTAGTGTGGCGCAGAAACGGACCGGAGCGCCGGTCATCGAACAATGATGCCGGGGTGGCTTCAAAGAAATGCCCCTCTCACAAAGAGAGTGTACCTATAGGATGTCTTCCAGCCTGATTATTCTCAAAAGCAGGAGGAGTCTTAGATTGCATCGATGATCCTGATCCATTTCCTGGGAATAAAACGAGAAACCAGAGTGCTTCATACCTAGGAATAGATTGAATGATAATTTTGTCCCATATACTTACATCCTTTTATTTGATTAGATAGAGAAGTAAGAATGGTCCTACACGTTCTTCCATGCGTCTGAGGGTGCCGAAAAAGTCAGCTTCAAGCGTAATGGCAGTAATCATTAATAATGCACGGTACGGCGCCTTAATAGCACGTGATCGCGCGTTACTGCTGCATTGCGTCCTTCCTCTAGTCTCCCTAGACAGACCAAATAGATACAAATGATAGTCGATTGTATCTGATATAAGTCCTTCCTCAGCCTTCCTCACAATTGATATTGCCTCCCATATGGCGCCAATATGCTCTATCCTATTCCTCACCATCATGTTTTCTTCTATGTTACAATCTCCTCCGGACAGGCAAGCTGGAGCAGGTTCCAGCAGCGATCACTGACCTGACTTCGAATGGCGCAAGGCAACGCCAGTACCAGTATTGTTATTTACAAAACACAGACGGACTCTGGCACCTCTCCACAGAAGGGGATAAAATGCGTGGGACGTTATGGAAAATGCTGGAAACTTAGGGTGCGTCATTATCCTCCCTTCGGTCCTTGGCCCTTGTTTATGAGCTCGCCTTAGAGGGCAGGGTAACCTGTTATTGGTAGGCGGGTATGCTGAAGCGCAAGGGCGCAAGTACTTGCGATTAGAGAGTGGTACGTCCCCCTGATATCTCTTTTAGCAGCCCAGGATTGCTGAGCTGTGCTTGTGTGGTCCATAGATGCATCGTACTGCAGAAGCTGGTTGAGTCCGTAGACTTCGAGGCTGACTATGAAGTGGCCAAGACGAAAAAGCAGGTGGCTGTGAAGGACATGCTAGAGCACAGACCACGGGCGACTGTTCTGGAATTGTGAGTTCGCCTCGGAGACATGAGTACTCCGTCGTTGCGGGTTACTTACTAGCGCTGGAGTGTCAAGAAAGTGAGTGGAAACCGTTCGGTGCGATGACGAAGGCCTGACGCGGTCCCAGTGTAAACTTATTGCCATATTATGCGTAATGTATCAATCAAGGTCTCCACGAAGCTTCGCCGTGGCACAAAGAAAGAGTCGCTGTCAACGCTGTTTTATGTACTTACCGCGAGGCTACTCCAAGCATCAAAGTGGTACGATACCACCTATTCTACCACGCAGATTGATTAACAAGAATACAGAAAACTGTGACAGAACTGAAAAGATGTTTCACTTGAAGAAGGGCTCTGTTCCTTTGTCGCTTACATGGACCATGCCCTCCTAAGGCGCGAACCTGGCTTTTCCTCTTGCCCCACTAGCTGCGCGTTCACTTCTACTCCATCGGTTTGTCCCTTCCCATTCCAGAGCTTCAACTTCAAAGCAGTTAAAGAAGCACACAGGGCCCGATTAAGATCTTCCACCTTCCGCCACACGTCCTCAATGTCGAGAATGACCAGAATCATGATTACCACCACAATTTTCCAAAGTTCCCCGCTATAATGGGCCGTGAATTTTTGAGACCTCGAGTTGGCCATGGCGTATCTCTTCCATCAAGATAGGATCCAAGTCCCGTCGCTCGGCGTAAGCTCTCTCGATTCCAGTCAGGTAGATATAGGTACCGAGGGCGATGGTCAGCATGATGAGGTTCTGGGCGACGAGAAAGCAGAAAGTGACGGAGAGGACGTGTTGTACGCGCTTTGGGCCGGACATTGCCAACCATTTATCAAGGGGAGGAAACACTGGCATGATTGGCGGAGTGAGTTCAGCACTGGATGACATGCGTGACAGAGGTGTTGAGCGAGTTGAGATGAGTGGCTATGGGACTTGTGGTCTGAGACGGTACTGCGGACTGAGGTGGATTTTTCGAGGTAATTTATCCTGCCAATATGCTCTTTGTTCATCTCTGAATGCGACCAGCAACGTCCAGGTCTCTGGCGCGGCACTTCGGCAACATCATGTTCATACACCGTGGACCTCGCTTTTCTTTTCCCGGGCTTTGCATTTATTGGCAGGGGAAACCTCTGGAGGACAAGAGCCGAAAGCCCTTTCACGCGAAGACAATGTGTGCAAGCTATGTGCAGACCCAGTTCCGAGTACTCTCCTTGTTCTTTTGCATCAGTGGCAGGTGCTGGAATCAATTGCCCCCGACCACGTCCCATTGGCAATTGCAGCGTCAATAGTCGCTAGTGGAACCTTGCCTTCGTCGAGCACCAGAACGAGCGGATATCGAGAAGCATCAAGCCAATGGCATTCGAAAAGACAAGGAAAATCGGGCTTCTACAGCCACGGGCATATACCAAGGAAAACAAAGAAAATCATGTAGGAACGGAAGAAGAGGTCGAGAAAGAGAAACCTAGTTGAAGTCTCGAAAGTTCAACTTGACGAAGATGATGACTGGGCGTAGAGTGATGCCCGGACCATTCTGGTATTTGCTGCCTTGGTTCTGAGCCCTTCGCCACCTCCATCCTCTATGCGATCTTTCCCTCACAAACCTCATTCCGTCTCCTCTCTTGTTCCATCTGTTGCTCGGTTGGCGTTTTCTTTTCCGAGAGCTCAACGAAGAGAACACGGCCTGAACGAGGGTATCTATTTTGCGCCATACACTGTCCAGGTCCAAGATGACGAGAAGCACGAGGATTGGCATGGTGGACCCGAAGAATCGGTGGTGTTCGGTCGCGAGTTCGCGCATTCAAAGTCGTTCAAAACCAAGCTCGAATGTCAAGAGGAAATCGGCGTTTGACTTCGTGAAAAGTGTTTCCATTTCGGCCTTGAAGGACGCGATATGCTCTGCTAGGGTTATCACTGTCAGAGCCTGACCAAGAGGACGCGCTGGATCAAGTTGAGTACGCTCATGGTTGTTCAAGTTGCAGGAGGGACGAGGTGGTTGTTGGTGTGGTGGCAGTTGGATGGTATGGATGTCAAGGGAATCCGGAGGACAAGAATTTCAAGTGGCGATGGGAGTCAGAACTTGGGAGATGTTGGCAGGCGACCCACGACAAGGTGCTTATGTATTTCTTCAGTTGCCTTTGCTCATCCTCGAAGTAACCTCCCGTGATGCAGGTCTTGAGAGTGGCAGAGCCATGCTTCTTGCCTTAGCCGTTCTCTTTCTTTCTACCCTGGTAACTGAGCGTAAAGAGCGCCAAATGATTTTTGTTACATACCGACATGGACCTTCCACTTTGACCGCCAGATCACATCGTTCATCTCCCCTCTTTTCGGCGAGAGCTTTGGACCTGATTTATTTCTGCTATGGTTTTGTCCCAACAACACGCAGCTGTTTCCGGGTCTTGCACCACAAATCTGTCATTGAGTAAGTGATGTGTATAATTTGTTTTATGATAATTGACCTCTCTACAGCAGTTCTGATTCGACAAACAAGTTCAAGATGCGATAGTACGTCATGTCGCAGGCTTCGGGGAATCCGCCTCGGATGTCTCGACGTTAGTCGACGTGCCAGTGTCCCGCATCCTGCTCGGTTTCTTCGGCCTCAGCAACCGAACGGCGAGCAACTTCACTTCGTCCTTGACACCCGAACCATTCTCTTCTTTATAGAGGACTTCGTCGGGAACATCGGTAACACCAGAGCCATCAGGAACATTGAGGCTCGCCTTTACGTTCGGCACCTCAGGCTGCGTACAGGAACAGCACGTCATCAAGGCCGCCGCAGCACGAGCCTGGCACGCACTCTTCTTCAACTCCAAGTTCACGCCTTGGAGCTCCTCGACGATCTTCCTATATCCGTTTATCTCACCACGAAGCCTCCTTTCGACATCCAACTCCTCAGCATCCTTCGCACGGATTGCCAACTCCGTCTCCTCAAACAACCCATCTGCCACGGCATCTTGAACTCTTTTGACGAAAAAGGTGTTCGCAGATTCCAGCTCTGCAAGTTTGTTGGCGTCGCGCTGACCTCTTTCCGACCACTTAATCCTGTCGTCGACCATCTTGCTCTCATATTCTGCTCGTGTCCGTTCTAGGGTTTCGATCCTTTCACGAGCAGCTGCCAACCGAGTCGCGGTTTCTTCGTGCGTTTGGCGTTCCAAGTCCCGTGCGGCGCGTTCGCGAACGTAATCACCAAGAGTATCCTCATCGCCTACGCCTGAGCCGTTGCGAGAAGCAGCCATCCTCCAAAACTCCCCAGCCATGTCTTCCTGGAGCCTCTGGCCGTGCTGCTCGAGGGTCGTTTGGATCGCCATCATCTTCTGGATCTTCTCCTCGTCAGCTCGCGCTTTTGCTATCCAGCTTCCCCGCTCCAAGGCCACGTTCATATCATTCTCGGCAGCCACCCTCTCCAGGTCCATGATCCTCTCCAAGGCATCTGCTAACCGGCCCTCTGTCTGCGTATGCCGTTGACGCCATTCAGTCTCGCATTCGGCGGTTTCGTGCTCCCACTCCTTCAACATCGTCAATGCTTCGTTATGGTTCTCCGACAATTCGGCGTACTCTCCTCGCATCTGGTCTCGCTCGTACTCGAACCAAATAGCGTCGTCAGCACGAGCTCGCCGTTCGGAAAGGAAGTCGGCCTCGTAAGCACTCGAATCTTCTTCAAGGACCTTGATACGTTCGAGGGCTTCCGTGAGACGAGTCGCGTCTTCCATGCGTGCCTGGCGCTGGATGTCTCTCTCCTCGTTGCACAACTCCAGATCTGCATGGGCGAATTCGAGTCTTTCGCGTAGGCAACGTATCTCGTCTGCTCGGATCAGGCGTTCAGTCTCCCATTCCCCCTTCATCGTGATTTTCTCTTGCTCCATGTTCTTCATGCGCTCATACGTCGCGTCAAGGCGTTGCGCGAGATTGAAAACAAATTCCAACATCGGAACAGCGACGGCGATGTATAGCTGGTACCCGTACGCCTCTACCCTGTGATGAAAATGAGTCCTCAAATACTCCTCGATGGCTCTCAGCTGGCGGAGATTGTCTTCCCATGCGGCTTGCAAGAAGTCGCATTTCTCGCGGAGCCTAGCGAGCTGAATGGCGTCGTCAGGTAGCGGTAAATCGCGAGACAGCCCAGCGTTTGCGACACGACCTTCATCGTGAGCGTTTTCACGAATACGACGAAGAGGAAAGCCCACATAGAATTGGGCAATTTTCTGAAGACCTGCTGCCCAGCTGGTCGCGAAGAATGCGAGAATGGCGGTGAAAAACTAGTTCAGAATCAGTAGCAGTCCAATGAGCGAATTGGGCCCGACATACGGCTCGAGCGCGGACTCCTTTTGGCGCCGTCGCTACAGCTGGAGGGTGCGTTGGGTGTTCAGTGGCGACATCGGTGGCAGAGTTTTGAGGGTTCTTCATCACTGCAGCAAGTATCTCAACGGTAGAAGATGGATTGGGTCGGCGAGTATGGGTCTCAAACCCATTGATTTTAACGGCTATCGACAAAGGTCCATGCTCATGCCACCTGATGATTCTGAGGCTCTGACACAAACGTGGATTGACCCTCGCCTGAACATAGCCATCGCAGAACATTGGTGGCAAGAAACGTGTTCTTTTACAGGTCCTAGAGATGACCGGGGATTTCAAAGTACTAGTCTTTCCCTCTTTGCCTCGTGGGTCAACGTTCAACTTGGCAAGCAATAGATGAATCGAAAGACAGTACGCAAGAGTAGCTCAAGATTCCAATCTAATGAAAGGTTCCGGTCCAAACAAATGTCCAGCATCCGATCCATCATCTGAAAAACTAGCGAAAACCGTCAAAGCGCCCCTGAGGGACTCTTTCATGACCTCGTTCTCCCTCTGAAGCAGAGCGATGTTGTCCTTCTGCTGTGCGGAGGCGGCCTTGACCTCAATCAGGTCCTGCTGTTGGGAGGCGGCCTGCCGCCGTTCTTCGGCGAGTGAGGCTCGTTCTTTGCCCAGTTGGACCTCGCGAAGCTGGAGCGCCTCCTTCAGCCCCTTAATCGTTTCAACATGGCCCAGCTCACGTTGAGTGAACAGCACCCTCTCGGCCTCCCATTTTGCCTCTCCCTCCGCAACGCGTTCTTTGGCTTCTTGGACCTCTTCCATTCCATCCCACAACATTTGTGCGAGTTTCTCGAGCGACCACGTCACCCTTTGCACGAGATCGTTGTTGGCCTCCAAGTAGGTCATGAATCTATGCATGCGCTGGGTGACTTGCTGCTCGTAATCTGCTCTTGCGGCCTTGTCCTCTGACAGCTCTCGGCGAAGGGCAAGGATCTCGGTGAGGAGAATGTCGTCGCGTTGGAACGGATTAAAGGCGGTCCAGGTTGGCATCTTCTGCTTCAAGGACCCGACGAAAGTTGCGAATATTTCGCTCGTCTTGAACTGAACGCTCCGAAGATAACAGCTTGGGTTGGAAGGAGTTTCAAAGAAGAAGCCGAGTGGGACGTGGTAGCCGTGGCAGAATACGGTCCAGAAGAAAGCCAAAATACAGACCAAAATCTCTGCCTCCGGGCTGACTCTTCCAACTTCTTTGTCGAGGAAAGAAATCCACGCATATGTCCAGAAAATCAGTCGAGCGTAGAAGAGGACGACACTGGCGAAGACAGCGAACATACGGTCCACAGCGTCTTGAAGAGATGTCGTGTTGCCTCTGAATCCAAGCCCAGCCTGGTCGGCAGGTTGGGAGGCTGAGGTAAACATGCGTATAGGGGATGAAGGAGGTAGATACTGGAGGTCTGTCGGCGCAGATTCAAGAGGTGGCATCATTGTCCAGAAGCGCCGTAAAATGGAGGGTTCGGTTGAAATTTTGCGGCTTCAAAGCAGGACATCCGGTTCTTATAGAAGAGGGTAACAAAGCCATCTGTGTCTATAGTTGCGTTCCAATCTTGCCATTCGAGACCATCGGAATCGCTTTCACGAAAAATATAGCTTGCACAAAGAGATGATTGCTGCACGTTCTGCCGCTTAAAACATATTAAAGTTGCAAAGAATCATGAAAGGCTTTCCGTGGTGTGTAGAAGAGACAAAGGGGTGCATGAGAACACGCGACGCCCCCTAAACGCGTCGTGTCACACAAGGCTCGGTCATGTGGTCATAACGCATAACGCGACGCGTCGACCGCGTCATGGGTACAAGCCTCCTCCGGGACATCTACGGTAGCCATGCCCGACTTGATCGAATATATACATTATATCACAGCGAGAAAGAGACAGAAGCGAAGAGACATTTGGCAAAGTATTCGCGGAAAGCAGACAACTCTAACCCTAGACGGCTGATAACCCTTCCTTCCCAATGCAGGGCTCCGTCAGGTCTTCAATAGCTTTCACCGTACCAGAGCTACGAACTTCAGATGCCACATCCCAAAACCCTTTCGACCTGAGGTTGGCCAGGTTGGTCCTCGTTCGCTGGAGCTCTGCACAAACATCCATATACTCCGCTTCCAACGACGCTTGGCTCGCTTGCAGCCTCATGACCTGTTCAGCCGTTTGTTCCTTAGAGCGAGCCCACTTCAGCCGATCATCCGCGTGGTGCCAGCTTCACTTTCCTTCTTGCTGCGAACCGAGTCCCGCAGACGCTGCTCGATTGCCTGAAGCGTCTGTCGCTCAGACTCGAGTTGAGCATCGCGCTTCTGCACGCGTTCCTCCAGGAACTTAATCTCGTCGACTGCATCGAGCAGGCTTTTTAAAGTCTCCGTATTAGCTTGCCGCTCAGAGTCCAGCTCCGCCTCGCTCTCTTCCAAGTCTGCCTCCAGAGCCTCGTTCTGGAGGAGCGCGTCAGCGACGCGCTCTGCGTCTTCCGCGCAATTCCAGCGCTCAAACGCCAGCTCTGACTCAAGAAAGGTCATGTCATCCTTCATCAGCTGGAGGGCTTCCTCCAGGTGCACTACGCTCTCCTCGAGGGCTTGCCGCTGGGTCAACCATTCGAGTTTCTCTGCCTCCAGTGTCTGGGCACTCTCCAGGGCCTCGTCAAGGCGCTTCATGGTCTCCGCCGCCGCGACACGCTCGCTAAACAGGACAGCTTCGCGTTCCTTGGCTTCCGACTGCAAGCTGTCCACCTTGGCCAAGACATCTGAAAGGTCCCCAACGGTGCGCTGGTGAATCTGGAGTAGCTGCTGATGTTCCTTCGATTCTTTGGCCAAACGCCTTCTGAGGTCCTCTAAGCTGGCTTGGTGCTCCTTTTCCGAGTCATCGATGTGACGCTGCATGTCGACCTTGCTCTGCTGGAAGGCCTCTACTTCCAGTTGGAGGCGTTGTTGAGCTAGTGACTGCTGGTGTTCCTGGCGCTTGGAGTTCTCCTGCACAGTGGCCAGTTCTCTCTCGAGCTCCTTCACTCGCGCACGCGTTGCCTTGAAGTGCTTGTTGGGTCGAGCGTATCGATGGCCGTCAATTTCGTCGGCTGCACGAACGGACTTGTCACCCAGGGATAGCTGAGCGAGCTCGCCACATTCCTCGCGAATGGAAGGCAGCCCAGAGCCTGCGATCTCGTTCGAGGGTTCACTATTGCGAAGGATTGTTATCCAAACGGCCAAGAAGATCACAAAGAACAAAGAAACCCAGCCTATAGAGTTGACGGAGTTCGCGACTGACCTGCATCTCGCGACAGCGTGCTCCCGAACAGAAAGGTAGGAGTTTGACAGGTTTGATAAGACAAGACGATGGACTGTTGGGAAGGGTTCTTCAGATGATTCGCATTGTTCAGGCTCCAGAGACGCGAGAGGCGCTGGGAGGCGCAATGGACTGACAACGCCGAGAAACTATTGGAGCGTTAGTCTATGAAAGGATGAAACATACTCGGAAACCCACCAGAGTCTGAGCTTTCCCAGGAATTGGATGCAAGGTAGGCACTTGCCGATACTCTTCGTCCGTAAAATGAATGACAACAGACTTGAGCGAGCGATGAAAGTAAATGAGCGACACATTTCCGATCTGCGACACTACGAGGTCGTATAGTGCTGAGTCAGAATCGTCTTCATTCTCCGTAGGAGGGAAGAATTGCTTCTGCACCGTTCCGATGTTGGCTTGTCGCAGTTGCTGGCTGTCGTCAGTCCGATAGAGGATCATCTGGACCCTCTTGTCAGAAGCGGATGGTGGGACAGAGAGCCGTTCTATCAAGCGCAGGTGGTATATGGCTGTGGCCTTCTCCGCTAAATCAATGAACGGAAATATCAAGTCGTATTTTGAGGCGGATTCCAGCTAGAGGTGTGAGCTCACCATCGTGGTCTGAGGGAAGTTCTACAAGCATCCGAAAGAACTCTCCCTTGTGGATAACAAGTTTCTCCATCTCTCGTATGTTAAGGACGTCGAAGTCCTGAAATATTGCATAAATGTCGTCTGCCGTAACTTGAAGTTTCGTCGCGATTACAACAGCAGAGGAGGGGATCGGAGTCTCGGGTGCCTCAGTGATCATAACGAGGGGCTTGTTGGCGGGCTCCATTCTGCTGAGAAGTGGGTAGAAGATGGGGGGATGCCTGTGGCCCGTCGTCCGGTCGGCTTTTGACTGCAAATGCCACCCATGAGTTTGGTATTAGCGATCCATATAAACTTCAAACGAATGGGTTTATGCGATGCAACGATTGTCAGTAGATCCATATTGACTATCATGGCACTGGACTACATACCTCTTCTGGTCCAGAAATCAGTGGCAGCCAACTACGGAGTGACCACGCGTTGTTTGAACAAAGACCTTTCTCGAGGTTTTGACGCGCTTTTGGTGCCATTCCACGTTCCAGTCCACGAATTTGAGAGTTTTACCGCTCTCCGTGTACACAGTCGCGTAACGCTGCTTGGATGTCGTACAGACGGACACGCGAGGTGCACGCGTTATTTGGCTCTCTTTACCGCTGTGTTACTTTGAGCCGGATCCCGGTTTTCTTCTTTTCTTCTTCCGAACCTCGACGACCACCCTCGAAAAGACCGTACAACAGCTCTTTGGGTCCTTTACCGACGCTGGAAACGCTCTATCGCTGGCTGATCTACGCCATCCGATATGTTCTTTGCTGTCCACCAATCGCAGACCTCTAGTTTTTCAACATTGACTTCGGTCCTCTCATTACTGGACACTGAACTTGCGAGAGTTGACCCGGAACTTCTTTGACTGGAATTTATGGCCGAATAGTCCCCTATCTGGCTGATATCGATCTATGCGCTAAGCTGGCTCCTCGGACCTTCCGAGTAAGTCGCATCGTAGGGATCCCTGAATCGATTTAAAATTTATGTTTCTCTCTCATAGCGAAGATATTGGTTATCAAGGAACTTAAATAGCGGCGTGTCACCTGCTGGCTAAGGATTCTGTTCCAGCCCTCTCTTATCTTCAACGCGTTTTCAACCTAAGCTCTGGAGGTCTTAAATGCTGCCAGTGCCATCCCCGATAATTATCTTTTTGCAACGCACAGATAAGGCCGCCGTGAAATCAAATTTCATTCCTGCAATTTGCAAGCATCGAGCGAACGGGAGACCAGGTTCTGGCACCTAAAATGCGCTCTTTCTGTTCTCAAGGATGCCCACTTCCGAGTCTGACATCATTTATGTCGTGAGTCCTTATGATTTCTCCTTCGTCCCATTTTTCTGACGCCTTCTCTGTTCGGTCCTTCTTTTTCTCGACTCAGGCTATCCGTTCTCAGGCATTCCGCACGGCATTTTTAAAATCATTTATGATTTCGTCATTATCACGACACTGTTGTCACATGATTGTGACAAGGAAGTCTTCCTTGGAGATGGCGTCTATCTTGGACAACGCTACTCTCTTCCTCCCACCATGATCACAACGGTCCTCTTTACTCCCAAGAGCTTTGGTGAAGTTGTACGCCGTGGTCTTAGTGCGAACTTGGGACAAAAATAACTACAGCACGTGATGCCTGCCATTCCCATCTTTCCCACTCTCGGAGCAGAAATGCCTCGTGTTCTCCGCACACCCGCGATGACTCGGTCTTGCTTTCTGTGAAACGTCCACCACGCTTTCGCTCCATCGCCTTCCCGGTCCATGCTGCAGCTCAACGAGGATATCTTACGACAGATTGTTCTCTATATTCCTTCCCAGGAGCTTGACAGGATCAATAGTGCGAATTCCATCTTCTTTGAAGCATGGATGAAGCAACGCTATGCCAAGCTCAGCTTCAGGGAGAGAGATAAGGTCATGAAGAAGCTCTTGCTACACCTCTCGTGCGTATCTCTTGGTCTTCCTTATACTGCTTGCGCTGATCGGTCCCGTATAGTGACGCAAACGTCGCCGCCTTCGTCAAGGAGGTCGATGTCCAGCCGTGGCTTGTCCAACCCCGCGACAAGTCCCCTCGAAGCCTCACCGAGAATGTCCTCGTTCGCGTTAGCAAGTTTGTTGACCCCGACTACACCAGGAAGGCGGTCCACCAACGCCTGCAGAAGCGACTGCGGAAGGACATCGAGCGCGTCTCCTCCGCCTTCAGAGCAATGACGAACGTGAAGACGTACACCATCGACTGGGACGAGGAGAGCGGGTACCACCCGGAGCTTTATTTCGCATTTTTGACTCCGGTCTTGGAGATGTGGTCCGCCCAGCTCCTCACACTTTCCATCAAGGTTCCCTTGTCCATGCTTCCCTCGCTCGCACGGGTCCGTATGGATAAGCTCGAGGCGCTCACGTATACCTTCTCCACCGGTATTCTTTCCACGGACGACATCGACCACGCGCACGACGGCATCGTCGTATTCATCAACAACCTCAAGGATACTCTCTCCTCCCTCACGCTCATCACTACCCCCACCTCAGAGAACCTCGACCTCAGCCGCATATTTGGGCGCTTGGGCACCTTCCCACAGCTTTCCGCTATTTCCGTCTCGATTCCATTTGATGGGGGTCACCTGCCGGACCCCGCCCCGTTCGTCCGGTTTGTGAACAGGCACCGCCACACCATCCGCGAGTTCAGCTTGTCCTCCAACGGGATCACCAGACATAATGGCAGCCATCGCGATTGCACGGAGTGGGTGCAGACGATCATGAGCACCCTCGACAAGCCTTTTCCCGTCCTCCGCAGCTTTGGGGTCGCGTTGCGCCCTATGCGGGCTCCGTTGGACAACATCGTCGAGTTCTTGGACGTGCACAGCGCCACGCTCGACTCCGTCTCGCTCACGGATCGCGTGTTAAGCCCCAAGGAGCTCGCGCAATTGTTCAAGACGCACGAAGAGCGTCGTGTTCTTTCCACCAGTCTCACGAGACTGCAGTTCAAGGTCGACAGGCTTACGCCCGATATCTTCGGCGCGCTGCCCGACCTTTTCCCTAACCTGGAGAACCTCCAGATCGAGTGCAGCGGAGTTGAAGGTAACGCTGCCACCAGGGGATACAAGGTTCGTTGACTTCGTTATTAGTTTCCCGCTGCTGACTTTCCCGCTGCATAGCCCCAGTTCTCTGCTCATCTCGAGCAGTACGAGGACAGGCTCAAAGCCTGGTCACTCAAGAACCTCACGCTCGGCCTTCCGAAATTCACCTGGATGTCGCTTTTTGAACAAGACCTCGTGAAATTCTTCCCCAACATCACACTCAACCCCGTCATGTAATGCTGCCGCCTTCGTCTGTCTTGCTTGCTTTCTTGTTGTCTTGCTACCACGCCATTGACCTATGCCCCACCCATTTGCGCAATTCCTCCTTATCTATTTTCATGACCGCGTTACGACCTTCTTGACCCCTTAATTCTTGTGCGCAATATCTCGACGCGCTTATGTACGATACGTGTACTTTATATGTTGTACTGTACCTCTTTCCTCGTCCGCGTCTCATTTCTGAACGATTGTGGTGATAATATTCTGTGCTAGTAGTATGTACTAATTCGTGTATGCTCTGAGGGTAATAGTTTGTCCATCTATAATGAATTGCAGTTGTGACAATGCCAGAGGAAGCGTGGTACAGACGAGAGCGCGAGGAGCAAGGGTGGACGGTGATGTCAGCTCGGAAATTCCGGTTCCATTCCGTCGAGGTCCCCTGGAGGATCGAAGTACGATGGAGAGATCCCTGTCACGACCAGCGCGGTTCCGGTTGCGACGTAGGACGTCAGTTGGATGTCTGAAGTCTCTGTTCGGGCATTGAAAGGTACTTTCAAACGTTGCATGTTCATAACAACTCGGCTCCCCTGTACACGGTGTCAAAACGGTTCCGGTGCACGTAGCTCGAAGGAGGAAGATCACGCACCCCAATCGTAAGTAGGGTGGCAAGTATACTAAGAAAGCTAGATCAGAGACAGCGTGAATAAGGAGAGATTCGTGTGACTCACGACCAAACGCTGTGCGTAAGAACATGTACATGGGCAGAATAAGAAAGGGAAATAGCAAACGTGGCTAAAAATCGACGTTCAATAAATACAGACAGAGAAGCATAGCGGTTACGCACCAGATACAGCGACAAAAATAGCAGATCCGTCGCGAGAGACGAGCTCAACAAGAGGCGGGGGATACAAGCTGTCACGGTTGTGATAACGTTTGTATAACGTCAACGCCAAAATGAGGCATTGCATGAGGATAGGTGGGAGGCTATTTCCTGGCAGTAAGCATTTCGAACGTGATGCAAGATGTTGACAACATACACAACACCGATCGCCGTCTTAGGCGTCCGCTCTATCAAGCACGTATCATTGTACTCGAGGTCGAGGTTTATCCTGACTGCGAAATATACCATCACAATTACTTCGCAGGCAAACGCGCTAAACAAAATGAACGCGACTTTGACGGAACGGTGCCAGAGTGCCCACACTTCGGTATAGTCAGCCTGAAGGAGAAGAGGCGGAGAAGAAGGTAACGTACCTCTGATAATCATGATTGTTTCACAAATAACATTGAGGACCTGAATATATGCAGATTGGTAGGCGAACCAGGTAGCACAAACAGAGAATGGTATCGGTGATTTAGACAACAGGGATGAGGTCACAACATGGTTGGCTCTGAGAAGGCGAAGTACTCGTGAAAAGTAATAGCCACAGGCCGGGGAATAAACTCACAGCTGACACGAGAGCCCCAGATACCGTAGAAGCAGATACAACCACTTCATAATAGAGAACCGGCTCCTAAGTTGTTCGTAAATGAGCGATAAAAGTGAATATACAAGAGAGTCACCCACTTCCAAACATACATATATTCATGGCCGATGGTGAGCAGGTGTTCCCATCCCACGCAGATTAAACATGCGACTGTTTTGTTACGAGCCGTCGGAGGTCAGTTATTGCGGGCAGAGCCTGAGCAGGTCGAGGACGACTCACGAGAGATATACTGCCTAGCAGCGATGGTTTCCCAGCTCGCAACATCACGGACGTGCGATGCAAAATGACCCGCGAACATCGCGATGCGAGCGCGTCGGGTTATACGGTAGCAAGTGATGGGAAAGAATGTCGCCGCGACGACAGTTGGGTCAAGCGATGGATGACTGTGAGCCCTGCGCCAACAGGGGGACCAAAGGAAGAGTCGGAGGCCGCGAACGACGAGAGGCGGGGTGAGGCGCGAGGGAAGGGGGATAGAGTCGGTGGTCAAGAGTCGGTATTTCAATGAGGAAACCAATATATATCGAATAAATTCTGATGGGGTTCAGCAAGGGTTCAAGGCACCTAAACGACGCTCCGCTAAGCCCAACGGCTGACGACCCTGCCCTATACGAAAGGCAGGGATGAAGCTTCTGAATCCACCCAGACGGTCGGTTTTGGCAGTCGAGCATTCGGGACCGTCCTGTGATGGATGGAACGCACACTGTGGACGCGGTTCTAGTCCCGAGACCAGAGCGCTAATCTCGCGAGTCCGGCAAAATCGCGGGTGACCCCGCAGACCAGAGCATGAGCGACTGCAAGAGACGAGGACCTTTGGGCAACGCGCCAAGGTCGGCATGGATACAGTAGAAGCAAATAGCATGGCACAATCCGTCTGGTCAACACTGACGTGAAGCTTCAGGAGCCTTCAAGCTTCGTGGGAGTGTGGTACTTGCAGTAAAGATAGCTTCTGAAGGCCTATTTTCACATCAAAATGTCCGCCTCCCGTCTCCGCACATCCTAGCCACCCTAGGGAAATGAGCGGAAATACCGCCGAGGCCCGAGAGGGCAGTGAATTTCGGATTTGGTTCGCTACCCGGTGTACCCAATGTTGACTTGGCCCAGAATTCTGTGGCTTCATGAGAACCTTCCGTCTAATGGAGTTCGAACTAAAAGCAACGAACCAGAATACATTCAGATAACTCCTGACCCCGCGTGCCAGTTGATTCATAGAATCTATCGAACGCAACAAATCGGCATCGTATAGTACTTAACGGTGTCCTAGTTGCTCGGTTGCACGTCAACATTTTTAAAGCCTAATTCCGCCGTGACGCCGACGGGTTTGCGTCAGCGCCTAAGTAAATGAAGGCGCTACTTGCGGGAGCCGAAGATCAGGGGAGTCATCCATACTAAATGGCTGCGGGAGAAGATTCTGAAGGGAAATGCGTCGTGTCAAATGTTACAGGAGTGGGAAAGCTGAAATGAATCACTCGCCAGAGGGTGGCACAGGAGGCTATCGTATCTTAGAGATGCGTACGAATAGATATCCCCAAAGTTTTAGACGATGGAAGAAAACGGCGTAGAGATGGAAAGGGTTGTGGACATCTAGGAAGAATGGAGTCTCCTCGCAGAGACGCTTTGTAAGTCAAGAATACTTGAGTAAGACACAGCTGTGTAATAACCGTGATTCGTACCACATTCTACTCCCAAAAGTGCAATCTATTTGCAATAAATAGTCTCTGAGTCAGTGGAATTTCGCGAGAAGAAGGAAACGAAAGACTCACCTGAAATTGAAGTTACACACATTCTAAGTTGTCAACAAAGTGAAGAGCGATCATATACAACTGCTAGTGACTTCAGAAGTTCGACCAGGCTAATAGTGAACGATTTGCCTTCATGGCAATTGTTTCTTTACAGGTCTTGAGAAGCATTAGGGCCAGTCGCGTTTGGGGGTCTGCAAGTGAGCATGCTCGGTGACTGACCGAGCCTCGAAATAATCACATACACGTTAGACCCAGGATAGCAGTACCTGTCCACTGCTCGCACGAAGGACCTTCTATCATGCGGACCTCTGAGGGACCCAGGGTTAGTAAGCCGCCGTGCCCCTAAGTCAGCAGGCAAGTCAGCACATCGAGCACGCAAGACTTCCTGTAAATGAAGTCAACCGACCATTCGAGACTATATAAGTCGAATAAGTAACACGGGATGACACTTTCATTGGGCATTCTCACCTCGATATACACCTCATAATCCATCCAACACCAGTACCTTCAAATGTCGTCAGGCCCGGCAACGACCTCTGCAAAGCTCTTCTACTTTGTCGCGCCGGCAGACGGCGCGCGGCCCTACCAGCGCACTGAAGCCGATCCCCTTACAGGACAGCGGGCCAGGAACTATTCCTCCGCTGAGCATGAAGTCACTATCGAGAACGTCCGCGGCAAGGAGGACACTGTCTCTCTCGACAAGACTGGCTTCCAGTACTTCTATGCTCCATCGAACCACAAGTTGTTCTCGAACGACGAAGAGATCGAGCGGGAATACTACCCGGAGAGTATCGAGCTTATCAAGAAGCTGACCGGGGCAAGCAGGGTGCAGCTGTTCGATCACAGTGAGTTGCCTTGATGAGACCGCACTAGTCCGGAGGGGGCAGTTCTAACGGGGAATGTGGCGCACAGCGATCCGCCGCCGCCGCCCCGGCAACGTCCAAGACAACCCCGACAGCCGCCAGCCCGTCGCGCAGGCGCATGTCGACCAAAGTGCCGCCGCCTCCATTGCCCGTGTGCACCGCCACTTGCCGCCGACCGACGCCCCCAAGCTCCTCGAACGCCGCTTCCAGATCATCAACCTCTGGCGGCCCATTAACCACCCGGCATACGACTGGCCGCTTGCTCTTTGCGATTACCGCAGCGTCGACTCGAAGAACGACATCGTGCCGGTCGCACTTGTATATCCTGATCGCGAGGGCGAGACACTGGGTGTCAAGTACAGCCCGAATTACAGGTGGAAGTACTTGTATGGGATGACGCCGGATGAAATTGTGCTGATCAAGTGGTATGTTCCTCTTCGCTTCTTGTGTAGCCAGGTAATCTCATGCCGTTGTTTATCGTAGCTTCGACTCCATTCAGGATGGCAGCGTCGCGGCTTTCACGCCCCATACGGGTTTCGACGACCCGAATACTCCTGCTGGTGCCCCGCTCCGTGAATCCATCGAGCTTCGGGCTCTCGTTTTCTACGATTGAGTGGCCTGAGTGACTGGAGCAGGTCGAAGTTGACGTCCAATCTGTATTATTTTGTGTGACCAATATATGCCGTCAGTCTCGAATTTGAAGACACGCTGCCGCGACGACCCCATTTTGCGCCGGCTCGACCAAGGCCGGGCGATGGGGCAATGCACTCTACAACGATGAGATCTTCATGAGTAATGGTAGTACAAAGGTGAATCAAATCCCTGATCTCTCACCTCAGCTTCAGATTCGTCAACAGCAGTCATGCCATCCCCCAGCTACATAGCCTCCCATCTATTCTCTCCTTTCGAGTCTCCTCCCTCCCTCAGTGACCTTCAACTTCTTGTGCTTGCATCACCACCGTCGAGGAACATGCGGCCTTTCGCCCAGCAGGTTGGAAATGTGCGCTTCCTCAAGCAGCAAGTTGTTCGAAACCGGCTATCACCGAGACTTTCCCATCAGCCAACGTCGGACTTCAGCAAACGCAACACAAGTTCGAATAGGCTTGGCACTGAGTTCGATGTTGCTTCCTCATCGTCGCGGACACAAAAATGGCCGCAGAAGGTGAGGAATACTTTATTTTAGCATTTGATAATGTGTTACTTCACCATTTTCCATCCGACGCGACTCAGGAGGCTCAGATTAGTGTATAGAGTTTATCACTATGCAATAAAGAGAAGTTCCTTAGTGGAGAAGAAATTAGAGTAGAGAAATTGACGTAGCTACGAAATCAATACAATACCCAGTGGTAAGCTGATAGAATCTCTTTCCTATCAGAGCCTTAATCTATTGCCCTCCTACAAAGGCTCGAAGGAGCTGTCAACCAAGCACTAACGAAGTCGATATCCGTCACCATATTAGCTGGGATAATTAGGGGAATGGTGTGCTTAAAGTCAATTTATGTTTACTATGACTCTATCTAATATTATTTTGAGATCAATTTAAGAAAGCGCAGGGAGGAATGTCGAACTCAGTGCCAAGCCTGTTCGAACTTGTGCGTTTGTTGAAGTCCGACGTTGGTTTATGGGAAAGTCTCGGTGATAGCCGGTTTCGAACATCTTGCTGGGTCAATAGCCTTCCCTCCTGTACCACATCCTCGATTCTTCCGTCCTGACCTCGCCCTTTAGCCGACGCTGTCGATGAAAGCAAGGCTTACACCTTCCAGAACAAGAACGTCCTCTGAGCGACGTCGGAGTTGGAGTTGGTCATTCTAGGAAATGACATCGTGAATTAGTGCTCTAACATTCTGGTGTCCCTTCTGACCGGAATCCCTGTACACGGCGGGCTTTTGGTCATCTTCTACGTCATCTGTCCTCACGACCTCCATATTCTGTCTGTCTGTCGCTCTCTCTCTATTCTTTTTTTCATGCAATTCCGAAGTTTGCCTAGTCATCCCGAGTCTTATGGTATCCGCGTGGTTGCCCTTCGTCGCTTGGCCTCTCCGCAGATTGCGGCCCTTGTTCTGGAGTGACTCGCGAGGAACATTCCAACGATGAACTGGCATGGAAGGCGGGGAAACTATTGACAAGGATGGATTGATCAAAGGACTGTTTGTTCCGTACATCGAGGCAAAGCGATGATAGTGAGGCGGAAATGTCCTTGTCTTCGACGGCATCTGTGATCCTTCAGATGTCGCAGACAAGCGTCGCTTTGAGCAGTATGATACTGGAGGGTGAGGCAAGCACATGAGGTTTGGGGTCGCTACGAGGAGCCTTAACGAAGATTCGGAAAATCAAATTGAGAGGTCTCCCATCATCCCATTCTTTGAAGGTCTTGAGACTACAATCTCCTTCACAAACTATGGTTCTGTGTTGTAAACGAAATGAATCGGAGAGCTCGATCGAGCGGCGACACTCCGGCTCAATTGAAAACTGGCCTGAAATGATACATACTTTCCATACTCGCCACCGCCTCGGGACGGAAACATGTCGTGTGGCCTGATCTCGTGCATTTACAACATGAGACCGAGGTAGGCAGTGATGCGGACCTACAGGAGAGAAGAACAGAAGCACGTTAAGACATGATTCGACCGTCTACGTCGTCATTGAATATCCATCCAGATATTCAAGATAAAAAAGTGATTGGAATTTGCAGGAGTATAAAGCAGGACAGCACTAGCAGAGAAACCTAATTCTCGCGACCTACGCAAGAATTGGAGCTCCAGACATGAAGGCCGCCTCTTTCGCCCTCTTCGTCCTCACCACTGTTACCCAAGCGTTGGCAGCAGCCACTGGCACCCCAAACGATGCGGTAGGTAATTCCCCAGGAATGTTGATCTTCTTTCTGCAATGCTCATATTCTCTGCTACTCTTACAGAACCGCGCACTCGCGTGCGCGTCTCCCTCGACGGCGGTGCCCCTCCTGCGGAGCTGGAATGGCGGCTGGGGCGACCATTTCTACACCACCGATCAAAACGCGATGAACAACGCCGTCAACAACCTTGGGTTCACCGCTGAAGGCACCGCGGCGTACGTGTTCCCTGGCACCACAGGCAGCGATGGAGCCATTCCCTTCTATGGCCTCTGGGCCCCCGACCGCCTCGACCACTTCTACACCACCGCTGCCGCAGACGTGACTAGCTCCATCCGTCTGTACGGATACGAATACGAAGGCATCGTCGGCTACATCTACCAGAATGCCAATTGCGGCGGCGTTCCACTCTACCGCCTCTACAGCGCAAGCAATACCGATCACTTCTACACGACCTCTGCAAGCGAGCGCGACACTGCGATAAATCATTTGGAGTATGCAGACGAAGGCATTACGGGATATGTTCTGCCAGTTTAAGCGAATTAAGGATTACGAATGTGCAGCCAGAACGGTGTCCACGAACGTCGAACAGCTGGGTTGTCTATACGGTGAAAACGGAAGTAACTACAGTGGGTTATGTAGCACATAGTCCATGTTTATTCACATAAAATACCTCTTGGAATGCTTATGATAAGTGCAAAGGCTGGAAAGGGGTCCGAATAGAGATTCTCAATTGACAGCTGCGCCACACTTACGAGACACGCAGCTGTCCGAGGTCCCCGGGCCGGTGTCCCACAGCTACCCTCGGATTCACGTGTAGAGCGTAGATTGGACTATTTAATGTATGACTATCAACCAGAAAATGAGACTATACCAAAATATATGCCTGTACATTTTCGGCAGTCCCCTTATGTGGGAACACCCCAACAGTACGAGGTGAATGATTCCGCGCGAAAGGCGCAAGCTTGAACAGTTGTTCCCTCATCTCGGTTCAGATCCGTGGGTACGCAGTTATTCGGCGCTCCTGCTGGACCTTGGGTGTTATTTTATCTTTAGAGGTCGTCGCGGAACCCGCCAGGGTTGGCGCCGACGGGATGACGCCGGCGCTTATTCTCTCCATTCCATCAGAACACCCCTATCCCACCAGCGGTGCAAGTGCGGATGACCAAGGAACTGCGTCTGTCACTTGCATCCCGCGGCTCGCTCTACGCATTTATGCAACTGTTGTCACAACCCTTTTTCTGCTCTACATCATCTTCAAATTCATCACGAGGCGGTCCAAATCATCGACAGAGTTGATGCTTCCAGGGGGAGCTATATTTTCCCCATGGTTTGTGTTGTCGCTTTCCTTGCAAATATCTGAGCTTAGCATCCAATACGTCAGGCCGTATCACGGAATCTTCGCCCACTTCGCCACCCTCCTCCCATCTTCGTTCTCGACCACCAGATTTAGAACTGTTGCATGAGAGAGGCGAGCTGCACTTCCCTCCGTTAGCATCCCTCAGGCCCCACAACGGGATCCCCCTGTTCTGGCAACCTAAAAACCCCAACATTTTGTTGTCCTGCTGTGACGAAACCTTCAGCGGCAGCTATCTCCTACGCGCCGCCCCACGCACCGACCAGTGCCTTGTCCAAGTAAGTGGAACACTTTCAGGCGCTCTCTAGGCAGGGGGCACACCAACACGTCCATCCTGGAAGCACCCGCGAGTCGGCGGACGGAACCCGACTCGCGGGCGCTTCCGGGGTTGTCATCCCACCATCAGGCGCTAATCTGAGCGCTCCATGCTTACGGAGGCAGCATAAAATTTCACAGTGTGTTGTCCACGTCCATTGCTGTCGGAGGTCGATTTTCTGCGGTAGGGGCCGCGGCTATTGCCCCAACCTGCTGACGTTTTTTCTCCTGCTTTTTGGCACGGGCTTTCGCCGACTTTGACAATTTGCGAATTGTTGGCGCCTGATATCTAAAAGAGAGCTCAATTCCGCGAGAGGTAGGGAAGACAAAGACGAAAAAACTTACGTTGCACCTCTCTCCACGAGATCCGGTCGCTCTACGGTCGAAAGCGTGATTCGCATATACGGAGACTGCGTTTGTCTTGCGCTACAAAGCGCATATATGAGCTCCATTTGTCAGGAAATAGAACGAAGGGGCAACTTACTAGTTCCTCCCACTCAAAGCTTCTAATATACTATGAGATCTCGCGTCCTCCCTGGTCAACGGCGTCCCGTCTTCCGCTGCTGGGGTGACGGTGAGGCCCAACGCTTCCAGCGTGCCGATCTCGTTGTATTGATGAAATCCTTTCATACGGCTTGAGCGTTTCGCTTCCATGGTCTTCCCAAACTCGCGTTTGATAATCTCGGCGACCGAGATGAGGCGTGGTATGGCGGAGATGGTAGCAGCAGCTTGTTTCCGAAGTATGGGATCCTTTCCGGTCACCCGCTCCAGCAAAGCGCCGTTGGTTACAGATGCAGGAAAGGTGTGCAACACAAGGCCTTTGGCCTGCGTCTCATCCTATAAGGAGAGACTTGTAAACAAGTTTGGAAACGTTCGACGATGTTCAAACATACCTCGAAGAATGCGAGGGCCACAGCCACCCAAGACTTGATTTTGCCGCTGGTAGTGATTCTAATACACTTTTCCGCGCTGTATGCACTACCAGACGAGGTCGCAATCGTAGCTTGGTCCGTCATCTGTCTTGGAAAGTGTGGAAGGGAAGAAAGGCAAAAGAGCCTCCAGCTTTATTTTGCTTTGTTGCTCTGTCTCCGCCGGTGACGGCGAGCTCACACCTTCACCACGACAATGCCTCCAACGACGACGCCTCCAACGACACAAGCCGCACCGCCTCTGCTTCTCTGCGAGGCACTGGGCTTCTCTCCCCAACTTCTCCTGGACGACATCATCAATGTCGCCAACAACGCCGTCCAGGACGGCGTGAACGGCATGGAAGAATTCCTGCAGAAATGGGCCGACGAACGCGTCGCTCGCGGTGGATCCTCCAACATCGACATGGAAACGACGACACACGAGGTCGAACAGGGTCTGGTCGCGTTTCAGACGCTGCTTGAGTACCATACAGACATCGCATTTGACTTCTTCGAGGCGTGGTGTCTGCGGAATATCTTCATGATTCCTAACGACCTCCCTGTTGTATTGCCGCATCAGGAGGGTTTGGACCTCACAGTGACGCCCGAGCAGGAGCAGGAGCTCATGGATGAGATTGACGAGATGAGAAAGCAGCTCGACGGGGTACGTCTAAATCTTATCACCTAATTCGCCGCTGAACGCGTTCTACAGCAAAGAAAACTCAAACGAATGCTCCTACGAGCGAATCGCACGTCCTCGCGGCGGCTGAAGCAAGCCCAGACGCGTCTATCTTACCTTTCGTCCCTCTCAGGCCCGGACGGATCGACACTAGAAACTCTGCATGAACTCCCTCCCCGCTTCGTCGAAATGTACAACACGCTGTCCTTATTGCCGCTCTTGGATACGCCCGCGTCTGTTGACATCACCGAGCCAGGCAAACGGCCCTGGGAGACGAGCAAGACTGGGTACATGAATTGGGCATTGGGACAGCTGCTGACGAAGGACGAGGGTGCTGGACACTTGGCGGTGGATAAATTAGACAAGGCGGCGTCGATAGTTGGGACGAGCGAGGAGCTGAGGCGGGCATTGGACTCTGGAGTCAAACGCAGGTTGGATCATGCACCAGGACGGGATGACGATAGCAGGATGGACGAGTCGCCGTAGTCGCTTCGAAGGTTCGCGACCTCGCTTCCCGGCTTTTCTACGATTTTTCATTGCTTGTATCAGGTTTGTACTTTTAGGTTAGCCGTTGTATGTATCAATATTCTTCATATTTTCGAGGCTCTCATTCTTCCACCATTGGCGGCAAGTTCGACGCCATTTTGGCACCGCAAAGGTTGCAATCGTTTCCGGCTCTACCTCTGGGAAATTACGTGGCCAGGCTCTTGGGAACTGTGGATCCACAGCCCAATCCTCAACATTACAATTCTGCACGCATAGGCTGTATCTTCCCTCTTGTCCTCGACGATACTTGCGCTGGACGAAGCAGGCGGAGAAGCCGGTTTCGGTGGCACTGTGGGCTGGAACCAAAACACGGGATATCGTCTCTGGATGTTGTTTGTAATCAAGACCGCGACGAGCGGGATACTTGACATACTGGGCCACCAGCCGAGTGAACCCGTCTTCTGCTGCAGCCATTGCGAAGGCGAAGAAGGAGAGGGACAAGAAACACGTAGCGCCAAAGTCGAGTGCTACGTCCTTACTCTGTAGAACTTTCTTGAAGGTTTTCTACGATTGTGTCGCTTGAGTCTGGAGCGGGTTGAAGCTGAAGCGCTGAAGTTTAGTCTGTACTATCTTGTGACTAATATATGCAGTCAGCTCTCGGGTTCCAAGATGAATGAAGTATACACGGTGAGTGGGTTATTATGGCTACAGATTGCGAAGACGCAAGCGCAAAGCAGTTCGAAAACAGAAAACGATAGAGATCGAACCTTGTTCCAAAGGACCATCATTTAAACAAGAGCACCTTCCACCCTCGATGATTTAGGCTTCTCCAACCCAGCCTTGACATTTTGCGCGTAGTCTACATTGAACGCGTCGTTGGCGATGCCCAAAGAGGCTTTGTCTCCGAAGAAGTACGTCGAGTTGCTCTTGCTTTCCGCGATGGATCGTAGCTGCTCCAGACGCTTGAGCTCAACGAGCACGGACAACGCGTGCTTTCGGTTCTCTGGTGTCACTTCGGCCTCGCTCGGGGCTAGCGAACGCGCGATGCTGTCAACTTGCTGGGCGATGGCGGAAGCCTCCATGAGGGCTTGTTGCTGACGCGCCTCAGCCTCGCGGAAAACTGTCTTGTATTTTGCGTCTGCTTCGTTTGACTTGGCTTCTAGCTAGATGAACAACGGACGGTTAGTGGACTGGACCGGGTTTCGGCGAGAAATGAAATGAAATGAGACATACATGACCCTCAGACTCGAGGATGACGCGCGTTTTGTGGCCTTCCGCGACGTTGATCTGAGCTTGCGTATCGAGGAGTTGCTTTCGACGATTTCGTTCTGCTTCCATTTGCAACTCGAGTTGACGCTAGGTAAAGAAGCTTGTAAGAAGGGGTCTCGTACTACAAAAAAATGAGCGCATATATTCACCTCTACTTCACGGTTTGCAGGTTGGAACGACTGAATCTCGAATCTTGTACACTCTACACCCCAACCCTACATGGATCAAACGTGATCTTAGATTGCGACTCATTCTCAAAGAAGAGCACGCACGGAGATCGAATTCCCAATGACTGCGTTCAGCTTCTGGTTAAGACCATTTCTATCAGCGATAACCTAAGCACCTCGTTGAGAATCGTTTCTGTTTCTGAACAAGGGATACGAATACACTCACTTGGTCATAGGAGAAAGTCCCCAGAACGGATCGGACCGCCGATGTTCCAATATTTTGTACGTTCTTCTCTACGTCAGAAACTGCAAAGCAGGCTTTGTAACCGTCGTCGATACGATAGAAGAGGGATCCGGAGCATAAAACTGGGACGTTGTCGGACGTGTATGCTGGCAGCTGCTTCTAGTGTCAATAACGAAATTTTACATGATGTCGAAACGTACGTTGGGGATGTTCACAGATGATTCTCGAAGGTCAAGTTTCTTCACAGTATGAAGGACCGGAATGGCCACATTCAATCCAGGTGTCAATCGGACGGGGTTGCGACCAAGACTGCATAACACGATCTAGTTAGATCACAGTCGAATGCACAATACAGTATGGCCATACGTACGTCAACCTCCATCCCTCGTGCCCTTGCTGAATGATCGTCAAAAATCCTCTCCGTCCAGGGGTGAATATGGATTTGGATCCTGCGCGTCCGAGCACGAGAAGGCTTTGTCCATGGCTTTTGGCTGTCCGAGCAAGGTTCGGCAAACCGCTCCGTGCTGTGTTGAAGCTCATGACGTTACGTGAACGAAAGATGTCGACAACAACGCGAAGGGGGCTTGTTTATATGCGCTATTGGCCAAGAGGAATGAAGCCGCCGTTCAGTTGCTTCACACAAGCCGGGAGGCGACGCGTCCACCGGGGAGTTGAGACGTGTTGGGCCGGCACTGCAAATTAAGGACGTCGGACTTGTTCCGTGATCTTCGCTTCGGTATCCGTTGCGCTCATAACAATGAGTGCCCGTTGGTAAGTACCTAGGAAGGAGGTTCGGTCTTGAATATTTGGATATTGAATAATGAGAGCCATATCAGGCCTACAGGAGTGTTAGCCACTTCGGCTGTTGCCGGCGCGGAGTTCGAAAAGGACATTTCTCCGGTGGCTGTGCACCTCTGTCGGTCCGGGACTCCGGGTGGCCATGTCGCTGCGCCACACGATAGGGTTTCTAGGGCTCCCATTTGATTTCGACCAATCCAAAGGTGAATATTATATGCATGACCTTTCAGTGGTCTATAGGAACGAATAATGAATTTGGAAATCAAATTCCAATCCTTGCATTCACATATATCCGAAGAGCTGTTGCTGTTGCCATTATGAACGCAGGCCATTTAGCTAATAGTAAGTAATTCCCTGCAAGACCGCTAGCACTAGCAGCGCTGACGCATCTCTCTTACTTTAGATACACCGCGTGCCCGAGGTAGAACTCCTACAATGCGAAAACACTGAACACGTCTTTTTCTTTTCACTGACTAAGCCGCTGATATGTCGTCTAAGTCAGCCCGCCCGAAGCACGCAAGAAGGCTGATCAATGAAGTCAAGCTTTCTCACCTTGTTCCATTTATACATTATCTAAATACCCCGCGATGTATATAGGGGTCACACGTCTTCAATTTCCTTCTCATCCTGTAATCGATATCACTGACAGAAGAACTACCTCTTACCATGCCCCAAACAGCGACCAAGGACTTGCATGGGCCCGACTTCACCACCGCAAAGCTCTTATACATGGTCCCGCCTGCGGACGGAGAGCGAGTGTACACGCACATCAACGCAGACTCCGGTACGGGTCAGCGCAACCGCAACTTCACCAACGAAGAAAGGGAGATGGTGATCGAGAACATCCGCGGGAAGGAAGACACTGTCTCGCTCGACGCTTCCGGCTTCCAGTACGTCCACGCCCCGGCCAAACACAAGTCATTCGCGAACGATGAGGAGGTCCGGAGGGAGTACTACCCTGAGAGCATCGAGCTACTCAAGAAGCTCACCGGAGCGAGCAGGGTGGAGTTGTTTGATCACAGTAGGCTTTTCACCGTGTGTGTCCATGATTGAAGCAATACTGATTTGTGTGGCGCATAGCGATCCGCCGACGCCGGCCAGGCGAGATCGACGACAGCCCCGAGAAGCGCCAGCCAGTCGCCCAAGTCCACGTCGACCAGACCACCGCTGCCTCCATTGCGCGCGTGCACCGCCATCTGCCCGCCTCAGACGTGCCGAGGCTCTTGGAGCGGCGCTTCCAGATAATCAACCTGTGGAGGCCAATTGGCAACCCGGCGTACGACTGGCCGTTGGCGCTGTGCGACTTCCGAAGCGTTGACCAGAAGAGAGACATGTTTCCGGTTGCGCTTATTTATCCGGACAGAGAGGGCGAGACGCAAGGTGTGAAGTTCAACGAGAACCACAAGTGGAAATACCTGCGTGGTATGACGCCAGATGAAGTTGTCTTGATCAAGTGGTGAGCGCTTGAGCACTCTCTCTCTAAGATAGGAAAGGGCGCTGACTATCGCGATTTCAAGCTTCGACTCCATTCAGGACGGCAGCGTTGCTGTCTTCACTCCGCACACCGGTTTCAGCGACCCCGCGACCCCTTCCGACGCGCCGCTACGCGAGTCGATCGAACTGCGAGCACTAGTCTTCTACGATTGATCTCAGCGTCTACGAGCAGGCCGTAAATGCGTATTAGAATATAAATGTCGAAGGATCGTGACAAACATATTCATGCTTTATGCCATCTCTTCTGGACATATGTCGGCCCTACGGTCGCGTACGAAATTGGAACATCCTTCAAAGGCGTGGTTGCCCATGCTCTTGTTGTTCTGAAATCTGATTAATGAAAGTCAGTTAAGCAAGAAAAGTCAAGAAGCTAGATAGACGACTCACGCTCGTAGTCGTTTGCCTCGAAGGGCTCCCAGTTAGCCTGTTGGCCCTGTCAGGGACAAGTTGGAGCAACGACTGAAGAGATAGCGCGTTTTCAGAATGAGGCGTCAATGCCATCCAGCTATTCAGGCCATACACGCTTAGATCGCGACTTCTTTTGAGGTCATTGATGAGTAAATTTATAGTTAGAGGTGGTAGTTGTGGGTGAAGCTGTACAGGGTGACCGAGGCCGACCCTGACTCATCTTTGTCAACAACCTCTTCCATCCACATAATCTCCAGCTCAAGTACATCACAGGAATAACGTCTAAGCCTTCTCAGAATATGATAAACGATTCAAAGAACGTCGAAGAATCAACAACAGCTCTCGCCACTGAGTAAGACTGATGTCTCTTGCGGCGAGATCGCGCTAATCGATTGCCAGAGAGGCACCAGACAATAAGACCAGGCGATATGATCGTCAGCTACGGTTAGTACGTCGATAATCGCGAGAGACTTGCGACTGAACACATGAGCCAGACTGTGGGCCGCGTCCGGCCAAAGCGCCCTCGAATCGTCGCGTCTGCTTGTCATCTCGGGCACCGCGACGTCCACATCCATCCTCAAGAATCTCGTCCTACCAGGAATCGGCCACTTCACGATCCTCGACCCAAGAAAAGTGACGCCCGAAGACGCAGGGAACAATTTCTTCCTCGAGGGCCCCTCCAGTATCGGCAAGTCGCGTGCGGAAGAGGCGGTCAGGCTGCTGTGCGAGCTGAACGACGGTGTTGAGGGCAAGGCCGATCTCCGTAGTCTGGAAGAGGTATTGGACAAGGATAAGGAGTGGTTGACGGAGTTCTCGCTCGTGATCGCGCACAACCTGGAGGGTGGCCTGCTCGAGCGCCTATCGAAGTTACTTTGGGAAGACGAGTCATATCCAACCCTTGCCATCGTCCGATCTTCTGGATTTTTGGCGGAATTTTACATCCAGTACCATGAGCACACAGGTGAGTCGTTCATCTGCGATATATCATGTTTCCTGATTCGCGTCTAGTCATCGAGAGCCACCCTGAGACTGCACAGTCGCTCCAGATCGATAAACCGTTCCCCGCTCTCCTCCGAGATTCGCTCGCCCTTGACTTCGAAAACATGGACGTCACCGATCATGGTCACATCCCCTATGTTTATATCCTCGTCCGAGTGCTGGAGGACTGGAAGAAAGCCCACAATGGCTCTCCGCCATCGACGTACGCCGAGCGACAGGAATTCAAGAAATTGATCCTCGCCATGCGCAAGAAGTCCGACGAGGAGAACTTTGAAGAGGCCGAATCGCAGGCCTACCGTGCCTGGACCGCCACTACTGTTCCTTCAGAAATTAGAGCCCTTTTCTCCGATTCAAAGGTCACCAACATCACATCGACTTCGCCCCCATTCTTCCACCTTGTACACGCACTGTCCAAATTTGTGGAAGAGCAGCCAAACCACGCCCTACCATTAACCAGCACGTTACCAGACATGAAAGCTGACACGAACAAGTACATCAACCTACAAAAGCTCTACAAAGAACGAGCGGAGGAGGAAAAGAAAATCTTCAAGAGCTATTTGACAGTGTCGGTGGACGATGCGATGGTGGACGCGTTTGTAAAGAACTCACATGCCTTAAAGCTTTTGAGAGGAAAGCGATGGGGTTCTTTAGACGAGGATCCGAAGGCTCTAGGTGCGTTTTTCTTTTCCGCAAAATGCACATACTGACGCGTAGCGCCTCAGCCGAGCTCGTTGAAACCTCGTCCAAACAGCTCTCGACACATCTGGCCTTGTCTGCACTAACGTCTCTCGCAACAAAGCAACAGCCCAACGCCCCTCTCACACCGACTATCGAGGCACTGACTGCCGAAGCGCAAGCACTCCTTCCAGCAGGCGTCGAGTTGCCAGCGGAGTTTGGAGATGCTGTCGGTGAAGTGTAGGTCTCTTCCTTCTATCCCATAGGACGTTAATTTAACATTCTTCCTCCATCTTCGCAGTGCCCGAGCACCTAACGCCGATCTACCCAACACGGCTGCCCTTCTGGGCGGAATCGTCGCGCAGGAGGTCATCAAGATGATCACGAAACAGTACATTCCTATCTATGGATCGTGTATCATCGACCTCATCGAGACTTGGACTGGGATGCTCCCTGTTTAAAATGTTTATGTTTGTTGCATCCTTGCTCGTACTAGACCTGGCAAAGCGAAAATAATCAGCATTCTGTACTATAATCTTGCGTCGAACTGCTATGTCGACTGCTATCGTTACAGTGCCTCCGTCTACGTATGCTGGCAAAAAGAAAGAAAGAAAATCTAGGCACGGAAAACCAAGTCGAAGAACAGAGGCACCAAAGCGACGAGGCCTATCCAACCGCTGTTCTGATTGAATCGTCCCAATGCCCTGCTCGTCCCGGACGAACCACCACCAGTGATGTCCAGACACTGTCCGTCAGGACCAGAATAAACCCTAGCGTCTTCAGGCCCCGGCTGAAGAGGATTGCATCTAGGGAGATCGATCCGTTGGGACGTAAACTCAACAAAGAGGAACTAAAGACCTACCCAGGCAGCCTATCCAGAACCCCCGCGACAGCCTCATTCACACTCGGTGATTTCTTGCATTGATCGGCGGTAGGAGCGTTGATCATAGTGAAGAAAGGGCAGGCCTCGGTGATACCCTGGCCTGTAGGATTACTGGGGTCATTGCATTGGTCGATGGCGTTCTGGAGCACTCTGCACGAGAGGTATTAGTTACTTGATGCATATTAAGCGCCAACAACATTGCTCACTCCACATCCCATCCGTTCTGAAAGTCGCCGTGCCAGGAGAAGCCTGTTGCGTCACTGAAGAGCGTTAAGTTTCTGGGACCGTTCAAGCCGAAACAAATTGTCAAGCTTACCCAGTCGCTGTGGAAAGATTCCGTCAGTGGCCCGTCAGTGAAAGCGAAGCAAGGCGGAACTTACACCAGACGAAAGGCCACACATCCTTTGTCGGATCCCATCTCGAGGCGAAAGTCTGTACATCCCAAGTAACCTACGGAATGAGGGAATCAGCACCAATGATTTTCATAGGTCACAAAGGTGCCAACTTCATAGAGTATCTTCATAAAAGGAACAGGGTGTGTTGCCGGGCAATCACCATTGTCCAAGTCGGAGAGGTAGGCGGTGTGGGATACGTGGTCTGAAGAATCAAGGTTCTAACCCGAGCATGAAACGATTGTCAACCCGAGATAATGTGAGCCACGTACGACACCATCCCAGCACGCAGGCATATGTATGCGGGCGTTCAGTCCGGCCTTCGATGAGGTTTAGTCTGAATGGTTCGATGTAATCCAAGGTCCTGACAAACCTCGCAGTTGGTATTTGGAAATCCATCACCTAAGTAAATTAACTGCATTTAAGCACGAAAAGTTGATGCAAAAATAAAGGATCAAACGCAACCAGTGTCTTTACTATTATACCCTTCGTTATTGGGATATCTCAGGCACTCCCATTCGACAGCACGTTCCCTTAGCTCATCTTGCGAGCCTTCGCCTCTGGTGTATCTGTATACACTCTTCAGCGCTACTCATGGTACTATGGCGCTAGAGGACAACTCACTTCCTCGCCCTCCGCCTTGGATCGCCACTGATCATCTTGAGGCCTGGCGGAAACGCTTTGAGGCCTGTACCGCCGTTAGCTGCGTCGCCAATGCCTCGGTTTTGGTAATAGACGAGGAGGCCTGTGGGGGCGGGTGAGACAAGGAGAAATGAACAGCAAGATGAGGAACGCACCTCCATTCGGCACGTCTTCGAACGTATTGTTTTGGGTGTTGAGGAAGTATAGTTTCGGAAACCCTTGGCACTGGTGTGAGTGGACCATAGAAGGATGCTAAGACTGAAAGAAGACACACAATAGTTCGAGAGATCCTATTGATAGAAAAAATATTTCGCATGTATTTAGTTGGAAGAAATAAATATCCTACCTGAGAGACGAGACAATTGGTGCAAGACGATGCTCGAAGGGTATCAAAGGTACTATCAGATCCAAAGACTATCAATAGCGTAAGAGAGTGGTTCAAGCCATGAGGAGAGAGCGCAGCTTACGATTGGCACCATGGACAGTCTACAGAGTCATCGAGAATGAAAATTGCAAAGCAGCTTCTATTGGTGGACAAACATACGTGCACATGGTTCGACGGTGAAGTTCCTGGTGATACAATGGGGTCTATTCTCTCTGTATCTCCAAGTTAACGCCGTGATATTTTTTAATCTAGAAAACACACCTTGAACCAACGGACTCGTGCAAGCCACTCTAAACCACGCGTGTGCGGGTAGGACAAGCGCTGCGGTCGATATGAGCAAAGTACTGGGCACCCTAAGCACCTGCATCTTGAAGCGACAAGGACAACAAGGACGAGTGTGAAATGAGACGTGGAGGCATCCTCATATGCCGTTCTCACCGTCCTATCAATCATTCTCGATGTGCTGAGCAGTGTATCCCATCAAACACTGGGCACTCAAGCCCTGCTTCTCAGGGGGTCGAGCACTGGTTTTCATTGTTCGAGCCTCGGCACGCGTTCGTAGAGTGGGACGAGAGCGGGGTTTGTCATTAGAATGCCAACGCCGATGTCGATGTCAAGTCGATGCCGGTCCCTTTGATCGGATGTTGCAAGAATAACGTAGAGGGTGCCGTTATGTCGATCAATGGAGGGTATATTGATGGTTTGCTCTTCTCCGATGAAGAAGGGAGTCTCTTCATGAACATCAAGGTTGAGAGCAAAGCTCTCAAGTTCTATAATCCTTGATGTTGCTTATCGTTGGATGTAAGCCCTTGGACCATACGAGCCATTCATAGAAACTTACTGCGCTTCGGGCTTCATCCATCCTGAGTGCCCTCAACGTTCTTTCCAACCTGGTGGGGTTGTGGTGGCTGAAGGAAAGACCTCGTGAGAGTGTTGAGTGTAACAGAACATGCACACACAACGCGTCCGTCACATGTGTGACATTTTCCTCATCGTCAACTACGATGACCGACGCGCGCCAGTACGGCGAGCTCGCCACCCAGCTGCTCATGGAATCTCGAAGATCGACACAGACTGACACACTACTCAAGTACAACGACTCACTTGTCAGATCAATCATCCGGGAGCAGCGCGACATGGAAAAGGCCATCGACGCGCTGGCTATCGAAGGCGCGTCGCCCCCACCAGGAATGCTGATCATCCAGACAGCCATCAACAGAAATAAGCGCTGTCTTCTCGCGTACCACTCGCATCGCGTCGATCGGCTCCGCGATATGTACTGGGCAGTCGGTGGTGCACTCCCACATATCCTGTCGAATCAGGACATCCGAAGCAAGCTTTCACCACACGAAGTCGATTATCTGCGACAATACAACGCCTCTGTCATGGAATTTAGATCCGAATTCTCGCACGAACTAGATATCACTGCAGGAATCACCAACCCGCCGAAAGACCTCCATGTTATGGTTCGCGTCATTCGGGATTGTGGAGTCATACAGACGGAATTGGGAAGCATCGACTTTCAGAAGGGCCAGAGATTCATGGTACGACGCGCCGATATCGAGCATCTCATCGTTCAAGGCTATCTGGAGGAGGTTTAGCTTCGCGGCCAATCATAGCTTCCGCATTCGGCCATTTATTTGGCCAGTCCGTCGAAGTCAAACAACGACTCAGCCGGATCGACGCGTCGAAGTTGGACCTTCCACCGTACCACGCCGTCCGGACGGTCATGCACAGTGGGCGTGTTCGCGTATTGTACACCAACACATACCGCCGACTCCCTGCTAGATCAGTCGCTTTCTACAGACCTACTGCGCCGTCTGCAAGGGCTGGTCCAGCAGCATCGCGCTGTTATCAACAACACGCAAATCCGACGATCGACCTTCGTGCCCACCCTGCCGCCTTGTCCTCCCAGACCCTTTCAGATCTTGGACTTCGCTCCCAGCTTCCTCCCGACTCACTACCTGACCCGAATCAAGATACCCCTCCCGAAGTTCCCGACCAAGAATGGGAAATTCGAACAGGTGAGTAAACGACGCGTTGAATGTCAGTTCATACTGAAACATGTTTCTAGGACGCGCAATATACATCATTCGAGAAACTCTACCCGAATTCTTCAATACGGGCCTTGTCACCTCTATCAACAAAATGACCGGAGCTCCACGAACACCATCCACTGTCTCTACTTTTACGCCAGCTGCCGCTACCAACTTCCTTGAACATTTCGTCCTCAAAGATGACGAAGAACCACTGTATAGCCCTAATGTCAGGCTTGCATACACACCGCCTGTTGCACTCCCTCCACCCTTTCCAAAGACGCTGCATGTTGAAGGTAAGCTGTTATTGACTTGGCGATCCTGTGCTAAATTTAGCTGCAGGCATTCAACTTTATCTCGCGTCCTCCAACATCATCAGACACACAATGAACGCTCTGTACTCAGATCTGGCGGTGCAGATATCGAAACTTGTCGTCAATACACCGACGTCATCGTCTCCGCCTTCCGATTCATCCAAAAAGCGCCGGATCAGTCGCGAAAAGAATTTTGTCATCCGACAACATGTCACTGGCATCGCGCGGGTGAGTGGGAAGCAGGGCGAATGGGAAATGTGCGTTACCTTTCTGATCCTTGAGTTTGCGCGTGGCTGACATTTAGCAGCGAGTCGACGTACACATTCTCGCCTGCTACGGGTCTCATGCATCAGCACATCGTGAACTCGATACACCCCGCTCCGCATCAAGCTGTGTATGACTCTCTTCGATCGGGCTTCGGGAAGATGTTAGGCCTCGGGTGGGGAACGGGAACGGGAACAGGTGCTGCAAATGGAGCTACGTGCAAGGGCAAGCCTCCGCAAGCCAAAGAAACGTGAATGAAGCACGAGCCAAGACTAGATGCCAGTTTCGCTGAGACGTTGCCTCCAAAAGTACTGAGTGAGGCGACATGGAAAAGTAGCTGAGTGTATTCTATCGACCTATATGTATCATTTGTGTAATGACTTGGAATAATGGAAGACCCCTCCTCTTCTTACGCTGGTGTAAGCGATCTGTCAACAGGCACCTCTTATGAAATCCATTCTTGTTGCCATCCTCGGTACAAACATCAGATCCATGCATGGAAAGACGAGGTACAGAACATCCTTATTTACGTACATCCACCATTATTTCATCCTTGGACTCCAAATCTACGGCGCACTCTGGTCTCTTCTTGGTCTCTTTTCAGCGGTGGTTACAGCGGTGGTTACAGCATTTCTAATCAAATCGTACAAGGACCTCCATTCTATCCAGGCGGATAGTAGTCTCCCTTCTCACCGGTATAGCTGCGCGCCTCGAAAGCTCAATAATTCCTCGCCTCTTTGTCGGACCGGTCCGCAGACGGCGCTATCGGCCCGGAAACCTCGCACTGCCACACTCTACTTCTGTTCGGCTCTCATGACATTCTGCTCAGGATTTTCCATCATGCTGCCGAGTCTCTGTTCGACGATCTGGGAGATCCTCTAAAAACGTGTCACGAAAATCTTTCCCTTGCACTTGGCTACTGATCCCTGGAAACTTGAGGAATTTCGAAAGCTGTGTCTATGGATAGACAGCGAACACCCTTTGCAACTCACTTGACGATGATAGACAACATTTTGTGTTGCATCTGAATCCAAGGAAATTTGGGAGCCCTATAGACTGTCGAAAACACGTCCGAATCTCACCTGGTGATGCTCTCGGCTGGAAATGAAGTGTGATGCGAGGGAACTTAGTTCCCGCTCACGCTCGGTCCCGCCCATCGCGCCAGTTTTCTGATTAT